CTAAAACGACAAATATTTTATAATCTCTAAAAACAATCAAAAAAATTTTAATTTTAACAAATACAAAGCTCGCATATCATAAAACACATATTTTACCAATATGAATCGAATCATTGTACTTCATTTATTTAGTAATATTTATCTATTTATACCATACTAATATATAACGCTGAAGTGCTTATTTGTTTGTTAGAACGCGCAAATTTCATAGAAATTAGAGCAGTGAATTGAAAAATTATTTTTGTGTTCGTTTTGCATTTATTAGGAAGCCTATTAAACATCGCGCTGTGACTAATAGGCGCGAAGAAACAGCGGGAAATGTGGAGAAAAATCGGTAGAAATTATTCATCTTGCAGTTGGCGACGAAAACGGTTCAACATACACAAGAAATGTATGACAGAATGATCCCCCTTTAAAAGCTTAAAAATATGTGTGCTACGCTATCTGTCTATCCTTAAGATTAACTTGCAAGAACGACGGAGCACGACCGACGTCGTGGATAACAGCTTAAATTTTAAATGATGAAGAGAAGGTTTGCGACAGCAAATTTAAATGCCTAACAATAACTATTCTATGCATACGAAGTCGATGATATACCTAGTCATATATAATGCGATCATAATTGGTTAAGATAGTCAACACGATAGATTCTTTTTTAAACATTGATACTTAATGGAATTAAAATTTGTCCAATACCGGTTCCAGGATGATGTTATGATGCAAGAACAAAAAGCAGTACCTCAACACATTTCACAGGAATTTACAATTTCAATTGAATTGTAAATAAATTGTTAATTATATACTGTAAAACGTGCAGTTTAATTAAACACCCTATAATTTTATTGTGGCATTTTAAAAAGCCTCAATTACTACATAATTATGCACCCAATCGTGCATGCAATTAGAGCATAATTTTAAATGAAGCGTTATTTTCTTGTTAAAAGTAATTATAAGGTAAGATCTTATGGAAGTCAGATTTCAGTAAAATGTGGTGAAAAACAATGTCATGAGTTGATCAAAAACATTTTTTTGGTTCGGATGGAAGTTTGTGTAACTATTCATCAGTAAACAAAAATTTAGTCAGTGAACTAGACACAAAAATTTGACTGCCCTCGGGAAACCGGAAAACGGGATGCATTGTATTTATATAACATAACAAACATTTTTAACGGTTTAAATTGCGACATATATTAGTTAACTTATTTACAACGCACTACGGCCCAGTTTCGAATGCTTAGCAGCAGCTGTGGTCACTACGTTACTAAATTAAATTACAAATGAGTTTTGCCTTAAACCTTTAAAAGTGTTTTATTTAAATAACATATACATCCAGTTCAGTTATTAAATCAATAAATAATTATTGTATAGCATGAAGCAATCTGTTTTTAGTATTGCATCACCTGTGCAAGATTATCACTTTACTTAAATAAAGTAATTTAAATGATAAAAAGAAGTTTTGTCCATAAAAATAGGGCTTAATATAAATCGATGACGCTGTGTTTGTTTACGCTGTTTATTATGTTAAAAACATATCCGGTTTTTTGTTTATAATGCAGTTAGCTTTGGTTAATAGATCCTTTAAAAGCATAATTAAGTATTTTAAAAGCGCTTTTACAATGAATAAAAGCATTAAACGAGACTTACACTCTATGCTTACTATTTTAATAAGCTTTTTTTGTAATTACTAAGGTAAGTGGAGAAATAAAAACTAAATTGGAACACATAATTTCGCTATATTAATAACGTCTGCTGGTCTTCAGGGTGGCTGTCTACGGGTTGTTAATACGATAATTTTGTTTAGAAATCAAACGTTGCGTCATTAAAAATAAAAAAGAATGTTCAAAAATAATATTGTAATAGGTATGTAAATTCTCTATGACAGTTACTTTTTACTTACATTTAAACTGAAAAATATATGTACTTGGTATACAATTATTATTATAAATATTATTTTAAAATAATAATTTCATATCAACTAATAATATATTAAATACTGTCTATAGTTTACGCGAGTAGTACACATTTAAATAAAACACTTTAACGGTTTAAAACGCGATATATTACCTATTTATCATAAATGTAAATAAGCGCAACCTCTTAACTATCTTTTAAATTAAAGCTACAACTAATATTGCAAAAGCCCCATACAAAAATTGATGCAAATTAAGTCGTTGTAGTACACAATGAGTTCAAAAGATGTCGCTAGAAAACAATAATCACTTATTTCCACAATATATTATTAAATAAAACACTTTAACGGTTTAAAACGCGATATATTAGTTTAACTTATTTGACAATGATTTTAACTTCGGCCCGACGTTTCGGATGCTTTACAGCAGTCGTGGTCACGGGGAGACGCTGCAAAGCATCCGAAACGTCGGGCCAAAGTTAAAAATCTTTGTCAAATAAGTTAACTAATATATCGCGTATTAAACCATTAAAGTGTTTATTTAAATGTATACTACTCGCGTAAACTATATAAAGTTTTTGCTTGATCTTGTTTGGAGATCTGGATATAATCTGGATTATCTGGATATATACACGATAGGAATATCAAAATTCCGTCGTCACGGTTTTTCATTTGTGGTCACTGTCCACAAATGAAAAGCCGTAAAGTTCGCGTTTTGAATAACCAAAGCCTTTCTCGCGTGGACCCCATGCTGGTGTGTCCTCTTCTGTCATAAAAAAAGTTGTTTCAAAGAAGAAATATAACTTAGCACGAATGTCTTTGAAAAAATGTGGAATATTTCCTTTATTTTCATTTATACGTAATAATTAATAATATAAATAAGTTTAGGATTTGTGCTGAAAATACGTAAATTGCGCATTTGGTGTAACGTCCTCAAGCCGATGCTACACGCAAATATATTTTCGCAGAAAATGAAAACTCTTGTTGCGTATTTATTAACACTGTTGAAAGTAGGGCGCTACAGATAAGTATGTATTTTCACACGGTCATGACTCATGACTAAAACGTGACCTTGCTTTGTATTAAAGTAATTACAAACTGATTCATTGTATAATACAGGAGGTATTGATGAACAATTATAAAGATTCATATCTCTACAAATATTATACAGCTGAAGAGTTTGTTTGTTTGAACACCGTTAAACTACTGCTTCGTATTGAACATATCTTTTTGTATTGAATGGATCATTAGTCGAGGAATTCGGGTTTGAAACATCAAGCTGCGACCAATAGAAGCGAAGAAATAGTTAAAAATTTAGAGAAAAGTGGAAAAGTTATTAATGTTTGAGGACCGTCCGTTGCGTGCGCCGCGGAAACGGCTTAAGAAGTCAAAGCCTGTATATAAAGGGATGATTCTTCTTATAATGATCTAAAAAATGTCAGCAACAATACATGCCTTTGATATATTTTTAAGATTAACTCGCGGACGACCAACGTCGTGAGTAACAACTAGTCTAATATATTAGTAGCTGATCCGGCAAACGTTGTTTTGTTGTTTCAAACATTAATATTATTATGTTGATTATATGTATACACACAGAACACATATACACAATCAAATTTTGTCGAAGTCAAATTTGATTACCATAGAAACGGTTCTTGTGAGTTAATCTTAGAATATAGAGATATACTGTTGCTGAAATTTTTTAGATAGTTAAGATAGCAATCGTTATTTCTTGGATATTTATTCGTAACTTGAACCGTTTTCGCATCCACACAACGGAAGCCCTTAAAAATGAATAATTTTCCCCTTTTTTTTTTAATTTTCTACTTGTTCCTTTCCTAGTGGTCATAGTAGTTTAGAGCCTACCACGGTTTTGGTGGGCAAATACCAAAACCGTTTAACCATTGAGCTATTGTGATAGGCATGCCTTGAGGCAATATTTCCAAATAAAATACTGAAATAATTAGTAAATAAATTTAACATTGTTACTAAATATGCAGCAAAAGAAATGATTATCTACTTGATTGAATCATCTAAAGTCTAAAGTCTTTCTCAGAAGTCGTGATATTGTAAGTTTTTTGCCACATGCAATGAACGTGATTGTCAAAACTTCACCACTGAAGCGAGATAAATCTAGTTATCTTGTTAGTTTTTTTTGTGAGCCCCTATTACATTATAATTTCAGAATGATTTCAATAATATTCTGACTAAAAAAAAAACATTTTCCCATTTCGGGATGTAATTTTGCTTACTAATTAAATTTATAGGCAATTTTCAGATGTTTTAACTATAGTTATTTCCCCTCGATTCGAATCTAGAAACTCTCGCGCTTAACTGTTAAGCAACGTGTCGTCATCACTGGCCCTTTACTGCCCTCACTGGGTCTTGGGCCCCCAAAGAGGATATATGATGGAGAAATGCATGATATTATTTAACGTCCTCAATTTTTTACAACGGATTCAATTACAAAACATTATATTATGTTATTATTTGTTGCTCGTAATCGATTTTCTGACCACTAAAGCAAACGGTAATGTTTTGGTTAATCTTTACTAATATTATAGAGCTAAAGTGTTTGTTTGTTTGAACGCGCTCATCTTAGGAACAAACTGGTTAGAATTGAAAAAATATTTAGGTCTTGGTTAGAGCATTTATCTAGAAATGCTTTATATTACGCTGCGACCAATGCAAAAAAACAGAGGGTAACATGGAAAAATTATTCAACTTAGTGGGCTTACGCCTCATGCGCTATAAAACAGTTCACGATACTCGAAAGATATATAAGAACATTTCTTCTTTAATTAATCTAAAAATGTACTGCGACAGTATTCATCGTGGGTAACATCTATAAAGGAGTAGGTTTGCAAAAAGAAATTTTGAAGACCAAAAAACATATTCTATGCAGAAAAAATCGTGGTACAACTACATACAAGACACGCGAGAATTTTTTCAATGACTGGTTATCAGTACGAACTACCACCAGCAGTGGTGTAATCAATAGCTTATATAAACAGTGGCGTTGTTATTCTTCCGCCAGTGTCAGATCCACTCCTGTCGGTTCTGAAGAGGAGGGTAGTGACTTGTTACAATGCGTGCTATTCAAGTAAGTGCTAACAAGTGGAAATTTTCAATGCTTATTGTATAGACCAGTGAGGTTTGAAGATATTAGAAGTATAAACAATGTTAACTGCGTTCAGAGTTAAGAGCAGGGCGATTGTCCTGGGTTCGAATCCCACGGAAAGACCGTTACGCTCTGGTGAGCCACTTAAATGATATCAATGTGCTTTAAATAGGCGAAGGACTTTGTATGGGTTATAAGAGTGATAAGTGTGAATGTGTAATATAATATATTGTTAGTTTTTAAAACATCTATTTGGTCTATTATAAGCACTTGAATTAATGACGATCAAACGATAATATGAAGTGTTTTCATAGAAAAGACATAAACGCGCGGGGTGACACTTTCAAAATATATAGATATTATACTTAATATACTTATTTGTTAATCAGTGAGATTGATACTTATTGGATTTAATTTATTCTAAAAATAAAATTGAATAAAGAACTTTAATCCTATTAATTTTCCGATTAAAGTTGAAGAAAATGATATTGGTGTATCTTTAGTGAGTAGTAATTTTGTATGAAAATTAAAAAAGAAAATTATTACAAAAATATTGATTTCATTCTTTATTGCGTTGTGGACTTACGAGTTTTTAAATTTAATCTATTAACCTTCTCCCGTAAATATTGCCACAGTGAAATTGCTATCCTAAAACAAATCATTGAATCAATCTTAGATTTAACCTAACACTTATTTGCTAAGGAATACATTTCGTACATGTATGGGGTTTATTATAGAGTGTTATAAGCGAATTGGATAACTTAACACCCTATAGTAAAATTAGTCAAGAATTGTAGCCAAATCACCAGGCCTCGTCTCCAAAAGCAGTTACATTAAAAAAGCTGAATGTGAGTCATACTTTAAATACTGTATAGATTACTCGAGTAGTACACTACAATACAATATATAACTAATATATCGCGTTTTAAACCGTTAAAGTATTTTATTTAAATGAGTCATACTTTGTTGAAAATTTACCTCTTCCATCTCTTTTGAAACATGTTTCCCTACAATATAAACTCGCTGTTCCTCGTGTTATCTTAATTATGTTTTTTGGATTGTTCACTTATAGTCTGTTGCTTATTTATATTTATAATCTGTAATTTCTTATTGCATATTTAGCTTGTTTTAATCAGTACCACAAATTTACGTAATCACATTATATACAAAGATACTGTTAAACCTTATAAGGTTTTACTAATCGCTTCAAAATAAATTAAAATCGTAATAACCAAATGAGTTTGTCTAACTGCTTCGATCGAATCATGTAAGCGGAAAATGAATACTGTTTATCATTTATTACCGATATTACTTCCTGCGTTTGTTTTTATGTGACCCATTGTTATAAAATCTTAAACGTAACACAAATGTACTGGCTTGTACAAAATGCATTGTTTTGTCGTACGAAGCTATCCAAGAATAATATTTGACCTTATGCATATCTAAAATTAGATCAATCAATCTGTCAGTACATACCTCACTGACTATATATTCAAATAGACAAAACACTTATCTATATTTTATAACATGCACTAATATATAAAAATATATTTTCAAATATTAAAAATGCATAAATATAATGAATCTTTAAATGTTTTATGGACATAGAAAAATCAGGTAACAAACAATGTTTAAATTTAGAACAATACACAGTGACTCGATAGCTTAATTGGTAGAGCAACAGCACGGAACGCTGACGACACCGGTTCGAGTCCTACCCGAGTCGAATTTTTTTTTCAATTTATTTTCGATATTTAAATCAATACACAGTACATAAACTTTCCAAATAAACAATTGTGCCATCATTGTGATCCTTGTTTACTAATAAAAAGTATCTAAATTTGTTTTTCTCTTTTTATTTTATTCAATAATCTTAATTTTATACTAAGTCTTGTATTTTAGTCTGTGGCTAATAGCAAATAAATTTATTTCTCTCTATCATGTTTAGGTTTTCAGTCTATTATTGATGACAGTGGCGAGCAACGCTGGGTACGTAGGATATACTAGCCCAGGTGGATATGGATTGGCATCTGAAAGCCAAGACTATTCTGGTTATAATCAACAGGCTGTTCCGGTAGTGAAAAGTGGATCCTACTATGTAAGTACCTTTACTTCTAGTCTTGTTTAAGTCTTTATAATTCAAGATAAATTTCCTTCTTAATTATATTTAAAAACAAAGATGTATTTATGTGACAAGTGATATCCATTCACCGTGTATATATTATTTGATATTTTTACGAGTTTATTTTAGTTATTGCTACGATGTTTTAAATGCGCAAAACCTGAATTGAAAATAACAAATAGCTACTTGTAGTATATAGTATACAAGCTATGGCTACAACTTCGTCCGCATAATTTGGGATCGTAAAAAATATTTTTGCAAACACGTCCTTTATGAATCATAACTGTTACCCACCACGTCGTCCACCTTCCGTCGTTCTTGCATCTTTATATTAAAAGATAGACATATACTATCGCATACATTCCACGCACTAAATCTCAAAATTACAACGGCATTTACATTCCAATGATACTTGGTTTCCTTCAGTTAAAAATGAAATAATTGCCATCAACGGAAATGGAACAATTCATAAGCGTGACACAGCGTGACGTTTCTTGCGTCACGACGAATACGCGTAGCTCCGTAGACCGTACGTAATTTTCTTGATGACACAGTTTGCGTAAGGTCGGTCAACGTATAATTATGGAATGACACACAATTGGACAAGTTACCAAATATTTGTATCTCTTGTGGGTCTTGGGGCGAACATATTTCTGTGTCCGTTTTACTGACGGATTTAATATCCATGCAAGTAATCACTACTAAAGTAACTATAAAACTCAAATAAGCATATAAAAAAACACTATACCATGAATAGCTCTATTATGAATACCTTAATCTCTTTGCAGTGGAACACTGTATTTACACGTGTCTTATTAAATTTATAAAATAAACAAATAAGCAGCCTAAATAATAAAAAAATCCACCCAATGTTACTTTTCCACGTGGACAAAGTCGCGGGCACAGCTAGTAATAAATGTAAGTATTGTGCCAGAACTCCAGGGTTTGAATCCCAGGAAAACCATAATAGATTTGATTCAACCCTGTATACTGTAGTAGAACTTACCGTCCCATGTTTTTTTTTTAATGACTAAACTACTGTTTTCAAAGATTACTCAGCTATAATTTAATAAGCATATAAATTAAATTGTCAATCGTGCGCTTATTAATCAGTCCAATTAATCTATTAATCATTTTATTCTGAATCATATAGTATGAGTTATAGTCTTTTGTCTACTGTCATAATTTAAATAAAACACTTTAACGGTTTAAAACGCGATATATTAGTTAAACTTATTTGAAAATTATTTTTAACTAATATATCGCGTTTTAAACCGTTAAAGTGTTTTATTTAAATGTGTACTACTCGCGTAAACTATAGACAGTACTGTCATAATTTCAAATATAGAACCCATTTTATTTAAGTTGATAAGGTTTAAAGGCTTTTTGATAAACTTTAAACAACTTTCGATGTCTAAATAAATTCATTAGGCGTAAAATTTCTTCGTAAACTCGACGAAAATTGCAGTGTTAATCGCGTATTTTTTTTTAAAGGGAAAACAACGTTTAATGGTTTCAACTTAACTATTAAAATCAAATGTTAACGACGACGAAATTAAAAAGTAAAGAAATTTGCAGGTTATTTGCTTATGTATCAAATATTAACTTAACAAATACAAGACAATCTATATTTAGTTGTGTTAATTTGTTCATCATATTAATTATTTTTGCAAAAGACCTGCTCAGCTTCATAAATTTTAACCGGTACACATGTCGTCCGCGTTCCGTCTTTCTTGCGAGTTAATCTTAAAAGATCGACATAAACTGGCGAAGTAGAACCAAAACAGATGGCGCTAGCGTGCTCATTTATAAGGACATAGGACCTATCATCTTCAATACCCCGACTTTACTATATTACGTTTTAAACAGTTATTTTTAAGTAACTACAAATACTTACATAATGCTTTTGTCTGTTTCAGTCGCACCCTAAATACGCCTTCGATTACTCAGTAAACGATCCTCACACAGGAGATCATAAAACCCAATGGGAGACCAGGGACGGTGATGTCGTAAGAGGTAACTATTATACTTTTAATATGTGCAATATTAAATACTGTCTATAGTTTACGCGAGTAATACAAATTTAAATAAAACACTTTAACGGTTTAAAACGCGATATATTAGTTAAACTTATTTGAAAATGATTTTTAACTTCGGCCCGACGTTTCGGATGCTTTGCAGCAGCCGTGACCACGGAGAGACTCGTGCTCACGATCGGGTCGAAGTTAAAAATCATTTTCAAATAAGTTTAACTAATATATCGTGTTTTAAACCGTTAAAGTGTATTATTTAAGTGTGCAATATTTATAAAGGTAGATATAATTTTTCCTTAATTCTTTTCATAATGATTTCAAATACAAAATACTTATAGTCTATATAGATTTCGTATAGTCACTTTCTCTTGGATTTAAATTAGCTAATTAACGTCTAAATGAGATAAAAAACATTGATCAGATGCCTATGTGGACTTTTCCCCCGGCCTTCTGTACGCGCAATGGAATATACTTATTAATGTAACCTCTTTCCCGAAATTTTAGGTTACCTTAAAGAGAACAACATTTTATTTTAATTCAACATAAGTATATTATAATCCTCTTATATGTCTCTGATGGGACCACAGAATATCAGTGTTGGGACGTTAGTTCCAATTTTAACATTTGTTTATTAGATAATTTAGTGGTGTTTGTAAAAAAACGTATTTCTATTCTAATCTATAAATGTTTACGTGTTTTGTTCGTTGTTTTTAGATTTCTATAATATGAAACATGTTTATTTTTAGGCGCATATTCGTTAGCTGAACCAGATGGCACCACTCGTATTGTAGAATACACTGCGGATAAGTACAATGGTTTCAGAGCGGTCGTACGAAAAATCGGTCAAGCCCAACACCCACAGACTTACGGAAGGCAGTATAATGCATACGGTTACCAAGGATACCACTAGATGGCGTTGTGCTAAATTAAATTATTGACATTAGAAGTTAATATTATTTATTTTTGTAGCTAATGCTGTATAGGTTTTTCACTAATACGATAATTAAAGACGACGAAATAGTGTATTTTAATTTTTTTCTGTTGTTTAAAACTCAATATGTTGAATAGTTAAAAAAAGGTTGAAATCATCGATGGCTCACGTTGGTCTCCAACCAAGACGAAGGGCGTTGCTTTGTTGCTTGAATCAAAGAGTACTGAGTTGCCGTATAATTGTCCCGAAAAATGTAAATAAATAAATCAGTATTCAAGGATTTTTTCTACAAATCGGTATCATTAACGCGTCAATTTGTATGGCCAATAATGTATATAATTTCCACATTTTTTATCGTGATTATACCATTTCCACTTTAAAAAGACACATTGATTGATAATAACGTCAGTGCTGTCATTTCACTGTTGTAATAATGAATGGGTATGAATATTAAACAATGTTAATTTAGTCTGTAATTTATACGTAAATGCGGGCTTGGTATTTCGCGTACATCATAAATGTCAGTGCGCAAAGTTATCATCTTCAATGGCTTTGCTTTCTTATGTCTTCCATTAGTTTTCATCATCGCGATCATTCGATTCTTGATTCTGGTGCAAACAGCTTTTTAGTTTAGTTATTTATTATATATAGTTGGTAAGCCTCTTTGAAATAAATAAATACATTACGGAATACACACGGAATAATAATTCCAAGTGAGTGACAATAATATTTTTTAACATATCCTAAAGTTTAACGTGTAATTACAAATATTGCTGCGATAATTGGAGAGAAATAAAATTTTAATTGAAGAAAAACTTTATTTAGAACTTAAAAATATTTTGATCATAATGACATAACAGCTGTTTTGCTCGTCGAATTCGGTGAATCTATTGCTGATTAGTTGCTCCTCAGGCTTAGACATACTAAGCCTGAGGAGCAACTGCACGGGATCGCGGGTTCCAATCCTGCCTGTTTCTTAAAATATTTTGTATCCATAAAATATTTTTTAGCTATCAAGTGTAACGTGTGAAAAATAATAATGTTCCAAGTTGTTTTACTCGATTTGCCAAATATATTGTTACGTAATTTAACAAATAAGGAGTACACAAGCATGTGTACTCCTTATTAGACAATAAATAAAATACTTTAACGATTCAAAACGCGATATATATTAGTTACACTTCTTTATTCTTCTTTCTTTACGTCCCGACGAGTTAGGTGCTACTCGCAAACTACAGACAGTGTTCAATCCACACAGTCAATTAAAGCAATTTGCAACAGGCGAGTAACGAAGCGTCTTAGGCTAGTGCAATTATTTATTTGGTTCCTCTTGATGTAACACTAATACTTCATCGTGATACGATCATTTCAGGGATATTACGATATATCCTACTGTATAATCATATTCTAGAGCATGATTTAAAACTACAATCTAGCGACCTGCTGCGTCGGGTCTGACAAATCTAGTTATGTAACTTAAAAGGTATTTTGTATGGTGGTTACAAACGATACTGCTTAGTAGTAACACAAACACATGTAGAATAAAATCCCAGAGGCTCCGGAGAGTAGCACATTACAATAAAACACGTGTAACGGTTTAAAACAAATAGTTTAGTCAGCTTATTTCTTGTATGTCAGCTTATTTAAACCAAATAGTTTAGTCAGCTTATTTCGATTTTATTTAAACTACGGCCCGATGTTTTGGATGCGTTGCAGCAGCCGTGGTCACGGGGGAGTGAAGATGGAGGATGTCCCTAATGTCAAAGTCAAATCTGCTACGCTAGCGCCATCATAAGTAGGTAGATTTAACTTTAAATTTCATTTTTAAGATATTTTGGTCGTGATTTAAACTAGTTAAAGTCTCGACATAACATTAAATTATGTCTGTCGGGCAGGGCAAGTAGGATCAACTACTTACCTAAATAAAATAGGTTAGTAAAACGGACACTAAAATATGTTCGCTCCACAGACGGATTTTCAAACTCACTTGGGGCGATTGACGAGATACGGTTGTACTTTTCAAAAGTAGACAAACACACATTTAAATAGATCATGGTGTAATCGCATAGCTTACGAAATCAGTTCTTACTTGTAAAATATGTTCGCGTGACGTATAGCAAATTAGCATACATAATCAAGCGGGCGTATTTCATATTATATTAAGACTTTACGAGTTGTTTTGTCACATGCCTCTTAATACGTTATTTTTAATAGCTGTACAAATGTCTAAAGATCTCCATTTTCTTCTGCGAATTGAGAATTTCAAATAACTTTATCCGAAGTCCAATTAAACATACATTTTACATTTACACTATTTTAGATATTGATTAGTTATTAAAACTTTTTTAAACGGGTTGAAATGAAATATCTTTAAAGTAGAGATTGTATAAGCAGCCATTACGTGAACCACAACTTAGTTTAATCAATTTTACAAAAATCGGAAATTATCTGCTTGAAACTTTATTGTACATAGATATATTTTATATAGAGTTAACAACAACACAAGCAACTTACAACAACATAACACAACAGTAGAAAGTGCTGTTTAATGAAGAAAAAAACATATTATCTTCTTATTGTAACACGAAGGCTCTAAATAAACTAAACCAATTTTAGTAAAAATATTTGTAAGGAATACAGTCATGGGTTTGTGTCCTTCTAGATTGAAAATGACGATATAATTTTAATTTAAAATGAAGGTGTTATAAGAACAATGAAACTGCTACCTCCATTTTGTTGAGCGCTACACATCTAGTATAATTTTGTGTTAAGTGTGTTGTTAATATTAGGAAGCGGATTAAAATAATATATGTGTATCCGGGGTAGGATAACATTGTACTTTAGACAATAAACCGATTAGAATCTAGGCATCTTCTAGCTATTATGTGTCAATGTGTGTGCGTGTACGCACAGCGGCGTGTCTTCGTGTGCGTTTATAAATAGGTAAGTGGTGGTCACCGGTGGGCATCCTCACAAACAACCTTGGATAATGGACAGGTTTATGTCGATTTTCGCGAAGGAATAAGTAATATTAACTTTGTGATAGTGAATGTTAAATCTTAAAGTGAATTTGTGATTATGGCTAAGCTACTACGCGTCTGGGTGAGTTATATACAATTTCAAAGCAATATAAGCTTAAAATTTGTAATAATAAAAATTTAATTTTGCTTAACATTATAATTAAATTGGATTTAATATACAGTATAAATAATATTAATGTATATATGGTATAATGGTTTAATATTGAATTATTATCCAATTATTAGCCTTTATAAATTGTTTTTATTTATAAATAAATAATATTAAATTATTTGAAAGATGAATTATTTCAAGATAAAAGTAATACATGCAAAGATGAACATAAGGTTTATTTCAGAAATTGGAATTTTGTAAGCCTTTTAAGTGTTCGTAAATATATACAAATACTAAGAAATAATACACTTTCAGGTACTTCTGGGAAATATACTGTTTTGTATATGCCAGGACTATGATGTTCAAGCAAATTTAGGACAAGAAGAAAGTGGCGTGAGTGCTTTAAGTTTAGTTAATGTTCAAAATGTATAATTTAGACCGTTACTCCCGTAAATAGTGCAGACAATATTTATGCTTATTACGATCTTAACACAAACGATAGCAGTGTGATATTCTTACGGGGCATGGGGCGGACACATTTTTGTACCCATTTGACGCATCAATTGAAAGGCAAGTGTAAAGTTGCTTGCCTGACTGACATTTAGAGTTAGGTGGTTATTGCACGGAGATTCAAACTAAGGAAAAGCTACAATGTTTTGACGTTTTAAGCATAGCTACGTTTTTTCATATCGATATGACTAAGTAGTCGTAAAGAGTAACAACATATACGAAGTCGTATATGTCGTTAACGTTTTAGGAACAATATAATGTTTTGTTTACCAAAGCACGAACGCTTAAAATTACGGTTCCTTATTATTTTTTAATTTCATTAGGTATAGCGGTCCGATGATAATGTTGCCGCTATATTAATTCCATTAAAAAGTTTTTTTTAATAGTGTAACAGTTTTTCTCATTAAATTGTACTCTTGTAGCGATTAAAATAATATTTATTAATTAGAATAGAAAAACAATTACTATATAATAATATAAGATTTACAATAATATACGGCCAGACATTTAGGACGCTTTGCAGCCGTGGTCACGGGGTCACTCCATAGTTAAAACAATTTTCAAATAAGATTTTATTTAAATGTGTACTACTCGCGTAACTACAGGCGGTATTTATTTATTACAAGGAAAAAATTTTAAAAGAAACTTGTTAATCGTTCTACTAAATGCTATAAAAAACTACTAAGCTACTTAAATTTAATAAAAAAGTATTGTATTACGCATTTCATATTGCACATTCCAGTCCCGATATTAAAATAACAAGCCCCACGTAATATTATGTACTTTAAAAGCCTATCGAAAGTAAGTTGGTGTCGAAATATTATTAACCAGTACTGGTGTTGTTCACCCACTTTTCTCTTTAGCACATGACAACTGGGTCGCTATGTAGATAAAAGTACTCCACTAATTGAATCGTGTGTTCAATATATCGATAGTGACGCAAATGTAGACCATATAGGCCTATTATCGCAGCGTTTATACGTGTGACATAAAATAATCTATATGATTTTTTAATGATAGAGAAGGATCGACAAGCATCGGATTCATTTGATGGTAGGTGATATACGTACGTATATTGATGGTATGTCGCTCTCTTTTGGCTTTCGTAGTAAAAACACTAGCATTTTATAATACTAAACAAGAATAACTAACCTAATATAATTCGTGTTTTAAACCGTTAAAATTATTTTATTAAAATGTAAACACTACTCGCGACTATAATATATGTTATAAGTATAAATCATATTTTATGACTTGATAAATAAAACCTTTGTTCTTTTATCAAAAGCACATCCGATACCTACATTAGTTTTAGAGTTCAAATTAATAGTCTATTACAATTCATATCTACCATAGTCTTATCAAGATGGCCTGATGGTAGCTGTGCTTCAAGGCATAGCGAGAGATTCTCCTGGATTGGAACTCAAAAGTTTCAAACATAATAAATGATTTCAGTCAGTCAGGCCGATGGTCAGTCTAGCAAAATCATATATATGACAAAGATTTAGAAATATGTCCGCCCAATCCCCCACATCACACTTAGGAGACACGACTTCACAACATTGAAATGAATTAAAATTTAATTATGGAAGTCCAACGACAAAAAATCTCCAATCATGTTTTATTAATCCATCAAAGAAAACTGCTGCCAATTTAACATAATTAATTGTAGCGCATAATTCCGTCGTTGCATAATTCGCCTAAACAGGCGTCAAAGTCAACGATCCGCTGTCATTGACATTGAATCGCGTGATGCGCGCGCGCTCATGTCTCCGCTCATCTTGAACTTGACGCGAGACTTTTAACGTTTATAGCAACTAGTTTTCTTAGGCCACGTGCAGTAATTAGATCTTAATTGGCTGAACGCCGACAGCTTGCCATAATAGAGAGAAATCAATTTGATTCTCGACTAAAATGTTGTAGGCCTATTAATATACATGAGGTGCTTACGCTTATTTTTACATTAGAAAAATGTTTATGTTTATTCCTTAGGCCTTATGGTTGTATGTTAAAAACAATTCATTATTTGGATAGTTTATATTAGTCACAAACAAACTGCTAGGTACTAAATTTTAAAGGCTTATTTAATATTTAACTCTTTTTTAGTAATAGCCGGTTTTGAAAAGGTTACTGTTGATTTAAGGCAATTTTTGCTACTAATACATTATATCTAGATGTAGCTGTGTAGTTCGTTTTTCGTAAAATACATTAAAGTTATTTTTACTTAATGTACTCCAAAATAAAAACGAAAAGATATTAAATATTTAATAAAAAATATTTATACCCATTAAACTAATACTGGTTCCAATAAACAAACATAAATCATGCTCGTAGATTTAATTGCTCCGGTGACTACTAGACCGTACTTTATATTACTTTTGCGTACAATATCGAAAGTACTTAATGCGAATGACGGACAAACTCTCACATTTAAAGCATATGAAGTTGAGAGCAATTTATTCTGAATTCCAATCAACACCAATAACGCATGCAATGAATGTCAAAGCGTTACAGAATTGGATCACGCGATCTTTGTACGCAGTTTTCACTTCAACTCACTGTGATTTCATCTTTCAGGAAAATCCAAGCTATTCATTTGGCTACGGAGTGTCTGATACACAAACTGGTGACATTAAAACTGTATGGGAGGAAAAGCAAGGTGACACTGTTAAAGGTAACGATAGCGTTTATTACATCATATACATGGTCATGTACATAAAGTAAGCGGAAGAGAATTTCTATATTTCAGACTTTTTCATAAAGCTCTATATTGTTATTTCAGGTCACTACAGTGTGATAGAACCAGATGGTTCTATGAGAACTGTAGAATACTCAGCAGGACCAAATACAGGTTTTACAGCAACAGTTAATCATGAAGACAAACAAAATGAACCGGACAATCCATTAAGTAACCCAGATTTTATGGAAGATAAAGCCCTTAGAGATTACGACAGATATTATGATTTTTCCGAAGATGCAGACCTAGAACCACCCTATAAAAGTGAGAAGAAGCGAAAGAGATATCCCTATGACAATCCTTATAATGATTACTCCCCTGGAAAGAGACAGAAATACCCTTCAGATTTAGAGCAAAGTGAATACACGCACAATATAAACATAAAACACCCGCATGATGATAGTTATGATGGTCCCGCTCACAGTCACATGAGTTACAGTACGGACCCCAACTGTAATAAAAAGCATAAGCCAGACGGTTATTACGGTAACATCGCTGATTTAGATTTCCGAAAACAAAAGTATCCACCCATTCCTGACGCCGTCAAGTATGACGGTGAAAAATACAAATCTGAAGCGTCATCTATCGATTCAGAAAAATACATCAACAGTTACAAATACAATTCTTTTAAACCAATAAAGCCTGATGATTACAATGATCCTCAACCGAAATATGGATACCCCAACTTTCATGATATCCCGCCCCCTGAAAGCACTTACTCCGATTATATTCCACCACGACCAAAGAAAAAGTATAGGCCACCTATTAGGGCACCTGAACCATTTGATCCTGAAAATCTAGATGATTACGTCTTAGTGCCAAAGAGGAAACTAAAAAAGCCACCGCGATATGACGACTATCAGCCAGAGCCGGAGGAAGATTTCGATCAGCGCATACCCTACACATCATATGATGACGAATTCGAAGACGACCGATACGCGAAACCCTTTCGAGGACCTACTGGGAGTCAGAAGGAAGAGAAGGTTGTAAAGAAAATCGTGAAGAAGAAACCGATAATTAATATTTTAGATATATTTGATATATAAAGTGAATACAAATTAGAATTGTAAGTGTTAGTCACTATATCCGACTGTGTGAATGAATGTGATATTGGGAATGTTTCTTATTTATTGTATTTGTAACTTATAGTGAATAAGGACTTATAATTAATAGATAGATTTCCCTTTACCTGTAAAATTGGATTCAGACTGATATCTCCTAATTATATAGAACGATACTATTGGTTTATTGTTTTATTTAAAACCCTATTGCTTATTAGTCTAGAATAACATAACAATATATCCATCACGACCTAACAAATGACCTAAAAAAGGTTGTTTCCCTTGATTTTAGGTGTATATACTGTTACTTGATGTTTCAGGACTGTATTAACACTTACAAAATTCGATGTATTTTTAGTGATATTTGTTTCTTTCATTATGACCTATTCATTCGTAAACTATAGACGGGTCTTATTTACAGTCAAGTAGTTGATCAGACTTCTGTGCTCTGCCCGACCGAAACAATCTATTTTCCCCCGGGGTTCGAAACCTCTCGCGCTTAACACAACGCTAGGATGCACGTTTAACAATTTAGCAATGGATGTGGTTTTTCAATAATTTGATAGCCTGTAACGTCTAATATTACTTGTGTTGAATCATTAAACAATAATCCACTGTATTACAAATTGTTAACCGCAAATACTCCTACTGATTTTTTCACTACATAGATCAAGAATGTATACATATATAGCTTAATTTGCTTTTGGACTTATTTGTTCTATTTCTTTCTATTTTCAATATTAAATTTACGATTTATACCTTCTAAGATACTACGTATAAGAAGTTCAAAGCCCTTAAACTGTGGAACAAATGTTCTATAATAAAAATTTTAATAACAATATCAAAATTGTTTGTTATTTAAATACTGTCTATAGTTTACGCGAGTAGTACACATTTAAATAAAACACTTTAACGGTTTAAAACGCGATATATTAGTTAAACTTATTTGAAAAGTCTTCCCGTGACCACGGCTGCTGCAAAGCATCCGAAACGTCGGGCCGAAGTTAAAAATCATTTTCAAATAAGTTTAACTAATATATCGCGTTTTAAACCGTTAAAGTGTTTTATTTAAATTGTTTGTTATTTGTTTGTTTTGTTTTTAGTAAAAGTAGTGGCTACGAAGCTCGCAGTGTTTTCGAAATATCTGAACACTTTTTGTAACAGAAATTAAGTTTCAATCTATCTCTACAATGTGACATTTACTTTTAACCAATCAGAAAATAGTCTATAGTAATATTATAAAGCCAAAAAGTTTGTTCGTTTGGTTGAACGCATTTATCCTAAGAACTAGGTACTAGTTGGATTTAAAAAATTGTTTTAGTTAGAACATTTATGGAAACAAATAAAACATCACCCACAGGAGCGAAGATATTGTGGAAAATGTGGAAGAACAGGAAATATTGTTATATTTTAATGTTTATTGTCTCTCTTTATTAAATTACAAAATAGAGAAAGATAACTGGGGCAGCCTCGTTCCCGTTAATTGATTCTTTATTTTTGGAATCTTTGAGAGTTTCGGTTTAAGATTCCCAAAAAATATTTATTTTTGAATGACCTCATACAATGACCGCACACTATAGGTATCTTTTAAGACAGATCAGATAAGGACTAAGGTAAGGACATAGGTAAGCTATTTTTTATAAAAATGCAAAAACAAATTTTGACACCCAAATTAACTATATACTCAGACGAAGTCGCTGGCACAGCTAATAATTAACATACCGTTCGAAATGTGATTATAACAACGGCGCAATTAACTGCGCCGATCGGCGTTTGCGCAAGTGAGCTCACAATGATAGTGAAAGTATTGAAACTGGACCGCGCGGGAGTGTGCTCGTTTGACTTGGCAAGGACGGTCAGCTTAATTATGTTGCATTTTTTGCTTATCCGATATGTAGGGCATTGATACGGCTTTATCGTGAACAGCGGAAGAAAGAATGGAATAAGATGAAAATAAGAGAGATGTATCTTAGGTGAAACTATTTGTGTTAAAAACAAATTATTTGTCTATTAAATGCTGTCTTTTAGCTTACGCAAGTAGTAGACACATAAATTAAATATTTTAACGGTTTAAAACGTTAAAATATTTAATTTATGTGTCAAAAAAAAATTTGTTAAATTTACGACCACCCGTGATCATGGCTGCTATCCGCAACATCGGGCCGTAGTTAAAATAATCTCCAAATTAGTTTAACTAATATATATCACGTTTTATACCGTACAGTGTTTTTTTACATTTATCTATTTACAGTTAAATGCGGTAAGTCTCTGTAGGCAACTATGTTTTGGGGGATACTAAAGTATGTTTATCTCCAAATACAATAAAATTTGATACAATATCCCACGAATGTGTAGCTTAATGTTTTATTCAAGTAATGTGTGTACATTCACTTGTGGGCGCGCCCGTGACACCACAGTTTATTGTCGCAATGTTGGCACATATGCTCTTAACTTTGAACCTAATAGTCTATGCATAGAATTGAATACAAAAGATTCAATTCTATGCATAGACTCTTCTGATCTCTGACAACAGAAACATACATTTTCTTACATACGGCAGCAGAAACAAATATTTTGCTCGCGCAAATTCAGACATTTTGAACATATCTAACAGAGTATTGTATGTTAGACGCGAGTAGTGCAGTTTAAAGTATTAAAAAAAAAATATACAAATATATTGGTTAAGTCGTGTTAAATTTAAGTCACATTTAAGGCAGTTTCTTTAACTATTAAGTACGACGAAACAGATGGCGTTAGCATAGCGGTTGACTGACATTAGGGACACAAAATCTTCTAAAACTCAAGACCACTGCTGCTGCAAAGCATCTTAAACGTCGGACAGTAGTTAAATAAAATATTTTAACTTAAATTTTTCGTTTTAAACCGTTAAAAGTGTTTTATTTAAATTTCATCCAAGATAGCTAGAGAATTATTGTTGTTAGCGTTTCATTAATGTTATATATGTCTTATATTAATATTTTTTGTTTTAAACAGTAAAGCAGGGTTTTTAGAATACGAGGCATTGAGCTCTTCTGGTGTCAATGCGGACAGAGTTTCCAATATAAATAGCTTTATTAGTGACAGAGTTGCTGAAGAAGGCAGGAATATATATAATCTTTTACCATTTATCACTAAATGATAAAAGATTAACAGGGATAAAAGAGTTAAAAAGCTACATTTTACATGTGCAATTTCTAAATTTAATTCACACACAAAAAATGTCGATCAAGGCCTTAACTATTGCTGTCTTACGGATATAGGCATAGTTCAATCTTTCACGGTCTTTGTGGCGTGGCGACAGTGTTGAAATATTGTTTCTTTTTAAATTTATCTACAAAACACTGTCTACACAAGTATGTCTGCAGTTCACGCGAATAGTACACATTCTAATGTTTTTTACTAACGGTTTGAATCTCGAATTATAGAATTTATAGTTGCAGCAGTCGTAATCACGGGAAGGGGGAAATTTTGATTTATATTAACTACCTCGGTCCTAAACTTACTGATACATTTTGCGGTTTAAACCGTTCATAGTGTTTCATTTAACTATTTAACCAAAAAACACAAGAGCACAACAGAAATAGGTTAATTTGAAACGTAGTCTATGTTGCGCCAGTTATCTTGCAAAAAATGAGAACAGGATGCGTAAATAAAATATTTTGATTGCATAGTTGTTTTACAATAACCAGTGACGTGCCGTGAACCAACTATTCGACTGTGTGTTTACATGCATAGTGTGATGCGTATCCTTTATCTTAGTTTTTTAAGCGTCGCATAGCGTAGGTTTATAAAAATAATGTCCATGATACAAACGCACGACCGACCTATAATGTAACGACCAAAGAAATATGTCTGTCTGATATCCTACCGGATAGGCAAGACCTAAAGCTTAGTTTTTTTTTTATGACACTTGACAGTCAAGCATGGCCACTTCTTAGTAGATGAAAAACGATCTATTGCGACTTTGAATATTATAAATTAATTCTTTTAAACGGAAACGCCTTTAATAGACGAAATCAATTCTTAGGATCCCTGCTTAACATATAGTTTCGGTCGGGCGGGGCACAGAAGATATTCATCAGTAAAACCTGGATAGAATTGCCAGTGGAAAATCAAACGAATGTTGCGCTAACCACTTTTCATGCCCTAGAGCAGAGATGTTTGAATATTAGTTGCCCGCCGACAGCGCCAATAACACTCAAATTAATAAATTCTTTTTTTTTTAATTTTAAAGCATCCATTCTTTATTGTCTTTAATTAACAATACTTCTGGCGGCTCGCCATCAGTTCATGATTTGCCCCTGTCTTAATCAGTCTGTGCGTCCCTGCCCTAGAGATGACATGTTTTAAACAAATTCTCAATAATAATTACAAATAACTTTCAACACAGTTTAGAGTTTAATATTCTCATATTCATAATGGATCATTATGACGTTATGATGTAATATCTATTTCTTAATAAATTAACATACGGAATTCATTTATTATAGCTATTCTGATTACTGTTGTCATTTGTTCTGAATTATGTATATCGGTTCGTAAACGTCGAACTACACGCGTCTTTACCCGCACTAAGTTTAATTAATAATATAAAAAATATTGGTTGTAAAGTTTGTAAACATTTAAATAAAACACTTTGACAGCTTAATAAGCTATTCATATTAGTTATTAATTTCAAAAAAAAATAACACTATAACGGTTTAAAAAAATTATTGCGGCCCGACGTTTCGGATGCTTTGCAGCAGCCGTGAAGCGTGGGATTCTGAAGATGGAGGGTGTCTCTGACGTCAAGGAAAAAAATGCTATGCAAACGCCATCTGTTCCTTCGAAGTTGGTATTTGGCGAAACTGGCCGGGTTCTTGCAGAATTAAACCGTTATAGTGTAAATGTGTACTACTCACGTAGACCACAAACAGTATTTAAGTTTGTAACCGTATTCATTGTTTTAAACTGCGTTTAAACGAATATATTGGTAATGCGTATTCTCATATAGGTTTTATGCTTATCAAAACTCATAGAAATACCCATAATACACCAATTATCAAGACAGCTTATAATTACGAAGGAAGTGCATGTAAGTATTTGAATACTGTTTATAGTTACACATTTAAATAAAACACTTTAACGGTTTAAAACGCGTTATATATTAGATAGAGTTATTTAAACTTTATTTAGTTTAACTAATATAAATCGCGCTTCAAACCGTTAAAATGTTTACTTAGAGTAAGTATTTAGTATATTTTGCTCGTAGCTATTCCAGAATAGCATGTTAAAACAAGACCTACGTCTAAATTTGCTAAATTTCGTAAGCCGTATATATACTCTCTTTACCATCTGCATTTATAGTATACGGGTGTCTTAGGTATTGAATTATTATTCCAAGTTAGTATTAACAAACACACATACTTGTGTTTTCTATTATAAGATAGACTTGAGTTTGAGCAAAGGACGTCATTACATAATAGTGAATTATATAATTAGTAACATAATCATATCGGCAGAATTTATTATAAGACAACTGGTGTTAGAAGACGGAAAAGGTTTCCCGGACTATGGCGAAACCACCATTGCTATCGATCAATGGTTAATCCGGGGAAAATAGGAAGACCATCTAAAAGTATTAAGTACTTGTCTGATCATAAACTAGATATTTTCTTATGATAGAGAAGGACAGAAACGCCTGAGGTTCACCTGATGGAAGGTAAAATACCATAGCTATACAGATTCTCACATGATGTGTTGTCGACCTTTACCTTGGATATTTGGATTTTAGAAAAATGTTAAACGCAATGGGGAACAACCCACGACCCGTTGTGTATTAGCTATACATTTCTATCGTTACCAACTAGCCCGTCGATGTTATTTCGTCGTTGTGTTATAATTACTAATTCTTGTTTCAGATATCGAAACTACACTATGTAGATAAATCATGCCTCATATATTTGAACATCTAAGTAATTGAATACCGATTGAAAAGCATTTATCATTAATCTTATCTGGTATTCGTGAACAATCAAATTGTTAATATAATATAAAGCAACGTAGATATTTCGAATTGCGCACAATATTATTACATTACTCAAGGAATTTCTCTTAATAAATACTATCAAATTGGTATGTAGTAGTAAGTAGGTTTTCAGGACAATATAATAGACAAGCTTTTTATTGAAATCATTGGATCTCAGTTTTAACAGTTTAAAACGGGAAAACTTAAATTTTTTTTGTGTTAAAATATTTGTAACTGTGCTCTACATTTTCAGTTAATACTCTTTGGTCACATTGGGACATCCAACAACACCTAAGAGTTCGTTAAAATAAATTATATATCTAATTTTGAATCGTTAAGAGGTTTTATTTGATTCGTAAGTACTCGCATAAACCACAGATAAAAAAAACTGTTATTAAAATTAGAATTTTTATACAACATTTTGAAAGAGCAACAGAAATTTATTTATAGATACGTTTTTAATTTCTGCATTACTTACGAAATTAATCGACCTTAACTTAGCATAACTCGTTACACTGGATTTTAGGTGGTGAATGACATCGATGGATGAATCGTACCTGCAACTCTCGTCTTTAATTACAATTTATAATAGATTGGTATAGAAAAATCTATATATGTATATATGGACTTTTCACCTTAATTTTAATTAAAGATCAAAGTACATCAAAACTTTTGGAAGGACCTGGGAATTAGTTTTTACAAAAAACCAGGCCCAACGATAGCTACGCTAGCTATCGTTGGGCCCCGGAACTTGGGGGCCCTCTAACCTCATCTTTGAAAACATATAGGCGTGAAAGAAAAGCAATCCTTTAAAGGAATTGAAATGGTTTTGTTGCTAATAGGCTGAAATTCCTTCTTAGGCCCTAGGACTAGGTAGACCGGGGCCCTTGTCAAACTAGCTACGCTAATGTATATTTCTTCCTACTTTGACTCCAATACAGTTGATTTTTATCTTATCGAACATAATCATTTGTACACAGTTAATATTTAATATTTGTGTTCTGTCATATTTAAAAAAGTTATTTTCTATCTAAATACAATATGTATAAGTCACTAATAACTGTACTTACTAAAATTTAGCAGGAGAAAATATATATCCAAAATTTTACAACATAATAAATTAAAGCCTGATATCATTATATATTAATTGCTGTTAAATTTGGGTTACTAACAGTTAATTAATCAATTGAGTTTTAATCACAATAATGTAAGATTTTAAGATAAATATTATAAGAATATTAAGTGATATAGAGTTTGTATTGGTGGCTAGAATATCTTAAGTATTTTTCGTAACTTGTTCATTTAGAACATAGGCTAGCTGTGACTTTGTGAACTGGATAATATTACAACAAAATGAAGCTTTATTTATTCCTTAATTTTACCAAGAGCTCACTTAAATAGCTTCACTCGTTAAACAAGACAATACGATAGAGCCATTTTTACACAATTTTGAAAAAGGAACACTTGGTTTTAAAAATACAAATAATTCATTGGTAATAATTAAACGCTATTGTTGTGTTTAAACTATATGCTATAGACCTTCGAAAAATACTTATGCTATCGTAAAAGTTTTAAGTGTCCCAGCTGTGGGACACAAGGGTGTGGAGTGCTAAGAATAAAAAGTCTCAATCTCTGCATAAATATTTATAAGAATCTAGCTGTAATAACTTGAAATGTAAGAAACTCGTAAAATAAAATTGTCACTAATAACCCAATTCTACATCGCGCAAAGATTAATTGGCTTTTAAAAGTTTGTATAGAAAAGCGTTTAAGACAATAAATGCGGACAAAAACTAGAACTAGAGTCAACTATAGGTGAACTTAATTTATTCAGAATTCTATTTTCGTGTGTGTTTCGCATTTGACAGTATACTGGTAATAATGCAAGCCTTAGCTAAATTATGATAACGTTGGACTTAGTATGGATAAGACAAGTGGTGTAGCTATCGTAGTAAGGCCAAGTGGTTCAGGGCACCAGGACCCCAGAACTTAGGGGCCCTCTAACATTATCTTTGAGAAGATATTGGCGTAGAAGAAAAATATTTTTAAAGTTCTTGTTGCTATTTATAATTTTGGAGGTTCATTTAATTAAAGCTATGCCAAAAGAGAGGACGAGGACTCGATGTTTTTTTGAGCCTTGGGATTAAGTAGACCGGGGCCCTTATCCACCTAGCTACGCTACTGGATTAGACTACAAATATTTATTTTAAAAACATTAATTGTGTGATCTCAGGAGCATAGTATTCGTCAGAAGCTGAGGTTAAGTATAGTATATTATTTATTTGTTTATTTAACGATAATTTTTTATATCTACTTTATAAACAATTAAAATAATTTGTAGCCAATATTGAGAACTAACAAAAGAGCGAGATGTTGTGGGATTAAAATTAAGTTTATTGACAAACAGGTGTATTCAATTATAAGTTTGTTTATGTATAAATAATGTTTGATTTTTTTTTTTTGGGGTTTTTTTTTTTTTCCAAAAAAAAAAAAAAAAAAAAAAAAAGGTTTTTTTTTTTTTTTTATTAAAAAAAAAAAAAAAAAATAGTTTGACCGTATCCTTAATATTACAATGATCTAGTTTAGTCCAGCCCACAGCACACTTGTGCCTATGATACCGTTGGCGATCTAAGGTCTATGCCTATAGGGCTGTATACCTAGATCTAGTCTGGTATATAAGCGCCAGTTATCTCACATTTAGGCACACATTGAGCCCTAGAGCTTACTAGATTAACGTGTCTAACTTAGAAAGCAACACAATGTTCGCTAAGGTACTTTGTTCTTTTATACGTCTCGATCTTTGAAAAAGGAATGTGAATATTTCAAATGCGTTCAAAAGGTTTGCATTGTAAAATTCCATTTTTAAATATATTACAACGTATTACAAATAATTTCAGGCCATAGTCGCGTGCGCATTGCTGGTGGTGGCACATGGAGGTTTGATAGCAGCTCCTCACGGTGCTGTCTCCTCCCAGAGCATTGTTTTGGGACACCCAGCACCCGCTGTAGCAGCTGCCCCGGCGTATGGTTATGGTGGATACGGCTACGGTGGATACGGTGGATATGGTGGATACGGTGGAATCGGTCTAGGTAAGGTGGTTTAGAGACTAAGATTAAGATTAGGAAATCTAACATAGATAAAGTATGTGGTAGGCTTGTTGGTCCAATAGCCATCATTTTTATAATATTATTTTTAGAAATTAATTTTATGAAACATATTATTGTTGTTATTAAAACATGTTTGACTTTGTAAGAAACACAGGCTATTAAATAGGGTAGGAAAATTCAAATTCTCTCTGGGTCGACACAGACACATAGACAAGCCGTCAAGTATAATCGCGCTTCAGTCTGTGTAGTTTTAAATATTCAAAGCCTAAAGAGATCGATAGCGCATCATGTTTAGATTTTTTATCGCTGGGTTATTTCAAATACCATCAACTAATTGTTATGTTTGTCTGTCCTTATATGTCATATAAAGTTGAACTGTTTGAGAAGAGACTGTTTGGCTTAGACGAATGATGTAACGATGTACATAGTTGGACTTACACGTTTTAATATTTTATTTACATGCAGTTACATCTGAAAAATATTAATTTTTAGAACCTGATTTTGAACCTTAAAATCTAGAAGATAAGGTTGAAATTCATAGATCGTAGTATTTCATAGATATATTTGGACGACAAGTCCTAAATGTTACATTACCAATGTTAAAGGTCGATTGCAGGTCACAGCGCCGTGGTTGCGCACGCGCCGATCGTACACGCCCCGGTGGCGCACGCCGTTGCCCCTGTTGAAGTATATGTTAGTATATGTGTTACATAATATTAAAATTATATTATTTTTAAATTTAATTTTTGGCCTAAGTTAAACACATGTCGAACACCAAATACAAGTGATAACATATTTAGTAACACTTTATTTAGACCTTATTCTAATATGTTATAGAAAGCGCTGAAAAATAACTTGATCATAGAATTGGCACGTTATACGATCTAGAAGGAATTACAGCTAACCTTATTCTAAGTAAATAAAAGAACTAGCTGTTGTTTCATGGATAATTGCTGATAAGAAAACAATTTATTTCAGTCCCACCCCCGGTACCAATTCAATTACGGCGTCGCCGACGGCCACACTGGTGACCAGAAGAGCCAATGGGAAGCGCGCGATGGAGACGTGGTCAAAGGCCAGTACCAATTAGTGGAGCCTGATGGCACCGTCCGTACTGTCAACTACTCGGCTGACGACCACAACGGGTAAGACTGTATACAGTACACCGATAAGAAAATATCTGAATACAATTGTGTATTAGATAACAAGCAAACAGCAATAGAGATACTTGTTTAAGGGCCCTAAGCAACGGTTATTAGATCAAGAGTGTACTGAACGATTTTTTTTAAATAATAGAGGAGAACAGAAAAGCATAAGAAAAGCAGGCTCAGTTGATAGTAGGTAAAATACCCCAGCCTATAGCGTCTAAACAAAATGTGTTGTAGACCTATTTCGGCTTTGGATATTAATCTACTATCTGATAGTAGACTTTTTACTTTCTAATACATAGAACGTGGAGCACAGAAGCACATTATCATCACGGACCACAACCATTGTAGCTTGACCGCACGACTGAGAAGTAGAACTTCTACAGATCTACTTTAGCGATATATTCTCTGTAAGCACAATGAAGTTCAATAAATAATGATGAACTGTTTTTAACAGATTCAACGCGGTTGTAAGCAGACACGGCCACGCAGCCCACCCTGCGCCAGCCGTAGCCGTCGCGCACGCACCCGTCGCGTTAGCTGCGCCCGCGCATGGCGCCCTCCTTCATGGTCTTCACGGATAAACGACTAATAATGTTAACTTAGATTAAGCTAACGATGTTATATGGATGCTTGGTAATGGTACAACGAACGCTTTCAGGCACAGCGTTTCATAAGGTGTATCTATTGGGACGTAGGCCCAAAGTCATCGCGCTCCATTCGAGTTCTTGACTATTGTATTATATTTTCTTGTAGTTTATAAGCTTTCATGTTTTCATTGTTATACATTTTATGAAACGTTAGATGATGCCTCCGGGGTGCTGCGTGGCGACTCAGTACTCAGTGTTAAATATACTTTTTCATACAAACCATTTCGTTTTTTTACGCCTTTCCGATCGTAAAAAGTACATTCACAGTCGCTGTAATCGCGGTCTCGAAATTAAAACTCGTTCCTTACCCTACATATCGTGAGGGATATGTAACTTGGTAATAAATGAGTAATATAAAAAGGCAGCGATTTTTTGATACAGCATCACTTCGTGTTCAATATCCTTCACAAAACATTCAAGTGTACAAACATGTATTCGAAAGTAAGTGAAAATATTTTTTGCATATCAATTTCAGTATCTAATAAGACATAACTACATTTAAATGTACGTATATAACGGGAACTTATTAGGATAATCATTATTTGTGTTTTTAGGTATTTCTTCTCGTAGCTGCACTAGTTGCAGTTAATGCACAAGATCACTATTCGCATGGACATGCTACCTCTTCACAGTCCATAATTCGCCACGACAGCGCTCCAAGCCACGGTTACAATGTACAACCTATCGCTGTTCATGCCCCAGTATACCAATCAGCACCAGTTCATCAAACTGCTTTAACCGTACAACACGCTGCCCCTGTCTACTCTCATGCTGCTCCTGTCTACTCTCACGCTGCCCCAGTCTACTCTCATGCTGCTCCTGTCTACTCGCATGCTGCCCCAGTTGTCTCTCATTCTGCGCCAGTCTATGCCCATGCTTCCTCTTCTATTTCTCATTCTACCCCTTACATCACTCATGCTGCACCTATTACCCAACATGCCATCCCTACACAACATTACTCCGCCCCAGTTGTCACTCTGCAACATGGATCCGGTCATTACAACCAGCAATACGCACAAGGACATCAGGAATACTATGTAAGTCTCACTTATGAATGCGTTCATGCCCTTATTTGAATAACTCATAGAGAATGGTATGAGGCCTTTTGTTTTTCAAAGTTTGCTGGCGTTCACCCTCGAAAAGAGTAAGAAATATCTGTAACTAATGTACTGCTTCCATTGCAGAGCCATCCTAAATACGAATTCCAGTACAGCGTAAATGACCCTCACACCGGTGACATTAAGTCTCAGCATGAAGCTCGCGATGGCGACCACGTCACCGGTTCCTACAGTCTCCATGAAGCTGATGGTTCGGTTAGAACTGTACACTACAATGCTGATGCCCACAATGGGTAAGAACATCTATACTAATACTATTAAGCTGAAGAATTTGTTTGTTTGTATTTTATTAAAAAATATGTATTTAGGAATGATTCCTCTTTAAATGACACAAAACGGGTGACGTCGTTGGTAACAGCTATAACGAATGACGATGTTTGCAGAAACAAAGTGTGATGCCTTAAAATAAATACTATTTTGAGACGTCACGCGGACGAAGTCGCGCATAGCGAGTAATAAATAAAGACTTAATTAAAGTAGAAATCAATAATTATAAACCTTTAGGCATTATTTTTAGGTTGTAATAGTGTTGCAGAATGATTAGTAACAGAGCGTTAATATATTTCAGATTCAACGCCCAAGTTGAGCACTCACAGCCATCCAGACATGTGACTCCAGTCGCAGCTCATGCCGCTCCAGTCCTAGCTCATGCCGCCCCCATCTACTCCCACTCAGCTCCCGTCTATTCCCATGCAGCTCCCGTCATCACCCACGCTGCACCAGTCCCCCAATATACCTCCTACCATCATTGATAAAAATAGTAGATAAGAATTAGTAAATATTTGAGAATGTTTAGATCTTAATATATCTAGTCGTGAAATACAACTTTCTTTTTTAACGTGCATTGTGTTGCATTTATTTCTTTAATTAAATTCGTAAAATTTTGAGCTCATATAAAAATAAAACTTATGTGTAATTAAGTATTCTATAATAATAAGAATATGTAGATATTTTAAATAATTTAAGCCTTGCCTAACATTGGCTAACAAGATCTGTCAGTAGTTTCCGTGGGTAGTACACATTTTAATAATTCACTTTTAACGGATTAATCATGTGTATTAAATAAATGTTAAAAAAGGGTTAAAGTCATTAAAATAAATAATGCTTTTAAGTAATACATTTTGCATTTTAAACCGTTAGAAGCATTTTATTATATTGGCTTAGAAGGACATCTTTAATTGTGCTTAAATATCAATAATTAAGAGAAAGGTTTACAAAGTTCCACTATTTAAAATATTATTACGGAAAAAGTATAATAAACAACTGTTAATCATGTCAATAATTAAACCGACATACAAATATGTCTGCCCCATTAAAAGAGGGAATTGACTTTTTTATTTAAATCACTGCAAAAAGTAGAACATACTATAAATTCGTAGCGTAACACGTTCGGCTTATCTAATCGAGAAATTTAGCATAGAATACGGCAGAATGATGTATAGATGCGTCGGCGCATCGTTTCGTTCGTAAAATACGGTCTCGTGTACGTTAACCTCGTCGAATCGCCTTCCGCGTCTTCTCCTTTCACTGCATTCTTTTAATTAATTTGTGAAAATATACCAACGCATAATTCTAATTGTTATACGTACGAGTATTATGCGTCGCGGAGTTATTCATACTCGTATCGTGTCGCGGTAATGTTAATTGCGTTTTCGTCGGTGTTTACAAATTAAACATTGTTGATAAAATGTATTGATTTATTTATGAATAAATTTCATTCTATAAAAAGAAATAAATTTATTTACTAGTATTAGCCACACAAAAATATAAGAGATATTCCCAATTTCTTAATCTATACTAATATATAAACCTGAAGAGTTTGTTTGTTTGTTTGAACGCGCTAATCTCAGGAACTATCGCTTCGAACAAAATTCTCTTTGTGTTGGTTAGAGCATTTATCGAGACAAACTATAGGCTATAAAATATCACCCTGGACAACTACAAGCGAAGATACAGCGAGAAATGTGAACAAAATTTGGAATATCATTCTTCATTATGGGTTTCCGAGGCGTACGCTGCAAAAACGGTTCAAGACACCCCAAAAATTTGTATGTGGTGACAGCTTAAGTTTATAAAGATGAAGGGGTTTGGAAAAAACGAATTTGGATGCCCAAAATAAACATTCTTAGCGGGCGAAGTCGCTAAAATAGCTTGTAATAGATATATAAGACAATGAACCATAACCTAATCTTAACAGTGTAACAATATTGTTTTTTATTTAAAAACCTAAAACACGCAAGAGTCAAATCGAAAAAAAAAACCAATTCAATTTATTAAATACTGTCTATAGTTTATGCGAGTAGTACACATTTAAATAAAACACTTTAACGGTTTAAAACGCGATATATTAGTTAAACTTTTTTTAAAAAGTCTTATATTTTTTAATTTAGTAACAAGTCTTATATTTTTGTGTGACTGATGCTAGTAAATTAATTACTTTCGTTCTTGTTATGCAATAAAATTTATTCATAAACTAGTAGTGTCAGCGACTTTGTCCGCGTAGAATAGTTATTTTGGGTAACCAAATTTTTTTTTGCAAAACTACTTTACCCATTTTCCGTTACCCATGACGTCAGTCGCGTCCTGTCGTTTTTGCAAATGATTCTCAAGAGAGAGACATATACTGACGCTGACTTTTTTTAGATCATTTAAAGAAAGGTCATTCTTTCATTCCCACCGTTTCGGATGCTTTGTTGCCGAAAAAAATGTTTTACAGTTGCAATATTATAGTCCTTTGAACAATTTCAATGATTACCACTTGATATCAAAAAATAGTGTTAGATTTCTTTATATTTCTTGGTTGCCAATTAAATAAATTATTATTCACTGTCTATAGTTTACGCGAGTAGTGCACATTTAAATAAAACACTTTAACGGTTTAAAACGCGATATATTAGTTAAACTTATTTCGAAATGATTTTTAACTTCGGCCCGACGTTTCGGATGCTTTGCAACAGCCGTGGTCACGGGGAGGTCTCCCCTAATAAACTAATATATGCCGTTAAAGTGTTTTATTTAAATTATTATTCAGCAAATAAGCAAATGAAAAAATGTTATATTTTCCTTATATAACCTCTTTCAAAATAATTTTATTAACAGCTTAATTCTTAATTAGAAATGTCCGTTCTATTCTAGATAATAAGACACTTCTGCTGATTAAGTTTTTCACTTTCAATTTGTTTTCTTTGAATTGATGATTCGTGATAAAATTTAATTTATAAATAGGAAATAAAAAACGTCCCATTTAATTATACATTTTAATTTGAAACTAATTAATCTACACATGTATCAACAATTAAATAATATTTAAACAACAGTCTTAATGAGCAAAGTATGCTTAACTTTGATGATGGCTTTCAATATGGACGTGTTGTCCTGGCGCTGAATGCTTCACAACAGCGTTGAATCTGTAATTAAAACAAAATTTAGAAATTTATCGAGAAAGGCTATAAAATTACCTCGTGTGACTTATAGGAGCGAAGAAACAGTGGGAAATGTGGAAGAAAACGGGGAAAATTTATTCAACTTCGTGGGCTTCCGATCCGTACGCTGCGAAAACGGTTCAAGATACCCAAAAAATTGTGTTTAAAGATTGATTCCTCTCTAAAGCATCTAAAGAAAAATGCCCGGGTCACTATATCTTTTTAAACTTTTCTTACAAGAACGATAGTGTGGGTTACAGCTTAAATTCATAAAGATGATGAGGAACTTTGCAAAAATAACTCTTCTACGAGACAAAGTCGCTGACACAGCTAGTTTTCATTAAAGACTATTTTTTTTGTCTTATAGGTCACCATATAACACGTCATTGTTATGACTAGGGTCACAGACATGTTTCAAAAACATGATAAAATTATTCATTGCGAGTTTTCAGTATCTCTACTCACCCATGATGCTTATCCGATGTGTATTCAACTGTCCTAACTGAACCATCAGCCTCATGAAGCGAGTATACTCCCTTCACGCTGTCACCATCACGAACTTCGTGTTGGAACTTGTTGTCACCAGTGTGTGGATCCTCTACTTTGTACTCATATTGATATTTTGGGTAAGCCTGTAAAAAAAGCCCAAAATTCACCTCTAAATCAAAAAAATGTTATTTTTGTTTGTTGTAAGTCTACTTTGTAAGTTAACACATTAACACGTTTTATTATCCGAAAAGAGTTTTTCTCAGTTTCTGTAGGTGTGTCTTAGTCTAATGGTAGCGATGTGTCCATCATATTTCTTATAGGTTTTTTTAATGGCGCAACAATTTCAAAAATCAAACACTATCACGAACCACTATCCACAGATAACAAGACCCGTGAAGTTTAATCGCAGATTCAGTCTGTGGAGTGGATTTCTGAATAACCAAAGTCAAGATATAGCGACAGAGTATCTAGTTAACATATATGGCTGAACTATTGCACCTTCCATCATGTAAACTCCATGCTTTACTATCCTCCTCTATCATAGAAAAAAAATTATAATTTGCCTGTAGAAAATTAAGCAGACACAAAATGTATCTATCACCAAATACGTACACGCGTATATACGTTTACTATTCCACTGTGGAAGATAATCTCATTTGGAATTAAAATAGACGAAGTGTGATACGAATGAAATGAATGGAAAGTTTAAAATGAGAGGCGGACATCCGTAAACGAAATAACGATTAGAATCAGTTCGCGCCAACTTACATAATAGTCGATAGGCTCGTCGTGTGAGTGGACGTCAGATTGGTACGAGGGTGCTTCGGAATGGTGCTGCTGGACAGGTACGTGGACGTATTTAACCTGCTGATGCTCTTCGTGGACAGGGTAATTGGCGGGAGCTTTCTTGTGCGCGCTATGAGAAGCTAGCTCATGAGCTTGGTAATACTGCTTGTAAGCAACCGGTTGAGCTGTCACGTATTCATAAGATTCATGGGACTCCTCTGTAACAGCTGGGTAATGGACGATGCTTTGCGATGAGAGTCCAGAGGTATGTCCGTACTCCTCGGATGCTGTTTGATGCTGTTCTTCATGTATTGGCGCAGGCTCTCGACTGTGCTGTGGATATCTATACTCCTCGCGTTGAACTGGTCTATATTTGTAAGCGTGTTCCTCAGCGTAACAAACCGCCAATACGGAAGTGAATACTAAGATCTGTAATGCAAGAGGAAGTTAATTTGAATTCTAGAGTTTTATCGATTAGAATTTTTGAAACCTACTTTGAACATTTTGAACCTTCTTCTGCGACCTCGGTAGTGAAACTGATGAATTAGCATAGGTTTATACCTCAATATATAGTGGAGACGTTACGAGAGAGAATTGAATCAATCTTACTGCTCGAGGCAAGCTCGGGACTGAATTGTAACGCGTTGCACGCGTCGACTTGACGTAACTTACGTAACCAATGTGAAGGTTGTACACCGGATATTCTGAAGAATGCTCCTTTTTAATCAATACTTGCTAACGTTATCTAATTACTCTTTTGTCTTTTGCCAACGTTGTCGTAATGACTCTATTGTCAATACAATAAGCTTTAGATCAAAAAAAAATAAGGTCAAAAGGACCTAAAAATGGATACTTAAGAGACACCAAAGTGTTTACGTGGTTAAAAGATAAATGGGTATTATCAAAATTCTAATACTTACAACACACGCAAAACCACGCCTTCTGTAAAACTTCAAAAACGTCATGCCATAGTAGATATTTACTATGACAGCGCGCTTTATAATCCGTCAAAAGTTGCTTTATGTCATGTGTAACACAGGCATTAACAACAGAACTTGCTTTATTACAAGCAGTTAAATTAAGATGTACACGAGTAGTTTCTACAATGCATTGAACATTGGCAGTCAGATCTACTTTTCTATCTGAATTTTAAACGGGTCTATGGATTCAGAATTAAAACGAGCTTACGTTACGAAGATTTAAAACCTGTGCGTACTTAGAAAGTGCTTACCGTAACATAATTGCATTTGTTTAGTCTTATCCTAAAATCGTTATCTGCTATATATGTTATGTAATCGGCGTTGTGTAAAGTAAATTATGAAATTCGCTTTTAATTATACAATTTAAAAGTTGGGGGACGGGATGAAGTTTAGTTATTAGATTTTTTAACTGCATTAAATCGATGATTTTTCAAACGTTATTTTATTATATGAAGTTTTTTCAACAAAATTTTATCACCATAAAAGCTATAACTGTTTATAGTTTACTCGAGTAGTACTATTATCATTAGTTAAACTTATTTAAGGAAAACGATTTCTAATGCTTTCAAATAAGTTTAACTAATATATCGCGTTTTAAACCGTTAAAGTGTTTTATTTAAACCATAAAAGCTGTTCTTGTGAGTTAAAGGATAGACATATACTGTCAAAAATTTTATTCTATCATATATATATTTTGGGTGTCTGAAACCATTTTTAGAGCGCACGCAACGCAATATTCGTTATTTCGATCATATTAGTTGCAGTACGATTTTATAGCCCTTCCAATAAATAGTCCAACCAACACAATAAAGCGTGTTCAAACAAACAAGTTTTTTTTCCTTTTTTTCCTTTTTTTTTAATGTTAAACTCTTCATATTATAATATTAGTATAGTTATTTGTGTTCTTTTGTAAATTTTGTTCAACATAAACCAATTTTGGAAAGTCAGCACCACAATCTAGATACGACGGGGGGTGGGGGGGGCCCCGCGCCCCTCCCCCTTTTCCTCAAAAAAGCGTTTAAAAGCGTAATTTTGGCAATGGATTCGAAGTAAAAACGATTCATGTCATTGCCGCTTCGTTCTAAAAAACCACGTGCTGATTCATTGACCGAATCGTTACCAAACTACCGTAATAGAATTACGATGATCAATACAAAATTGTTAGCCGAATTGCGAGAAATTGAGTTTTTTATATGAACATATTTATGTTTATTATAAACGTACACGTATACACATATATATAGAAATGGAGATAAAACAAAAACGAGAATTCTTATTATAAAGAATTAAATAAAATACTGATTAAAAGACGCTTAGACAAAATACTGTCTATAGTTTACGCGGGTAGTACACATTTTAATAAAACACTTTAACGGTTTAAAACGCGATATATTAGTTAAACTTATTTGAAAATTATTTTAACCTTCGGCCCGACGATTCGGATGCTTTGCAGCAGCCGTGCCCCGTGACCACAAGTTATAAATCATTTTCAAATAACTTTAACTAATATATCGCGTTTTAAACCGTTAAACTGTTTTATTTAAACGCTTAGACATAACATAAAAAAACATAATAAAAAAAGTTCAATAAATGTAAATGTATGCAAATAGAGTAAACAATAATCTTACATTTAAACACATCTTAAATTGAATATGTGTCTGTTTTATTTATTTAAGAAAAGATGTTTTCTTTCGAATTTACTAGAAGTGAGAAAGTTTGAGTTTCAATTTCAACTCACGTTGTCATTATAGTTGTTCTCCTAGCTCTACTTTATTTACACAACATAATATAAGTTTTAAAATAGCGTTCGAAAGTTACAGACTAGACTGATACTTAAATATTATGCTGAATGATTTCTGGGTTACTTAACTATTTAAATGTGCCTCGGTTACGTTGCATAAATTAATTTTAGCCGTATAGAAGTTTGGCAATGATAGCAAAAACTGTTTTAACTTTGAATATAGCTATTACAGAAACATGATACAGTAGCGACAGATGCTTATTACCCAATTTATAACATGGGCACTATGGAATAAAGATTAAAATAGTATAGTACTTAGTTATTTTATTGTTTACTAGCTGTGCCCGCGACTTCGTTCGCGTGTAATAGTGACTTGGGGTAGAATTTTTAATTATTTAGGCTGTTTATTAATTTATGTTATTGCGTATTTATCGCAGCCAATCTATATTGTAAGTGCTACTTTGCCGCAACACTCTCACCTCACATCACTCCTACTATAACTTCCACTCTCACTCCCACTCCCACTCCCAACCTTACTCCTATTTTCAAATAGCCAAAGAAGAAAGTTTTAATGTTATATCTTCAAAAACCACGAATTTCCATACAAACTTTCACCCCCCTTTTTAACCCCTTACAACCCCTTTTTCGCAATACAAAGTAGCCTATGTTCTTTCTCAGGGTCTAGACCATATGTGTACCGTTTAGTAGTTTTGGCGTGAAAGAGTAACAGACAGACAGACAGAGTTACTTTCGCATTTATAATATTAGTAAGGATAGATATGATGTAACAACGGTTTTCAACGTCGATTCGGGTTTAAGCTTGGTTTAAGATAAAGGACGAGTCTAAAACTTTTAAATCTTTGTAGCTAAAAGGCGAACTAAATTAAACTAAGTAACGAGTAAAAGTATCACGAATCTCTGAATCGAATCGAATTTTGATATCAAAACATTAGATTATTACATAATATTCACATATGAAAAAGATGTGAAGTTTTATAACGCTTTCAGTCTGTGGATTTTTGAAAATCCATAAAATCAAATAGGCCAACAGCGAATCAGTTTAGATGCTATAGGCTTGGGTATTTCACCTACTTACTATAAAGTGAACTAACAAGTTGCCAGTCCTTTATTATCATAAAAAAAGTACATACCTATTTCAATATAATCCGACATAACGATCCAAAAATATCTTGAACTTTTATTTCTATATCAATTTTGCTACGTGTCTGAAATATCAATATATTGAAGAATCCAAAGCCAAAAATAGGCCGACAGCGCATTTTGTTTGTCTGTTATATGGCTGGGGCATTACACCTCCCATGAAGTTAACACCATGTTGCTCTGTTACACTGTGTAATAGAAAGATAGATAAATTTTGATTAGCAAACTGTGACCATTTCACATGTTGAATTGTTAAAGTTAGGCTACCTTATATAAATAACTTACGTAATTTAAAACTGTATATCTAAACACAATTACTGCACTATGACCAAACCTTAATGAAATTTTCAGCCAAGTTATGCGTCTTGTGCAAACAAGGCCGCGTGTAGAATTAGTTCATTATTAAGAGTAAGTAGTTCGTACAAGAATATTAGTGAAATCAACATTACCTTGGTTAGTTACTTTGCTATGAATATAAAAGACCCGAATTTTATGTCAACTGTATCAGTATATTGTTGACTTTGATCGCCAAGAAATACTAAAAAAATAATCATGATCTCTAAGGTACAAATATTTTGTATTTAAATGTGGTGTTAAAAACAGTGTAAAACGTTCTGAGTGTGGAGAATGTGAAAAAATTAGCGAGAATTACGATTTTTAAATAATACACATTAAACGGTTTAAAACGCGAATTTTATTAGTAAAATAAATGTACAAATTATTTTAACTAGAGCCCGACGGACGTTTGGGATGTTTTATAGTAAACGTGGTCATGGAGGAACGATTAAGATTTCTTCTTAAATGTTACTAAGTTAAACTTAAAACCTTCAACCAATTTAATTATATTTTATTTAAGTTAACATATGAAACGTTCGACTCTTTATTATTAATAGTTATTACAAGCATTACTTGATAATAAACAAGACATAGTAAGACAAATCGCAAAACTCCTTTACCGTTCCCATAATAATTTCTTCATTTCTTTAGGTACTCTGCTTCAGTGCTCTCATTGGCATTGCTTTGTCATATGCCCATGGACACGCACCAGCATATTCTTCCCAACACATTTCAAGACACGACGGCCCAGCCGAAGTGGTCCACGTAAAAGGTCACGATGCCCATGGCCACGGTCATTACGTTGCTGTGGACTATCATGTAAGTTCACTTTAAATTAAATTTAGGTATCTTACCTTACAATAAAACACTTTTAACGGTTCGAAACGTGTAATGCATTAGTTAAACTTGTTAACAATTTTAACTGCGATCCGACATTCCTTTGATAATATAAATAAGTTTACCTAATTCATTTCACGTTTTAAACCGTTAAAAGTGTTTTAATTTTAAGTGAACTACTCGCGTAACCCACAGACAAGTCTTAACCTGTCTTTAAATAAAAAGAAATCGGATAACAAGAAAGTGGTACATATGACCAATTGTTGTAACATAATACAAATGTTAAATGATCTGTGTATAATATTTTGAATAGCAAATGATATATGCTCCCTTATAGACTCCCAAATCATATACCTGCTTACGTCACTTATCATATTTGATTATTTATAATTTTCATATGTAAATACAATTTTGAATCTAAACATTTTAGAAAAGGGTTAAGGCACGGTATATGAATCGTTTCCTTATGTAGCAAGCGGGTTTCGAACTTATATCTATCTTTAAATGCGTATTTAACAAATATACTTGTTAAAATTACAATACAGTAATAGCTATCACATTTTTTTGTAGCAATTTAGCTTATTAAACAAAATTAAATCAACAGGCATACCCAAAATACGCTTTCGACTACAAAGTTGAGGACCCTCACACCGGTGACTTCAAGTCCCAGCATGAAGTCCGTGATGGAGACGTCGTGAAGGGAGTGTACTCTCTTCCATCAGCCTGATGGTTCTGAGAGGATTGTCCATTACCACGGAGACAAGCATACAGGGTATGTACACATAAATCTTGTATATAATATTTACGAATTTATAAAATATACAAAACAAACACATATTGTATCATTTGGTGAATAAAAATAGTGATAGATTATCAGACATATTCAATACATACTGTCTGTAGTTTACGCGAGTAGTACACATTTAAATAAATCACTTTAACGGTTCAAAACGCGATATATATTCGTTAAACTTGCCCGACGTTTCGGATACTTTGCAGTGGTCATTTGGTCACGAAGAGACCGCAGTTATAAATAAGTTTAACTAATATATATCGCGTTTTAAACTGTTAAGTCTTTTATTTAAATATCAATACATACAGAAAATAATACAGACCTAAATAATTCTCTAGTTACATCAATGTTAAACATATTTTTAAACAGTAATTATGTTTCTAATTAGCTTTCACAACCGTTCTAAAGGCATTTATATTATTTATTTTCTTAATTATATTCTAATATATTTGACGAGTTCGATGGTGTAATGGTAGCAATTTAATATAATAAAAATCCACGTGTCTTGGGTTCGACCCCACCAGTCCAACATTTTCCTAAAAAAAAATATATTTTTTCTAAAACATGTTGGACTTCGTCTCCCAATCTTGATATTAAATGTGTGGCAGGAATATCAATATTACGTCCGGGCATGAATTATCGTTGAAAGATAAAAAAGCCGCCAAGCTTAATCGCGTTTCGTTTTCAGTCTGTGGATTTCCGACTATCCAAATTCAAAATAGGTCGATGGTGCATCGCGTTTGGACATAAAAAAATATAACCAACAATGTTTCTTTATAGATTCCACGCTGATGTCAAGTTCGGTACCCACCACATTGTACCCCAACCCCACCACGATGGTCACTACTAAATAGAAGAATCAGGACCTTAGCTTAGTACAAACCGCTGTGATCTTAGTGTAGTTTTTATATATTTGATTTGATTTTGTACCTTTGATCGTTTTGTATTTACATGAATGTTGTCGAAATAAAGTGTTTCATTAATTTTGTTTTTTGTTTTAAATATGAACTCGCTTAATCTTGTTAAGTTTTTAAATCTTAAAACAATGTATGGGCTTTTGTAATTAATTTCTTTGTTTCATTATTAAGATAATATAATATATTGCATTTGTTTACTATGGACCTTCTAACCCAAATGGCGAAAAAATATTTTAAATCGAAATAGTATTTTTCAGTAATATTTTATCCTTAATTATTTCAGTAATATTGTTATATATAGAATCACAAATATACAAATCTACCTCTTTAAAATATATGACAAGTTAATCTATATGATAAGCTCGCAATAATTTTGAAAAGTTCCCTGAAGAGTACATGAGTTAAATAAGTCTCATAAAAATCCTATGTACCCTTTAATAATTTGCACGACGTTTTTATACCTTTTGACCACGACGAAATATCCGTAACGACCTCTTTAGTATCTAAAAAACAACTTAATCTAACATATATCACGTTTGGAACTGTGTCAAGTATGTAGTAAGTACCACTCGTGTAAAATAAAAACATAATTTAACATAACTCGTGTTATTTTAATTTCCATCGGTCATATTCTATACTTAATTCAATATTACCACCATTAAAACCTTACTGCACATGTCTCAAATTATACATCAATGGATTATATGTTTATATCCGTTTCACTGAATAGTATTATTTAGAGACAGTTTATTCTGACCTATTTGATCAGAAATCACTGTTCCGATCTACCAAAACAGTTTATCGTTTACTCGGGATTCAAACGTAGTATTTAACTGCTGATCTATGGAGGCAGTGAAACAAATTTTATTTTCATCTAAAATAACCTTCTCGCAGTTATGCCAATACAGTTAATTACCTTTTCGTAACGAAAAATTTGTAAACACGTTGCGGCAAATTAAGAGTGAAATTGGCGTTACCTTGATCATATCACTTTGTCTAACAATATAAAAAGACATGAAATTTGTTTTCATGTATCAGTTTCACTTAAGATTTGAAACAAAAAGTTAAAATGATCTCAAAGGTAAGTTAAAAATTGTTAAAAAAAACTAGCTTAATAATTATAAATTAAAAATCGATTATAGATTGCAAAAAATTGACGATGACGCTGTGGATGCCGTTTCAAGTCCTGCCCGTGTCGTAAAATTATTTTTCATCTATAAGATTTTTAATTTATATAGATAGTGCCATCATGCGAAAAAATATCAAAGTTTTCATAGCTTTACTTTTAAATGAAACCTTATGTTCCCCTTTTTCTGTTGCAGATCCTTTGCTTCTCAACCCTCCTAGCCGTGGTTATGGCGCAATATGATCACCATGAAGAAGCCCATTCCTCCCAACACTTCACCAAGCACGACGGTCGTCCGGAAATCGTGCATGGACATCATGGGCACCATCATGATTATCACGTAACAATATTATTTTTTAATTTAGTAAAACATACTGATAAGACATATTTAAAAAAAAAATTAAACAGTTTCCAACGCAAAATATATTAGATAACTTATTTAATAGCGATCCGATGTTTTGTGTTTGCTGCAGCCGTGATGCAAATAGCAAATTTTTGTTTGATTGATTTAACTTGATTATTTTGATTGATTTGAACAAAAATTTGCTATTTAATATATTACGCGTTTTGAAACCGTTAAATATTAATATATAATGTTTAAAATGAGTACACTCACGTATAGTTGTAATGTTGTTTTAGAGTATGATTTAAAAAAAATATATAACTCTGAAGGAACTTGAACCCACGACCTTACAGCAACAAATTTGATTGCTGTACATACTACTGTGACTCTGCTTCAATTTAAATTTGGAATTTCACAATTTTTCCAAAATTTGAAATTCGTGAAATCATTTTCATTTTCTTACCATTACTTACCTTCTAGACTCACCCCAAGTACGAGTTCGATTACAAGGTGCAGGACCACCACACCGGAGACAAGAAGTCCCAGCACGAGCACCGCGATGGCGACGTGGTGAAGGGCGTGTACTCTCTTCACCAGCCTGATGGTTCTGAGAGGACTGTACACTACCACGGTGACCATCACACCGGGTAAATATATATTTAAAATTACGATACATAATTTTTTATGGAGTCTAAGATAACTATTCAAAGGTGAGATATGTTATTATAATGATAGACGAGGACAGACCTCAGTCAGTGAACTCAGCCTATGGTATCTAAAAAAATTGCGCTGTCGACCTATTTTGGCTTTGGATATTCGGAAATCAACAGACTGAAATCGAAACCTGATTAAACTTCACGGCTTTTTCATCTGTGGACAGCGGTTTATGATCCGGACTGATTTTCGATATGCCTACCAGCCATTTAATATCCAGATTTCCAGACGAAGACCAACATGTTTTAGAAAACTTAAATTTTGTCCCCGTGTTTGTGAAAAAATCATATTAAAAGTCTTCTCTATATCCAACCCTGTTTGTAATTTAGCTAACATTTCATTGCAGTTTCCATGCTGATGTCAAGTTCGGTACTCATCACGTGGTCCCCTATCATCATCAGCACGGTCATCATTAATCATTTTCATTATTCACTGATTGTTCACATTTGCTAAATTTTGTTACGTATTAAATAAAAAAACTGTTGAAATTATATGTTTGTGTAATTTTCCTAATACATACTACATGTACTAACAAAAAACATCGGCTCAACGCTTAGCTTCGAATCTCGGGAGTGTGACTACCTACTTGTTATTACTTGTTATTACTTGTGACTACCTATTTGTACTACTAGTACCTACTTGATTAACAATAAAACACAAAATTGTGTGTTCCCCATGCCGCATGAGACATGAGAAAATATATTACGAAGCAAAATAATCAAAGGATGATTTAAATAAGGTTTTTTATATATACCTATAAGAGTAATAAAAAGTAAAATCCTCTGAAGCATAGAACATTTCTGTGTCTGTTTCACTGATGGGTTAATCAAACTCAGTGCTTTGCCCGACCTAAACAATCTATTGTTTCCCCGGGATTCGAACCTGGGACCTCTTGCGCGAAAGCTAAACAACATCTTTAAACAATAAGCTACAGAGGCGGTATAATAAAGTAATAGACATAGATAGGAGAGTGATCTTGTCTGTACATATTAATTTTTGGCATTTCGTTCATCGGTCATACACCAAAATATTTACTTTTGTATAGATTGTGATACAGTAGTCATCTGCCGAAGAATTATATTGTTCAACGATCTATATAAGACATATTTCTATGTGATATCTATGGAAGATATGTAGTAATAATTAATACAACAAAGAAAATAAGAGATTAAACACTGGTATCTCAAGAATGATCAGGTATAGAGTATTTGTTCTAACTTGGCGTTTTTGATAAACAAACACACAATTTACATGAAATCGTAATTGTCTCAAAAGACTTACCTTGATTCACACAAACAACACTTTTGGGACACTGGATTATATATTAAACTACTTAGTAAAACAACATTTTCCTACTAAAATTAACGAAAATCTTAACAAAATCTTTACGAAAATGCACAGATTATAATTTTTTGTTTGACATTTACATGAGGATGACCTAAGTCAACGACAATAGAAGATAGAAATCCCAATCATGCCTGGTCGGTGAAAAGTTACACCGTCAAATAATATTATTATAGCATAAAAACCTTAAAAGAGAAGTCGTCATAAAAGTGATTTTGAATATTGAGGTCGTTTGTTTTTATATATAATTGTTATTTTTTTATCTCTGTGTCAACAACTTCATTCTATACTGTCTGTAGTTTAAAGTTTAAATGTAATCCCTAGTTCTCTATGGTTTGGAAACGGCCATGTTTGTTGTGGTCTTTTGCTAAGAAAAAAATACCCTATAGTTAAAAGTTAAACAAGAGACCTAGAACGAGTCTGTAATCTTAAGGAGTCAATTGTCAAAAATTAAGAATGTCAGAAACGACATTGGCTCGAGTGTTTTCGATTCCCGAAGGGCCAGGTCAGTTCCGCCTAATACCAACTACGACGGAACAGATGGCGCTAGATTGGCAGTTTTTTACTTTGACGTTAGTGACACGGAAGGTGAGTCTAATGACAAAGTAAAAAAAATTGTAGTCTCCCCCCTAAGACCACGGCTATATTTCGCGATTTAAACGAGGTTTTTTATTTTAACAATCGAATTTCATCAACCCATTAATACATGAACTCTCACATAATGTAATTTCAACCGTATTATTTACGTATTGAGGTGCCAAGACTTATGCTTTGCAGCTCAAGAAATCATTGAAGAATTTATTTAATTCTCTTATCATGCTATAACAACAGATTAATAAGAAAATTGATGATGATTAAAGGGTTCCTTTACAAGAAAACGAATTTTTAGATTGATAGAAACACTTAATAGTATTAACAACTTGATTTTAAATAATTTACGTGTGGTGTACCTCATACAAGAAAAGTAATTTTCTATAAGTACGGAACCCTTCCTACGCGATTTAAACTATTTGGTATAAAATATCATGTGATATAAAGGTTAATATGATAAACAGTTACACATAATATGTAAAATGTTGTAAAGTAAAATTCTGTGTGTGTGCCCCGTGACTGTTAAAATTACAACTTAACCAATATTTCACACGTTTTAAACCGTTAAAGTCTTCTATTAAAAAATTTACTCAAACAACATGTAACAGTTAAGACAACAAATACTTCGGAAGTAGAAAGTCGTTTTCCGGGATCTGATGCAAGACCTCTCTAAAGAGCGCTTTTCCTAAAACTAGGCAATACTGTTAACCATTTAGCTACAGAGCCGGTCTTTAGTAAATTAAGTTACTAATAAATAAAGCAGATGAAGTGTTGATTTTAGGGTTATATTAAAAAAATATATTAATTCCAATTAAATTTTATTTGTACATTCAATCACATAATAACAAATTAACAACCAATTATATCACAATTTTTCTCGTTCATCAATAGTGATGATGATGAGGGACGATGTGATGAGTTCCGAATTTCACGTCTGCGTGAAAACTGTGAAGAAGAGAAGACATAGCTTAAAATATTTATAAGGTGAAGAATTTCTCTCTTTGTTTAATCGTAGGAACTACTTGTTCGATTAAAAAAATATTTTAGTTTTGGTTAGACCATTTATCAAGGTAGGCTAAAAAACATTAGGCTATCATTAATAGGAAGGAGCTAAGAAACAGTGGGAAATGTGGAACAAAGGGGAAATGTTAGTCATCTTTGAGGGCTTCCGTTGCATGGTTCAAGATGCCTTTGATATAAAAGTAACCCCAATGTAACATTGATTTTTAATAATACGTTAAAACTTATCGTGTATTGTATATAAGGCTTATTCAAAAGCCATAATTTCCTAAACTATACAAAGTATGTTATAAAGCTATCAGAAGCATTACTTTCTTAAACTATACAAATTCAAATTTAAATATTAAACACGTTAGAATTTACACGACGAAGAAGACTTAAGATAGAACATTCGTTTATAGACAAAAATAACATTGACTCAAGTTGGTCTTCTTCATTTCTTTTCATCTTTATTTCTTACCCGGTATGATGGTCACCGTGGTAGTGTACGGTCCTCTCAGAACCATCAGGCTGGTGAAGAGAGTACACACCCTTCACTACGTCGCCATCGCGGTGCTCATGCTGGGACTTCATGTCTCCAGTGTGGTGGTCCTGCACTTTGTAATCGAACTCGTACTTGGGGTGAGTCTAGGGGGAAAATTAAAGTTTGAAATATTTTTGAGAGTTCTAAATTCAAAATGATCGAATATCTATTTTTCAATTGGAAGTAAAGGAAAGCTTACATTTAAATAAGTCATTTTAACGGTTATAATCGCGATATACATTAGTTAAAGTTATTTACAAGTAATTGTAATTATGGCCCGACGTTATGAATTTATTAGGTACAGTAGCCGTGGTCACGGGGGCTATATTTCGCCTTAAACCGTTAAAGTATTTTTTAAATGTCGCGTAAGCTACAGACAGTATTTAATTAACCAGAAAGCTTACGTGATAATCATGATGCCCGTGATGACCATGTACGACTTCAGGATGGCCGTCATGCTTGATGAAGTGTTGCGAGGAGTACGCTTCCCCATGACCATGACCATATTGTGCCATGACCACGGCGAGGAGGGTAGAGAAGCAAAGGACCTGTAACAAAATAAAACTAAGTATAAACACACTGACACACTTGAAAACTTTTATTGTAACATTCAGAGCGTGGTAGCGTGTATGCCGGTTTGATTCCCGCTCGTGTCGTCAATTTTTTTTAATCTAAATAGAATTGTAATTTATTAACAATTTTTTAACGAAAACCTTTTATTTACGAGTACTAAGTATGTTACAAAATTATCTAACCAATATATTGTGTTTATTTAAAATTTTTAAGGATTGATTTAGAATGGATAAATATAAAATAAATTACAATATATATATAAAAAGCCAAATTTTGAAAAATTATATTTACTCTCAGGGTCTTATACTAAGGATATAGAATGAATTAGAAGAATAATAAAAGCTAGAAAAAAATTTGAATATTAAATCGTACCTTTGAATACATCGTAATAGTTGTATCTGACAAGTTGTGAAAAACTGATACATAACGAATTGTTTCCATGTCTTTTATATTGATAGACAATGCAATTTGATCAAGGTTGCATGCAACATGTATCGAAATTTAGATACAAAATTGGTTTATACGCAATAGAGTAATTATATTTTTTATAGTTAAAATTCACTTACAATATATTAATTATAGTATGCCTGGTTAGGTTAGGTTGATAACAGTTTCAAAGCTTCGTATTTACCACGACATATATGGGTCGGCGAGGGTCAACGACTTCTGCTACAAAATTCAATAATGACACCTGGTGGTTAAGTTTTCTTGGCTCAAAGGCTAATAACATGGACTTTATTCATACTGTGACTTGACTTGGGATTCCAAGCCTGGATAGAAATCCAGGCTTGTCTACCGAGGTAGCAGTGGCGCTGCTTAAAATAATTACCTAATCATGTAAATGTATATATATATTTTTGTTATTAAAACAGTTTAAACTGTTAAAAATCCGAAATATATTAGTTACTTTTTTGAAATATAAATATAAAAATTTTCACATTAGGACACCCTTCAGTCAGCATGGATACTGGAAAGCTTGCGAAACGTTGGGCTGAAGTTAAAATTAATTAAGAATAAGTTAAATACTGTCTATAATTTACGCGAGTAGTACACATTTAAATAAACCACTTTAACGGTTTAAAACGCGATATATTAGTTAAACTTATTTGAAAATGATTTTTAACTTCGGCTCGACGTTTCGGATGCTTTGCAGCAGCCGTGGTCATGTTTTAAACCGTTAAAGTGTTTTATTTAAATAAGAAAAAGTTATCTAATATATTTTCCGTTTTAAAACAGTCATAGGTGTTTACTTTTACGTAACTACAGATGAAAGATTATACCTATAATAACTGAAATTTGAATTTATAGACAAGTAACACAGCTGATTGACTTACCTCAGTGTACTATTTGTGATGTATATAAGACGTTACATTACGCGTTACGTTGCAAGTATAACACGACCTAACCCAATTAATAATATCAGTGTTGACACTCGCGATAAACCAGTTCAATCAACGTTTTTAATTACATGAAAGTATTCAATTGTCAATATTACTCAATTATTTTAATAGTGTCCTGCGGTATAAAAAGCTCGATTATGTGAAAATATTATACAGTCCTTAATTGTAATCCAACGCTTAACCAAGTGAAAATGTTCGCTAAAGTAAGATAAAGTATATTTAAAAAAAATAGTGCAAAGTAACTTAAAATTCTTAAGTCCTTCTTGATTACAGTTCTGAAGATAAGGTTTACGGGTTTATTGTATAACATGTTTATAACATAGTAATGTTTTGTGAAGACTAAATAAATTATACATATTATACATACAATAGACATCAACGCCCTCCTAATATACCGTCTTTAGTTTACGCGAGTAGTACTTAATTAAATTAAACACTTTGACGGTTTAAAACGCGATGTATATTAGTTAAACTCATTTGAAACGGCTAATATTCTAAAAAAATGCCACCAACCAACCATTATTTTCTTTTTTTCCTTCCATGTCCTATAAATCCTAATCTTTATAATCAGTGGACTATTAGAAGAAGTTTAGTCAAACAAGTAATTTCTTTCTTTTCCAGATCCTCCTCGTCTCCGCGTGTGTTGGTATCGCCGTTGCCCAATACGGTGGATACGGACATGGTAACGCACATGCAGTGTCCTCCCAGAACATCGTTCTTCACCAAAATCAAGGTCATGTGCAACACGCTCCCGTTTACCAACACCAGCCTGCTGTGATCCAACATCAACCTCTGCACTATGCTGCACCCGTACAACACCAGGATTATCATGTAAGACTTTCACAATAAGATATAAAATAGCTATTTCTCAGATAGCATTGAAAATACTCCAGACTTTTCCCATGTAAAGTAAGAGTTTCAAAATATCGTCCTCCACCAGGCTCCAGCCCACTACTCGTTCAACTACGGCGTCCAGGACCCTCACACCGGAGACTTCAAGTCCCAGCACGAGTCTCGCGAAGGCGACGTGACCCGCGGAGAGTACAGTCTGCATGAGGCTGATGGAACCGTCAGGCGCGTGGAATACTCCGTCGACCCTCACAGCGGGTAAAAATTACTCTTCTTAAGATGTTCTTAAGATTATAATCTTATATCGTTTATCTTTAAAGGAAATAATTTTAAAGTTTTGTCGCTTTAGCAATTTTTTAAACTAAGAATCAAATTCTAGTGAAATAAAGGGAGATTCCCGTAAGCTCTCATAAAGTTATTATAAACATTTATAATACTTTTTTTTTTTCAGTTTCAACGCCGTGGTCCATCGCGAAGGACACGCCAACCATGCAGCCCCCGCCTATCATCATTAAGAATATAATATTATAATTTAAGCTTAAGTTAATAAATAATTCAAGAGTATTTAAGTTTTTTTATTGCTCCTAAAATATATGTGCGCGTGCGACCCTTTTTTGATATAAAGAGATATGTTAACTAAAACATTTTATAACTAAATAATTGAAATTTAATGAACATAAATAATTAATCGTAGTTGTTAAAGTATTCTATTTTACTACTTGGATAGACTTAAGATGCAACCTAACTTATTACATAAATAAAAAGTAATCTATTGCGGAGAACACTTTTCAATTCAGTAATTTGATTTCCTTATTTGAGACTTGTCAAGGAGAAAACTAACAAGTGTTACACAGGCCATTAGTGGAAAAAAATGTAATATATTTTTAATTAAAACCACGGATCATTAAAAACATTGTTATTATATCAGTACAATAAATAAATTCGACGATGACGTGCAGCTAAATTAGACTAGCTACTCTGAACTCTGGATGCGCGTTCAAGTCCCGCCTGTGTCGTAAATTGTTTTCAATGTAAATGGATTTAAACTAAGACTACCTTAAAAAATTCCTTCTAAATATATTATAAAAATATGTATGTTTCACTTAACAGAACATAAATCTGTTCTATAGTAATTACTCTTGCAGTGAAATCGATTTTGTATTGCATAGTTCTCCTTGGTAATTGACTATAAAAATTGTTAATTTGATCTAGTATGTATCAGTCGACATTCTTACTCGTTTCGCTCCAAACAATTCACTTCAAAATGTTTTTTAAGGTAGAGATTTTTTATTTATAAAAAAAAATTGAATATTGTATACAATGTCAGTACGACTAAGTAATTTTAGAAAGAGTAACGAATACATTTCAAAAGGGTCTAAGTAATTATAACTGATAAAAAAGACAAATGAATGTAGTATTTTGGAAATATTGCGACTGCTACTGCGAAGACGAATCAGACTTGTGTTATGGCCGGTTTGAATATTTCCTTAAAAACGATTTTATTTATTTTAATAAAACACTAAAACGGTTTAAAACGCGAATATTTACTTATTTGAAAGTATTTTAACAGGCCAACTTCCGATGCTGCTGCAAAACTAATATATTTCGCGTTTTAAACTGTTAAAGTGTTTTATTGCAATATGTACTACTTGCGTGAACTACAGACAGTGTTTTATTTATGTAAACTTTCAGTAAACTATACTTTAATGTAAATTTATATTAAATTGTGAAGGCTTTCACGGGCATCGTTCAGCATGTCATTGTTTTCCAGCTGATCGGCCAACGTGAGTGGGAAGAGGTTCTCGACGTTTGCCATCACGAGTGGACGGCATCATAAGGAGATGTTAACTCCTCGATTGCTCGAAAGATTAGAACGCCGGAAACCTCCTCTAGCTTACGTCGGCCGGACAGCGCGAAAAACAATGATTTACAAGATTTATACTGTTAGCAATATCTATAAAACTAAAATACTTTTGTGTATAGCTGGTGTGTTTTGCGGCTGTTGTTGCTACCGCGTTCGCGCAGTATGGCCACGGTCACGGCCACGGTTACTCATCCCAGCACTTCCACAAGCACGATGGACACCCACAAAAAGTCCACGGAGCGCATGGGCACCACGACTATCACGTAAGATTAAAACAACTTAATTTGTTATATGAAGTTACAACTTAGCTAAAATTTATGTTACCTTATGATGCAATTTTACTAGACTCTCTTTGAGATAATTTTACGGAATAACAAATCGGCTTGTTATCATTATACGAGCAAAATATATAATTATAATTACAGTAACACTTGTTTTTAAAAATAGTAACGTCGCATGTTAAGAAAACTCAAAATATTGAGATTGAAACTTTTAACTAACAACTTCGATGCGTTTCCGCCGTAGAGTTGACGTACAACCTAACAATGGGTTATAGGTAATAATTGGAATAGACCATTTCACGAAAATTCACTTCTTCTAAAAGGCAACAAAGAGTTTCAAGAATAAATTGTACTCTTTCAGACTCACCCTAAATATGAGTTCGAGTACAAAGTCGAGGACCACCACACCGGGGACATAAAGTCCCAGCATGAACATCGTGATGGCGACGTTGTTAAAGGTTACTACTCTCTGCATCAGCCAGACGGTTCCGAAAGGAGCGTGCATTACCACGGAGACCACCATACTGGGTAAACATTATAAATCCTATTTTCACTTGATTTATTTTTGAAAGACCCTAGCTGACCCCAGATGTTTGCTATATGTATTTTTCTAGATAATATTTTGGTAGAAAAAAGTAATTTACTTATTGATAGTACAGATGAAGTAAATGAGTGAAGAAATAGTTATTCATAGACCTAACGAATGTATTTACAAATTTTCAATTAAATCCGATGAGCCGTTTTAGAGGAGTTCGCGAATAAACATTGTGATAGGGCATTTTGTATATATTTTATAAACACCACATCTCTTGGTTATTATAGTATAATTTCATTAACTTAATAGGAACATGTGATAGTATAACAGGTCTCCTCAAGTTTTTAGAAGATCGTATGTTCAGAAAAAAAAAATTTTTTTTTTTTTCAGATTTCACGCTGACGTCAAATTCGACACTCATCACCCGTATCACTACCATCACTAAATGTATGAAAACTAAACATGTGTGTTGTGTGTGTAAATAAATTTTATATTATTACTAAAAATTACAGTTTCTCTCTTATCTTAGGTGTCCTAAATGCGACTGTTTCTTATTCATATTTAGTACTATTATATCATTAGAGTAGACAAAATGACATGACATAAACGTACCAACACACAGATTTGATACATCGCAATTGCCAATGCAAAAACATGAATCTCGAGTACATATCTTGTTCATCTTTCGTTCCCTACTTTAAATATAAAAATGGATTTTTAATGAATCTAAGTATATCTATACTAATATATAGAAGAAGAAGAGTTTGTTTGTTTGAACGCGCTAATCTCAGGAACTACGGGTTCGAATTGAAAAATTATTTGTGTCGATTATTTTTCAGAGACACGATAGACTTCGTCCGAAAAATCCAGATATTATATGGATGCTAAAACATTGAAATTCGATCCCTGTCATTAATCTTTAATAGATAAAATCTAGTGAAGTCGGTATTAATCTATTGACATAGAGACAAAGCGAAAATAGGTCAACATCGCATTTTTTGGGCGTTATTAGGCTGGCTATATTTTACTCTCATCTGTGTCTAAAGTTTTTCAAATGTACGTCTCTACGTACTAAATTCAATGCTATATTGACATAATTTTTAATCTCGTTTGGGTGTCACTAAACCAGTTCGCAGTTACTTTCGTCAATTTTTGCACTGAAACAAAAAGTATAAAAGCAGAATGTGGTCATGAGTAGATATTATTAAGTTACTACCGTCCCCAGTGTCAACTAAAACAATAATGTACTTCAAGGTAAAAAACAATAATAACAAAATAAATATTAAATAAATAATGTTACACAAGATATTCAAAACAATATTAGAAAAAAAAAAAAAATAGTAACTTAATTGTATAACTCACGTTATGTACTCCTGATAATAAAACAATTCGCATAAAAATTATTTCTAATGTAACAAATTATTATATAAACTCGCAATGGTGCAGAGCTTAAAAACCTTCGGTTCAAAGTCTCAATGTTTCCAGGTGCTTTTGATCGCTGCGGTGGTTGCTGTTGCTTCAGCACAGTACGGCGGTTACCATGGTTACGGGCAAGCGTCCCACAGCATCGTTCAGCACCAACCTGCCGTAGTAGCCCACCAGCCCGTTCTTCTTCAACATCAGCCAGCCCGTTACGCCGCACCAGTGCACCAAGATTACAATGTGAGTAAACGACACCTAATAAATCCAGTTACTGGACAAAATTTAGACAAATTCTTTTATATTTATCAGTTTACCAACATTTATAGTATTACTCACAACATCAATAATTTATAAAATAAAATAATAAGTTAAAATACGACTAAAGGTAGGTATACAATTACCAGTTTTAAGGCTAAGTTAACTAGAGCTAAGTTTTCAGACAATTCATGAGATTAAGCTTAGCAATTAGCTAATGAATGAAGCAAGTACAAATCATAATTACTACATTTTTGTTGTTATACATTTGTTTTTAACTATTTGTGGTTACTGAAATAACTATAAATTTCGCTTATTACAATTCAAACGCGCCTTCTCTGTTAAGATAGAGTGTAATTTCATCGAATATAAAAATTAAAAATTTATTTTAGATTTAATAATTGAAAAGTGTGGACTTTTGACCTGCATCCATCGAGATGCTCTCACCAATTGCGTCATCTTTGACACATTGATATATAAATAATTAATGTCTTGTCACTATCTAAACAGTGTTCTAAATCTTAAACGCCACCTTGAACAATAACTTAAAAAATCCTTTTTTCAGGCCCCAGCCCACTACTCGTTCAACTACGGCGTCCAGGACCCTCACACCGGAGACTTCAAGTCCCAGCACGAGTCTCGCGAAGGCGACGTGACCCGCGGAGAGTACAGTCTGCATGAGGCTGATGGAACCGTCAGGCGCGTGGAGTACTCCGTCGACCCACACAGCGGGTAAAAAAGACTAACTTTAATAAAATAATGGATGCAATTTTCCCCGTTATTTTCGCGTTTTCCACTGTTTCATGGACTTCTATTGGTCTAAAGCCTTCCTCGATAAATGGTTAAGAATTTTTAGATCCTTTAAACAGGAATCATTCTTTCATACATATTTTTTTTGGGTATCTCAAACCGTTTTCGCAGCGCCTTCCTCGATAAATTGTCAGAAGAGATTATCGCGTTCAAACAAACGAACTCTTCAGCTGTATAATATTATTATAGATTATAGATAAAAGATAGGGCGGATACATAAATGTATAATATGTCACTTTCATATAAAAAAAGTACTCTGTGCCTCCATTAGTCGAAACAATTTGCAATATTTTTCGTGCGTTGAACTTAGAACCTTTGCGCTTATGCCAATGCATTGTGTTATTGGCTACCTGGTGGTGTATGAACAAATATATAATGCTAAATACGTACGTCAACATAAATTCAGCAGTGAGTGAAGTTAATATGAACAATTTCAAAAACACTCTTTTTTTTCAGATTCAACGCCGTTGTACACCGCGAAGGTCCTGCCAGTCACCAAGCCCCACAATACCACCACTAAACAGCGATCTAGTCAACTGTAATTTATAGTTAGTTTTAAATAAACATTTTTTCATAATACCACCTTTTTATTCCAATAATAAATAATACTGTCCTTGTTGAGAGTAGTGACATCCCTTTTAACTTTGGAGATGGGGCATCTGCACTTATTTTAGTGTTCGTGTTACTAATTTTATTAAACGCAAAAAGTTGATCAGACGTTTCTTCTACTGCAAACCTAGAACAAGCTCCGTTTAAAAACTATTGAAATATTATAAATTTGAAACCAGAATTCTAAATTATTATTTTGATGAATTTTACACAACTCCAAATAATTTATTTTAAACTACTTACATTTATTTTACCCAAAAACTTGATTTCCTTACAAGATTACAAAAACCATACAAGAGATGGCGCCACTAGTTGGCTGCAAAACAAATTAGGTTTCCTTTGTTAAATATTCATAAAACACTTAAATTAGTTATAATAATTTGAATTTATTTTCTAAAATTTCTTTTATAATTTATAAAACAAAAATAGAATTACGTGAACATATTAAACAATAAATTACGAATCAATTATTGTTTACAAAACAGTCAATACAATGTCTTGAAGAGATTGAATTTATATAATAGCAGGTGAATGATTATGATAATTATTCAATAATAAAAATGTATGATATATTTATAAGCATATGATTATTAGATACTGTTTGGCGCCCATATAAACACATTTGTGTAATAAATCAGTAATTATACTAAAAAAAACACCAAGGTGTGTATGGTGGAACAGTCGAGATGTATAGTATGGGAAATTATCTATATAAAAGTTCAACGTATGGAAGTAAGTGGTGTCGAATATTTTCATATAAGTTAAACAAAGATAAAAATCGAAGCGTCTAATGATTCATTAATTAATACATACGATGGTTATCAAGCATACATCCTATTCTATTTCAACGTAATTTTCTCTCTCAACTCAGCCAATTTAGCTAATAACAATTAATTACACGTGGTTAAGAGAAATCACACATTTAAAGTTCACCTTGTTGCTAATAGTATAAAACTGAAAAATGTACCCTTATGTTGTTCAGTGCTAATTTTCAACGAAGTTACAAAGTACCGCGTGTAAAATGATATCAAAGGTGATATTTTTTTTATATTTTTATCTAATAGTGTAGTGTGCTGTGACATAAATGTTTTGAAATAGTTTAATTTCTTTAGTTTAGATATATTAAGCAATAGGTATCGTTTCGCTTTTAAAAGTCTAGTTTTAAGTTAAAAAGTTGGTCTAATACAATGTATGGCTAATTATCCACGTATCGTGGGTTCCAAATTCTATTCATCAATCTAAACTAATATATAAAGCAGAAAAGTTTGTTTGTTTATCGAGGAAGGCTATAAAACATCGCCCTGTGACTATACAAGCGAAGATAAAGCGAGAAATGTGAAAAAAATTGGGAAAATTATTCATCATTATGGGTTTTCGAGGCGTAGGCTGCAAAAACGGTTTAAGATACCCAAAAAAATATTTACGAATCAATGATCCCTATTGCAAAAGTTGCAAAAGTTTTTTTTAGATCATTTAAATAAATGATCTAAAAAAAACTTTTGCAACGCTATATGTCAATCTTTTAAGATTGACTTCCAAGAATGACGAAAAGGGGCGCACCCAACGTCGTGGGTGACAGCTTAAGTTTGTAAAGATAAAGGGGGTTGCAAAAACGAATTGTGTATGCCCAAAATAACTATTCTACGCAGACGAAGTTGCTGACATAGCTAGTATATAATATTTCTGAAACGTGTTCGACTTTGTAGGGAAATCTCTGGATATGAATGACTGGCTCTAAAACTCTCATAAAAACATGCGCATAAATGAAAACAAAATGGTATACAGCGCTCTCCAAACTTTTTGGCCGGGCTGAAGTTAGCGCAGATGGTTGCGCAGAACGCAAGTAGCAGGTATCATTTGCGACAAGAGGGGTGCGTAGGTGAAGGTGACTCGACTTTTTACTTAAAATTAACAGTGCCATACGCAAGATGACGGTCGCGCTAACTTCAGCCCGGCCAAAAAGTTTGGGAAGAACTGTACCTGCTGTCCTCAGTTGTTTGGTTACTTATACCACTATATTTCGCGTTTAAAATTACTTAATCCTGTTAAAATTGTTTATTTGAATGTGTACTACTCGCGTAAACTACCTAAAGATAATACACAGTCATGCATACTTATGAGTTACCTTTTCATTTAATCACTTCTCTATATTTTACCGCATTTGTATTTTTCATACAGATCTTTAGGTAACTTAAATGTAGAGAAGGCTCTAACACATTTTTTTAATAAGATCAGGTATTTTAAACAAAAAATAATTCAACTTCGAGATAAATATATTTGTTGAAATACTAAAACCTTGTTAATTTTTATAATATAAAATATTGGATGGTAAGTTACTTTTTAAGTACTAGCTGAAATCAAAGTATATATGTACGATCAATTAATATGACCTTCAACCTCGCGCAATAATAATGTTCGTGAATTGCACAGGATAACGTTACTAATCTTATTTAGCGATTTTGGTTCACTGTGTCCTTCTAATCATGCAATGTTTAACACGCAATACATAGAGTAACGATAGAAAATCTTGGCATTACAACTAAAATAAACATTGCTTGTAGTCTTTTTGTTTATAAGAAGTTTTATTGTATTCGGTTATATTTTAAAAATTATTTTTAGTTTAATTTTTAATGTGATTTTGTATTACTTCACCGGAAAGTGTATGTATTTTTACATTCAATAATACTGCATTATTCGTAACTGCTTTGAAAACTTTTTAATATTTCACATGATTGCATTATATACATTAAAATACGATTTAAGATTGTAAAAATTATATACGCAAGCAAGACACGGTAGCTCAATTGGTTAGAGCAACGGAATACTCTAGATGCCGGTTCAAGTCCCGTCCGTGTCGTAAATTTAAAATCTAAAATCTGTTTTTAATTTATCTGTCATTGGGTTTTCAGGTTCTATTTTTCGCTTCTATAGTCGCAACCGTGTTGGGTCATTACGTACCCCACTATGAAGCACATTCAGAGCAACGTGTGACCAAGTATGAGGGTCACCCTGAGGTGGTCCAAGTAGGTGGTTACCATGGACACGGACACCAGATTGACTATCATGTAATATTTATTTATATTAAATATATGCAAGATATTAAAGAAACGTAGATAAAAACGTAAAAAAAAAGATTAGCAAGTTACAAAACCGCTTTTAAACAAAACACGTTAACAGTTTAACACGCGATATATACTGAAACTTATTCGCAAATTATTTTTATATATTTTATACGTTATAAACATCGGGCCGGGGCAGGGGGTTTCTCCGTTTTAATTCCATCGCGTTTTAAACCGTTAGTGTTTAATTTAACAAAAATTAAATAATAAAATTTATATGGTAGTAAGGGAGTGAAGAATTTTTTTTTCATAATTTATATGTGTTATATGTATAAAGCTTCGTGATAAAGTTACATACACATAGCTAATTGAATGGTTTATTTCACTTATTTTTAAAAGCACAATTTGTACATACAACTATAAATAAGCCTTCACTACTGGTTTCTTTAATAACGCATTTTTGTCAAGAAGAATAACTTTTATATTAAAAAGTCAAGGGGAATATTACTCTTAAATTTCTCTTTAAGTGAATGGTATAATAATTGCCTTTAACCATAATTTCAGTCGCATCCTAAGTACGAGTTCGAATACAAAGTAGAAGACCACCACACTGGTGACATAAAGTCTCAACAGGAGCACAGAGACGGTGACGTCGTCAAGGGCGGATACGCCCTTCACCAACCCAACGGCGTTGAGAGGGTTGTAAACTACTATAGTGATGACCATTCTGGGTATACCTTCAATCATAATTAATTGGGGACCTGTTTCTATAGAATACAGATAATTAGATCCTTGTCTAAGGTGTTAGTAGGGACGAGTAACAAGATCATATTAATACATTTATGCCTTGCGTCTGTATATTGTTGGATATTTATATTTTCTATTGTAGTCTTATTTTATATTCTCACCAAAATTTATTTACTGCCAAGAATTATTTACAAAAAATAATTCAAATATTCGAACTTTAGTAAAAATTGTAAATTTGAATATTATTATGATCCGTCATTTTAAGTGTTCCGCAAGCGTCCAGCAACTGTTGGATTTTTTTTTTCATTTATTTATCATATCATCATAACAAATACATTTATTTATATTGATAGCAATAAAAAACCAGTAAGGTTTAAACTGATGCCATCGTGATTAATCCCCCTTTATTTTCATTTATAAATAAAATAAAAAACATGTTTATTATGTTTTAAATTAGAAGTATTAGCTTCTTTCTGAGGCAATCCCAATAAGTTTATGCATGTGTTATAAGTATTTTAATCATATTTTCTACATTTTTGCATATTATAAAAAAAAAAAATTAGTGATATAAATTCAAATACAGTGAGTTTTTTTATCTAATCGCTATAAGTTTAACTTAAACAATAGATTACTTTATAACTTAATATTTATGCTTTATAAACAGGTTGTGCTTCGACAAAGCCTCCTCTAGAAGTTTTCATGCCTGCCTGTCTTTTGCTACTCTTGTCCACGTTGCATATTAAAGCATTATGTAATTTAAATATATATTTAGATTGACACGGTAGCTTTATTGGTTAGAGTAGCAGCTCGAATCGCTGTGGATCGCGGTTTCGTAAATCGTTTCGTCAAACGTTTTCGTAATTTTTTCATCGCCATATTTTTATAATTGCGTTCTTATTTCAGTTTCCTAGCAGAGGTCAAGTATGGCAACCACCACGCAGCCCCCAAGTACCTCGGCCATTTTTAATAAGTCCTATTTTATGTACAAGCTAAAGTTGAATAATACAAATTTATTATAAATATGACCTGTGAAATACAACCTGTAGAGTATTTTCAAATTTATACATTTTTATTATATAAATCTATGACGACAATGAGTTTCTTCTTATTTATAATATAAAAACAATAAGGGATTAAAAGCCGTTATGGCTAGCTGAAGTGGCAACGTTCTTTTGTCATATAAAGTATTTCAATGAAAATTCTAATACCACGAAAACGGTCCTTGTGACTTAATCCTAAAAGATAAACTTGATAGATAAATTGTATTATTTCGAGAAAAATAATTATTATATACATATTATCTTGACCCGTGACCCTTGAACATTGACCCTCAAAGATTTATCCATATTTCGTGTTTTCCACATTTCCTTCAGTTTCTTCGCTACTATTATATACCATCAGGTCCAACCAACACAAAAATACATTTTCAATTCGAACCAGTAGTCACTGAGATTAGCGCGTTCAAACAAACACACAAACTCTTCACCTTCAATATTTGTATAGATTCAAATAAAACACTTCAACACTTTAAAACGCGACATACATTGTAAATTATTTTAACTAATAAATACCGTGTTTTAAACCGTTAAAGTGTCTTATTTAATAAGTTTATATTTAAATTTTAACAGAAAAGTGGTTTACCGCTGAGTTATATGCCAAATATTCGGACAACATTCGAATTTCGAAAATCAAACACGGCTGGCTCTGCACGTGGCAACACACTTAATAGAAAAATGCATTGCACTGCCGTTTAGGCCATTTTTGCGTCACCATTGCATACTATAACTTATTCAAAGCAATGAATTATTTTTACACGCAATTATATCGAGTGAAATCTTATTATTGCGGTTAGTTCCCCTTGTTATTGTCCATATAAAAGACATAAGTTTTAGATATGTATCACTTCGTCATAGAATCTTGTGATATTATCTACTGTGGACAGTTATAAACATGGTTTCCAAAGTAAGTCATTATTTTGAGTACTCCAAATATTTTTTATTAGTTAGTTATGAATAGAAGTGCGTTCAAATCTGTTAATGGCCTACTGCTAGACACAGATCCCTATTTCTATACGAGAAACCCACCACGCTACTGTAGAGTGGGTTGGTTTTAACTATCAATAAATTAGTAATAATATTATGTATCGACTTCTTAACACGTCCTCAGGGGCTTGGGGGTTGAAACACGCTTCTTCACACTTCTTCTACTAGACAATTTTCTGAATTGCTAAGACATCTAGCCCGATTCAGGAATCAAACCCACGACTCAAGATCTGTCTAGTGTCCTAACCATTTTACAGACAAGGTAGTCTGAATAAAAAATTGTTGCCGTCTGTATTTTACGCGAGTAGTACACATTTAAATAAAACCCTTCAACAATTTAAGATATCGTGGTCACTGCAAAGCATCCGAAACATTGGGCCGCAGTAAAATTATTTTGTAAATAAGTTTAACTAATGGATTTTAAACGGTTGAAAGTGTTTTATTTACACAATCATTATAGCCGAAAAACGAAATCCTTCTTTAAAAGGGGTCCACAAATAAAAAATCTCCAAGCTATATGTTCTTGTGGATTTATTTTAATGGTTTGCTTTCTTTCAAAGGTATGCTTATCATCTCTCATCTTGCTCGTATTTCTTGAATACGGACAATGCCATGGACCAGCGTATTCATCACAACACTTCCACAAGCACGATGGACATCCAGAAGTAATACACGTAAAAGGACATCATGGCCATGGGCACATTGATTACCATGTAAGAATTTAATCAAGCGAAGAAGAGTTCGGCTTATGTAATTAAATAGTGTATTAGGTTGTCGTGTCATCGAGTTTACAATTTGGTGCGACTTAACGACACCCAAGATCCATCGATAACGATCCGAGATAATGTTCTAGCAAATTAAGAGAAATAATAGATATTCAATTTATATGATGCCAACATTAAATTAAAGACTCTTTAAACGGACAGCTTCAGACGGCCTCGTTGGTCATAGTGTCGCGAGTTCGATCCCCATCAGGTCCAACTTGTTTCAATTTTTTCAATTTAATTCTTATCTAAAACATTTTGGACTTCGTCTGGAAACCTGGATATTAAATGGGTAATAGAAATATAAAAATTCCGTCCGGGTCACGAAACACCGTCCACAGATAAAAAAGCCGTCAAACTTAATCGCGTTTCGATTTCAGTCCATGGATTTCCAAATATCCAAAGCCAAAATAGGTTGACAGCGCATCTTGTTTACGCTGGGGTATATCACCTACGTTCAAGTAAACCCATGCCAGTTTCTCCTCCTCCATCACAAAAAAGTAGTAAAAGCAATCATATTAATTTAAGCCAAATGATTACGAAATAACACCTCTACAGACTCACCCAAAATACACTTTCGGATACAAAGTGGAGGACCATCACACAGGAGACATGAAGTCCCAGCATGAGCATCGTGATGGTGACGTAGTCAAGGGGGTGTACTCTCTTCACCAGCCTGATGGCTCTGAGAGGACAGTTCACTATCATGGAGACCACCATACTGGGTAGGACTTTAAAAACTACTAGATTTCTTATTTACAGATTTTGACATGACTTAAGATAAAAGATTAACCCATTTATAGACAAAACCTAATATGCTGAAAAAATAAGATAATTATTAAAAAAGAAACGGTGGGTGATGTTATATTTTGTGCTTTATTTTAAAATGGAAGAACTCATTGTCTGTTTATATTTGTTACTATAGATTTTATTAATTCCTTCTCTTTATTCTAGATTCCATGCCGATGTCAAATTCGGGACCCACCATATAGTGCCACCTAAACATCACTATCATTATTAAATAAAAAATAATAAAACGCTTCTTTATAATCCACCATTATTATTAAGAGTTTTTATACACGATTTTTTTAAATAAAATGATTTTGTAAGATATATCTGATGTTTCTTTAAAATATTCTTAGATTTCATTAGACCTTTGAAAACTTTTATTTTTTTATAATTGAAAAATTTGTTTTTTTTTTCAATTTATTTTTTATTTTTAAATTAATTTCATCTTCAATGATTTCTTTAGCTGCAAAGCATAAAACTTTGAACCTTAATACACAAGTGTTAAGGTTGAAATTACATTGCGCAAGAGGTGCTTGTATCAATAAGTTGAAAAAATTCGACGATGAGGTGTAGGACTCGGTAGCTCAATTGGTAGAGCAACAGCACATAACGCTGACGATGCCGGTTCAAGTCCTGCGCGAGTCGAAAATTTTTTCAATTTATTTTCGATTTTTAAATTATTTAGACCTGCAAAATCTTGCTTAGTCATTGTGATTGCTAGTGAAAATAAACAAAAAGTTTCGTTTTATAGAGTATATTTAAGATAAACCTAACTACATAATATCACAGATGTTCATAGGATTAATGATGAACAGGAACGGCGTGGGAAGCATGACCTTCGCGGTGGACGACAGCGTTGAATCTGAAATACAATATATTCATTATAATTTATATTTGAGCTATTGGAAAAACACTTTGCTACACTTATTCTATAGACAGTAACAAATTGTCATTCTTGCATATTTCTGATAGACGTTAGAAAGAAGAAGAAGAAATTTATTGAACCAATTAAAATCAATTATAATTTGACAGCGATAGTAGAGATGAAAACCCTAGCTAATCAACATAAAAAATATTAATGAAACTAGCAAATTAGTTAAAAATGGAAAATACAGTACCCGCTGTGAGGGTCGACGGAGTACTCCACACGCCTGACGGTTCCATCAGCCTCATGCAGACTGTACTCTCCGCGGGTTACGTCACCTTCGCGAGACTCGTGCTGGGACTTGAAGTCACCGGTGTGAGGGTCCTGGACGCCGTAGTTGAACGAGTAGTGGGCTGGAGCCTGGTAAAGGACGATATTTTCAAACTCTTACTTTACTTGGAAAAAGTCTGGAGTATTTTCAATGCTGTCCGAGAAACAGCTCTTTTATATCGTATTATAAAATATCTCACATGATAATCCTGGTGTTGTACGGGTGCGGCGTAGTGCAGAGGTTGATGTTGGAGTACAGCAGGCTGGTATTGGTAAACAGGAGCGTGTTGCACATGACCTTGATTTTGGTGCAGCACGATGCTTTGGGAGGACACTGCAGGGGCGTGACCATGTCCGTAGCCGCCATATTGGGCTGAGGCACAGGCCAACAGCGAAACAAGAGCGATTATCTGGAAAGTAAATTAAATTTATGAAAACGGAATATAGGTGTTTAAGTAGTCAATGATGTAGGAATTCAAATTGAGGGTTTCCAATGAAGTTGTAAATTAAACAAGTTATGAACAATAAGTAGACTATTAAACTTAAACATTATCTGGTTTAAATAAAACACTTAAACGGTTTAAAACGCGATGTATATTAGTAAAACTTATTTACAAATTATTTTAACAATAGCCGTGGTCACGGGGAGAGAAATAATTTGTAAATAAGTTTAACTAATATATTTCGCGTTTTAAACGGTTAAAATGTTTTGTTTAAATGTGTACTACTCGCGTAAACTAGACACTATTTTCTGGTAAAATTTTGAACTATTTTTAAATATATTTTATTAGATTAAAAATTTACTTGAAAAAATATTATTACAAAGATTAATGCGATATAGATCTTTAATTTAATATAAGTTGTCTTTTTACTAACTTTAGTTTGCATTGTAGGTAGTATAGTTTAAAATGGTAACTGATTGTAGAACACAAAAGTATTTCTTTTATATGATAAATTATATTAATTTTGCGTAAGTTCAAACTCGTTAATCCAAATATCCTTGAACGGTACGCTTGATTAAATATTATTCAAAACTGTATCACCTTTCTCTACAAAAGCTGCGACAAAGGGGTCAGTAAGACCGTGGCTAAAAATACATCACCTTAAAGCTTTAAGGCAAAAAAGGGTGCGTCGAGTAAGTTTGTTACTATTTAAAATATTTCACGGAAATCGTGTAGGCCTTTGGAGTATCTTTTAAATATAACATATTGTTAATATATCTATACTAATATATAAAGCTAAAGAGTTTGTTTGTTTGAACGCGCTAATCTCAGGAACTACGGGTTCGAATTGAAAAAATATTTTTGTGTTGGTTAGAGCATTTCTCGAGGAAGGCCATAAGCTATAAACATCGCAACTAACAAGAGCGAAGAAAATACGGGGAAAATCATTTATCCTTGTCGTTAACCGACACGTTGCGTACACTGCAAAAACAGACCAAAATACCCAATAAATGAAAGAACGATTGCTTTTTAAGTGATAAAAAAAATGTCCATTACATTATATATCTATGACGGGACGACGGGACGGCGACAGTATTTTTTTAAACTGTTACCTACAAGGTAACAGTTAAAAAAAATACTGTCTATAGTTTACGCGAGTAGTACACATTTAAATAAAACACTTTAACGGTTTAAAACGCGATATATTAGTTAAACTGATTTGAAAATTATTTTTAACTTCGGCCCGACGTTTCGGATGCTTTGCAGTAGCCGTGGTCACGGCTCACGGCTGCTGCATTTTCAAATCAGATTAACTAATATATCGCGTTTTAAACCGTTAAAGTGTTTTATTTAAACAGTTGCAAAAATGAAGAGGAGGTTTAGAAAAACAAATTTTGATGTCTAAAACAACTATTCTACGCGGAAGAAGTCGAAACTCCGTTATTATTATAGTTTATGGTATTTTCTTTTATATTTTGTTTTTAAGCAGCTAGATATAAGTAGTAACAAAATTCGGTTCCCTATCTATCGTGTTTTTTTTTTCAGAAAAAGCATGGTGACACACCAGAATAGGGTTCCTTTTTAATCTTTGAGGTCGAGGACCTAACTATTTTAAATTAATGGCGTTATCGCATAATATAGACTATCAATAATGGTAAAAATAGTAATGATAGAATTGACGATAAAATATGTAAGACAAAGGCAACATAAAAAAAACACAATGATATGTATGTCTGTGTGCGACTTGTTTAAGCGACCTCTTTTAAGATCACTTCCATGCTTATTTAGATCTTGTTCTCGTTTAAATAATTGAATGTGAAATGCAAAAGTATCTAATTTTTTAAGTAATAGGTACTGTTAGACAATTTCATAACGTTATTTACTGCATTTTGTACAGGCCATATAAGTGTTTCGAATCCGAAAATAATATATATATGTATATATTTAAATATGTATCATTTAACAGAAACTTAGCAAATATTATTTAATTATTAATATCCCTACATCCTTTATGATGATAAAATAATAGTGTTTATACTAAATAAATTAATTTTAAGTTTACTTCAAGAGTTACTAGTGACACTGATAGTGATGATACTACATATAATAATATTATTATTCTTTATAATGAAGCTTATCTTCATTTTATTCTTATGTAAAACTTAAACCTATTTATACGACAAAATACTAGTAATATCACATGGTCTACTTTTAATCTAGTTAAATTTAAGTTAGGTGCAAAAGTTGTGCAACCATTATATAATTGCTACATTTTTGCATATCTTGTATCTGACTGAACTTGCCACCCAAACTGACCGCGGACTTTCTAATTGAACTTGATTCAACAATATCTTTAAGCACTAGGGTGAATACGATACCCAGTCGACCTCGGGGCTTTCCGAGCTTTAGTATAAAACTTAAAAAATATCCTATAATGAATCAGTAACGAGTCGCAATTATTCGTATCAACATGTTCTCTAAAGTAAGTGAACTATAGAATATAAATCTTTTCACCCTGAATACTTCTTGGAATCATATATTAATGACGAATTCTACTTTCAGATCTTTGCGGTTAGCGCTATCCTGGCTGTGTCATCTGCAGGACTCCTACCCACAGCCCACTACTCCGCTGCACCAGCAGTTTCGTCACAAAGCATAGTGCGTCATGAACAACCTATTGCATACCACGCCGCAGCTGCTCCAGTCGCTTACCACGCTGCTCCCGTAGCCTACCAGGCCGCTCCAGTGGCGTACGCCGCACCCGCTCGTTACTCCTCTGCCGCTGCCGTATCTTCACAGAACATCGTTCGTCACGAACAACCCTTGAGTTATGCTGCAGCTGCGCCAGTAGCTTACCACTCATCTCCAGTAGCCTACGCTGCCCCCGCTCGTTACTCCTCCGCCGCAGCTGTCTCATCTCAAAACATTGTCCGTCATGAACAGCGCGTCGCTCCCGTCGCCTACCAGGCCGCTCCCGTCGCTTACCAGGCTGCTCCCGTTGCCTAAGGCCTCCCAGCATCGTTTCCTACGCCGCCCCCGCCCGTTACTCCTCTGCCGTCTCTTCCCAAAACATCATCAGCCACGCTGCCCCAGTTGCCATCAGCCACGCCGCTCCAGTAGTCCACGCTGCCCCCACTCACGCCATCGTCGCCCAACACGAGGAGTACGACGCCCACCCCAGATACGACTTCGCCTACTCCGTGGCCGACGGACACACCGGTGACAACAAGTCCCAGCACGAGAGCCGCGACGGAGACGTCGTTCACGGTGAATACTCCCTCCTCGAGGCTGACGGTTCAGTCCGCCGCGTCGAGTACACCGCTGATGCCCACAACGGTTTCAACGCTGTCGTCTCCAACTCCGCGCCCGCCCACGCTGCTCACGCTCAACCTATTGCTCACTAATTACTAAAAACCAATTTTTAACAAAAACCTAGTATAGAACCTTTGAGTAATTCTAAGCATTTACTTATTTATTAAATGTATGAAAAATATTTATGTTCTTATTATTTCTTATATACAGATGTATTTGTATTATTATCAGTGAACGATATAGCACATAAAAGGTAGTCGTAAATAATAAATAGAAACAAGTAAAGAACGAAAGCAGTAAAATTATTGCTACAAACTTACATATACATTCAGACTTATATTTTTAGGATTTATTAATTTATAATAATACATTTTAATTTGTAAAAAAAATATATATAATATCTATATATACGTAAAGTAAAAACGCCGCTTTTTACGAAAGAGTTCGGACAGAGAAGTAGTAAATTTAAATTTTTTTATTTGTAATGTATATAGAATAAGACTAGCGATGCTAATATGTAGAATAAAATATATTTAATCAATAAAACAAACATTGAACACACTAATAGGTAATTGACGCAATCACACGTATTAAATATATTTTGTTCAATATTGAAGTTCGTTTTTCTTTGATCATTTCATTGTTTTTATAATATTTTATGGCCTGGTAACGAGACCTTTAAACCAACTCTTATTTTCTCTCTTATTAAAAAAAAGTACTTTCACTTGAAACACTTCACACTTTTCACCTTGTGTATTTTTAATGTATTTGTTTAACACACTTTAATACTTTTTGTTTTTAATTAACTCAACCATCTGCCGCAGATATTATCAGCTTCTGCAATGTCATTATAAGTCAATCGCTCAATATAAGTGTAATAAAACATTAACATAGGGTTTGACAGTTGAAAAATATGTGTTTGATCGTTCTAACGTATTGCTTTTTTGATTTGGACACGAGATGATAGACGAATAATGTTTGTCTGGGGAAATATTGAGAATAGACTATAGACATTGTTTTTCCTAAATAACAAAATTAAATAATAATTTGTTCAAAAACAAATAGATAGAAAAAAACTTTTGATTAAAAGTCTCTAGTAGTACTAGTATTTGACAATAAAATATTAATAATGTTAAAAATGTATAATGTACGGTCGAATTTCGACTACAGTACTATGTGTCTTTTTTCATTAAAAAATTGTGTTATAGTGTTAAATTGAGATTCGCTGTAACAACTGGTACTGGGTCATCAAAGTGATAGGTTCTAACAATGGTCGAGTAAAGGTTGAGTCTTGTATGTCAACAAATGAGAAGTGGAATGTTATATGTTGGGTCTACAATTATTGTTGGTATTCTATTATACATTTTACATGAAGCTAAAAAACTATATTTTTGATAGAGGAGGACAACCAAGCGGGGGTTCAGGTGCAGAAAGTTGAACGAGCCCAGGCATGTAATTTATAAACTAATTTAATATAATATTTTGACGCATCTGTTGAAACATTCGGAGATTTAATACTTCTCGGCGTTTTTATTACACTATATATTGCTACTAAGCAACAATACAATTAAGGCTTCTTGGGATAAAAATGTAATTTCCTGTAAACATACTTAAAATTAAACTTGAATTATTATTAATTTCGTCACTCAAGATAGTGTTTCTGAATACAGATTATTTTATACAAGTGGATCGCATAGATAAAATAATATCGTTTAGAGGAGAAGTAGCATGCGGAATTTCGAATTAGAATTAAAATTGATAAACTAGAATTCCCGTTACATACTGTTTTTATTTTAAGGCTATTTAAATATTTTATTAATAGGTTTCCTTAAGTATTGTCTGTGGTCTACACGAAAAATACTTATTAAAAAAAAAACATTTTTTAACGGTTTTAAACACTTTATGCTAACTACGTCCCAATGTTTCGGAGGTCTGGCAGCAGTCGTGGTCTCCGTCTCTCCCCGTGACTAGCCAAAATTAAAATGAATTATAAATTAGTTACCTCATATAGTTTGCGTTTCAAACCCATAAAAGTGTTTTAATTACATCATTTAGTTTAGGTTTTCTAAAGTCCACACAATCATACAACTTTAAGAAGAAGAAAGTACTTAGGCTTTGAAGCCACTCAAAGTTAAATATCGCTTAGATACTAATACACTTTAATTAACTAATTTTGCACGTATAATAAGTGTTTTGACCAGATTTAAAGGTTAAAAAATGAGCGAGTGACGGATATCTTATTTAAATAAAACACTTTTAAACAGCGAAATATATTAGTTAACTTATTTAGCAGCAGCCGTAATTTATTGAATGATGCCAATCTTGACATAAAATTCTATTTTAAACCGACCCGAAAGTTTTTATTTAAAACACATTTAGAACCACACTAACAAATCTAATGTAATAATTCTAAAAATAATATTTCCCGAAACTACTCAATCGTAGAAAAATAACTTAGGTTATTAACTATAAGATTGAACAGCAAATAGCACTAAGTTTTTTTGAATTGAGATAATTATTACTATATATATTCTAATACTAGTAAGAAATTAATATGACTGCTTATGTTCTAAATTATAATTAAATCTGCATAGTTGATCAAAGCGAGAAACTAACTATCTCGTATTAAGCCGGTGTCCACCCGAAAGTCACAAGTGCAATTACGAAATCAAAAAGTCGATCGAAAAGCTGTCGACCTTTGAGTTCAAATGATATCAAAGTATAAAAGTTGAAATTTGCACTTGCTAATCATCATTCTTACTACAACACAATCAACAACATGTTCACCAAAGTAAGTAATACAAAGGTTTAATTAACTCGAAAATAACTAATGACCATTAAATAGCCCTTCTATTCTAATTTATTATTTTTTTAGGTATTCTGCGTCAGCGCTGTGTTGGCAGTTGCCTCCGCTGGGCTCTTGCCTGCAGCTCACTACTCTCCAGCTGCTGCTGTCTCATCCCAGAGCATTGTTCGTCATGAACAACCCATTGCCTACCACGCTGCCGCTGCTCCAGTCGCTTACCACGCTGCCCCCGTCGCCTACCAGGCTGCTCCAGTAGCCTACGCTGCTCCCGCTCGTTACTCTTCCGCCGCTGCTGTCTCATCTCAAAACATTGTCCGTCATGAACAGCGCGTCGCTCCCGTCGCCTACCACGCTGCTCCCGTAGCCGCAGTGTCCTACGCCGCCCCCGCTCGTTACTCCTCCGCTGTCTCTTCCCAAAACATCATCAGCCACGCTGCCCCAGTTGCCATCAGCCACGCCGCTCCCGTAGTCCACGCCGCTCCCATCGTTCACGCCGCCCCAGTCGTCCACGCTGCCCCCGCTCACGCCATCGTCGCCCAGCACGAGGAGTACGACGCCCACCCCAGATACGACTTCGCCTACTCCGTGGCCGACGGACACACCGGCGACAACAAGTCCCAGCACGAGAGCCGCGACGGAGACGTCGTTCACGGCGAATACTCCCTCCTCGAAGCTGACGGTTCAGTTCGCCGTGTCGAGTACACCGCTGATGCCCACAACGGTTTCAACGCTGTCGTCTCCAACTCCGCGCCCGCCCACCAGGCCGCCCCAGCCCAGGCTTACGCACACGCCCCCGCTTACGTCGCCCATCATTAAAAACTAAATCTTTTAGATAATTAGTTAATATACCAATGGTGTTCCTGAAATATGTGTAAATATTTATAACTGAAATAAAATGTTGAAACTGAAATTCCTTTTGTAATAATTACAGTGCCGCACCCCTAATAAAGATAATTTTACATACATTTAAAATACAAATGAAAAAGTGTATGATAAAATGATTTCTAGAATGGAGAGTTCCCTTATAGATTTTACAACCTTTACGAAATGTTACGTTCGTTGACTAAAAATTGTGTCGTTTCACCCATTCGCTGTGGAACTAATACCATTGTTTCACGTCCATACCACAAATTGAACAAAAGACTACAAAAGAATTCAACAATATATTTTTGACATCTCGTTTTAGGAATATTTATATGGTATGAGTATTTAGTAATATTTGTTACGTATTTATCTAAAACAAAAGACTGTGTTTGTTGCTGAAAATTCATCAGTATTTAAGCTGTCACAGTTTGTTGGAAATTATCAGTTGTAGTTTGGTTTTCAAATACTTCAAAATGATCTCTAACGTAAGTACTATATTATTAGTTAATAGTAATTGCCATACGAAACGAAAATAATACTCAAGAAAGTATTAAATAAATTAAATATTTTTTCTGAATTATTGAAAAGTATATCTTGGGCATTCATGTACAATTCTATTAGTTACATAATACTGTACATAAATAAATATTTTTTGTGGTACTTTTATAACTCCCTTTAAACAAACAATTTATCTTATACATGATAGTGATTGTATTCTATGTGATTTCTTATCTGTGGAACAGGTTATATCTCTGTGTGCTGTGGTGGCTCTGTCCAGCGCAGGAGTCATCCATACAAGCCCCTACGGCTTAGCACTATCTCCCCTCAACACATACCAACAAGAACTCACTTCAAACATCCTTGCTAATCCCTCACTCCCACTTGCTGCCTACCAATCCTACCCTCTTACGTATTCAGCGGCAAACATATACCCAAATGTCCTACCACAACATTACCATCAGTACTCCTCAAATTACCCTTATTCGCTAGCACCTCTGCATTATGCACCAGGATATGAGCAAGTGGCTCTAAATGAGCCAATAGTTTATGTCGAGCCTGTGGTTCATCCAGCACCTCACCAAATAATACCAGAAGCTATTGTTGAGGCTCAACCGGAAGTTGAGGTAATTTTATAAGTATTTTATTATATCCGTAGATCTATCGAACTACATGAATAACAAGTAGTATCAACTTAAAAAAAATTTTTAAATTAAACGATTTTATTTTTGTGCACAACAAAAAAGTTTAAATTTTGATATAACCATCGTGTTTTATTAGTGTAGCCCTTTCATTTGATACCCATATTTAGGGGGTTAAGAAAAAATATGTAATCCGCCATTTTGTATTGGCGGCCATTTTGGATTTTTAATGTTATTGATTTTATTATATTGTATTGTCATCTAAATTGAATGTGTGTACCAAATTTCCTTTTAAAAATAAAATTATATAGACGAATGAAATTAATATTTTAAGTATATTAATTAAAGTTGTATTGTATTTGTTATTGTTTATTTCATTATTCTTTTTATTGTTGTTCATTGATTTTTTTTTCGACAATTATTTGGACCAATTGATTACATTACTGTAAAATACTCGCTGTAAATTTACGCGAGTACACATTTAAATAAAACACTTTTACTTAAACGTCGGGACGTAGTTAAAATAATTCGAATGAGTTTAACTTATATATATCGCGTTTTAAATCGTAAAAGTGTTTTATTCAAATATATTACTGTAATATTCAATACATTAATTCTCATTGTGATCTTTAAATGCATTATATAAAATTTTAAACATAATGATAAATAATAAGTGAAACAATTTAATTCAAATTTCAGGAAAAACCCCACTACCTCTTTGCATACTCCGTGGTTGACAGTAAGACTGGTGACAACAAACAACACCAAGAGAGTCGCGATGGTGATGTGGTGCGTGGGGAATATTCTCTCTTAGAGTCTGACGGAACGGTTCGTAGAGTGGAATACATAGCAGATCCTCAAAAGGGCTTCAACGCTGTAGTCAGCCGCTCTAAGCCTAAAGAAGCAGAGTCGACGACTGGATCTCATTAATTCATACAAATCTATTAAAAAAAACGAGTTGACCATACCTTTTTTGTAAATAAGATACTTTTTGAAGTTTTTGCTTTACTTGTATTACAATGTTCTTTGTTGTGTTGAAATAAAATATTATTGAAATCACAGTTTAATAATTATTATTTTAATGTATTTCACATTCTTTATGGGTACTTTTTATTTTTAAACGGTTTTATTTAGCTCGACCCGTACAGAATTTATTTATTTGGGTCAAAATTAGAAATTGAAATAAAGCACCTTCCCGATGTCAAATTAATCTGAAATTTGGTAAACACATTTAATGACAATACAATATAATAAAATCAATAATATTATAAATCTAAGATGGTCGCCGATACGAAATGGCGGATTACATATATTTCCTTAACCCCCAAAATATGGGTTTCAAATGAAAGGGGCTACACTAGTAAAACGCGATGATTATGTCAAAATTTTAATTTTTTTGTAGTTTTCAGTGCACAAAAAATAAAACCGTTTAACTTAAAAGTTTGTTTACCGATTTTTATTATCTATACAATAAAAATGATACGTCAATTTGAAATAAAACACCTTCACTAGACTACTCGTAACGTCGGGCCGTAGTTAAAATAAATTTAACTAATATATATCGCGTTTTAAACCGTTAAAGTGTTTTATTTGCAGTACAGTTATACTACTCGCGTTAACTACAGACAGTATTTTATACGACAATGTCAAATATTAACTGTCACTCTAACTGACACTTCTTTTTCTTTATTTGATGACATTTCCACTCTAAATGCCAACTACAAACGTCATGTGTATATGAAAGCAGAACACCTCTTATCGCACCATATCCGCTTTCGTTTATAACTATTATAAAATGCACAGATTTTTAAATAAAATACTTTAACGGGTTAAAACGCGATATATTTAAATGTGTACTACTCGCGTAAACTATAGACAGTATATTGCATTTTGTAAAATATGTATTGCTTATTTTTCGTGTTCTACTTACCACGAAACTAAAATCAATTGCTTACCCAAATAGCACAAAGGTTCCGTGAAATAGTGTTGATACTTTAATTATAAATAACTTTAGCGTAAAAAAAATATGTTTTTTTTTTACACTTAAGACAATGTTTTTTTATAAATAGCAATTTGTTTAATAGCCACTATATCTTGTTTAGGAATAGCGGCGTTCTTTGCTAGAGATAAAAAAATCCAATTCTGTTTAAACTTGAATATTTATGAGACTTAACTCGTCAAAGACCTCAATTTTTGTTTTAATTGGTGTTATTCCTTATACTATGACTTTTTATTAAGGGTGCAAATACTAGTTGAATATTATTGGTCAATGACTCATCTTCATTCATAGATAAGCCAATGACCTTCCGTTTGCGTTCTTGGAGAGATCTGACCTTTTGAACCGTAATTCTTTAAATTGATTCATAGCAGGCTTATGTGTATAGCAACAATACAGAACGCAGTGGTCGTAAATTCGAGTCTCACTCATGTCATATTTTTTTTCTACTTAATCTTCTTATCTATTGAAAATAAAAAAATCTTTAAATGTAGGATACCTACGCCGGGTCTGATTTCATAGGTCAATAAGACAAGAGAGACATTACGTAAGGAATTATTCATGTGAAAGTACCTAGTAACAGAACACTTTGAAAAGTTTATAGTTTATTAAATTTTCGGCTTGGCCAAAAACTTGACCCGTTGACCTCGCAAACCAGTGTACCTACAATATGATTTAGTATTTAAACGGATCGTTACAGTTTTAATGTATCACTTGAATAATAAGGATACAACAATCATGTTCTCTAAAGTAAGTCACCAATATAAGGATTACGTGAATAAAATATATCTATCAGTGGACAGGATTCTAAGCAATTTTTTTTTCAGGTATTCTGCGTCAGCGCTGTTCTGGCTGTTGCCTCCGCTGGGCTTTTGCCTACAGCTCACTACTCTTCAGCTGCTGCTGTGTCATCCCAGAGCATTGTTCGTCATGAACAACCCATCGCCTACCACGCTGCCGCGGCTCCAGTCGCTTACCACGCTGCCCCCGTCGCCTACCAAGCTGCTCCAGTAGCCTACGCTGCTCCTGCCCGTTACTCCTCCGCCGCTGCTGTCTCTTCCCAAAACATCGTTCGTCATGAACAGCGCGTCGCTCCCGTCGCCTACCACGCTGCTCCCGTAGCCGCAATCTCCTACGCCGCCCCCGCCCGTTACTCCTCCGCCGTCTCTTCCCAAAACATCATCAGTCACGCTGCCCCAGTTGCCATCAGCCACGCCGCCCCCATCGTGCACGCCGCCCCAGTCGTCCACGCCGCTCCCGCTCACGCCATCGTCGCCCAGCACGAGGAGTACGACGCCCACCCCAGATACGACTTCGCCTACTCCGTGGCCGACGGACACACCGGCGACAACAAGTCCCAGCACGAGAGCCGCGACGGAGACGTCGTTCACGGCGAATACTCCCTCCTCGAAGCTGACGGTTCAGTTCGCCGTGTCGAGTACACCGCTGATGCCCACAACGGTTTCAACGCTGTCGTCTCCAACTCCGCGCCCGCCCACCACGCCGCCCCCGCCCACGCTCCAGCTCTCCTTGCTCACCACTAAGTCATAAATTGTGCCTACTAAAGTAGTATAGTTTAGACATATTTATGGTAGTTCATAAAAAAATTGTAAATAAATGATTCAAAATTAAGTTTAATATCTTTAATTAAACTGCTTAAGTGATTCTATGTCAATTAGATTTGAATGTTAGTATTTAAAGTATAAAAGGCTGCTTACAGATAGCTTTTTGAGACCACGTTAAAAACTAAAAAAAAAAAAACTATAACAAACTGTATAATATATATGAATAATGTAGAACTACTTCACACGAGATTTAATTAACTTGAATTTACTGAGTTTGAAATTATTAATAGTAAAAATCTTTGACCATCTACACCAGACAAAATCTACACCAGTAAATTTACTAACTTTACTGTGTTATTTGTGAATACAAGTGTATTAAGAGCGATTAAAGTATCATCACTATTTAACGGAAACTTTGTGCTATTTGAGTAAGCAAATGATCTTAGTCTCGTGGTAAGAACACGAAAAACAAGCAATACATAGTTTACAAAATGCAATATACTGTTTATAGTTTACGCGAGTAGTACACATTTAAATAAAACACTTTAACTGTTTAAAACGCTATATATTAGTTAGTGCTAACTAATATATCGCGTTTCAAACCGTTACAGTGTTTTATTTAAAAAATGCAATATTTTTATATAAAAATCTGTGCATTTTATAATAGTTATAAACGAAAGCGGATATGGTGCGATAAGAGGTGTTCTGCTTCCATATACACATGACGTTGGCAGTATCCATTTAGAGAGGAAATGTCATCAAATAAAGAAAATGAAGTGTGAGTTGGAGTGACAATTAATATTTGACATTGTCGTATGAAATAGTGTCTGTAGCTATCGCGAGTAGTACAACTGTACTACTCGCAACTGTAAATAAAACACTTTAACGACGATGATAATCCCATGACCGCAAATCATCCGTAACATCCGTAACGGGCCGTAGTTAAAATCATTTTCAAACAAATTAAACTAATATATATCGCGTTTTAAACCGTTAAATAGCACAAAGTTTCCGTTAAATAGTGTTGATACTTTAATCGCTCTTAATACACTTGTTATGTGCCGGCCCTAAGCTGTACTTAATTAGGCGACAGCCCTAAGCTGTGCCACTACGGTGAAGCTGCTGATAGTGCGCGTATTCGATACCCGTGCGATCGGTATGTGACGCTACTATTGCCGTACCCATTTTTTATAAGAAATTAATCAGAATTATTATAAGAGTCGACCTGATGCATCGTGCACAGGGAGACACCTAGATTTAATTAAATGTAGGAGAATAATTATTGTAAGCGTCGAACTGATGCATCGTGCACAGGGAGACAAGTAGGATTAATTAAATGTAATATTTTTAATTAAATTAATTTTAAGTAAATGAGTTTTTTTGCAATCACCGGTGGCGACTAACATAATTCACTTGTATTCACAAATAACACAGTAAAGTTAGTAAATTTACTGGTGTAGATTTTGTCTGGTGTAGATGGTCAAAGATTTTTACTATTAATAATTTCAAACTCAGTAAATTCAAGTTAATTAAATCTCGTGTGAAGTAGTTCTACATTATTCATATATATTATACAGTTTGTTATAGTTTTTTTTTTTTAGTTTTTAACGTGGTCTCAAAAAGCTATCTGTAAGCAGCCTTTTATACTTTAAATACTAACATTCAAATCTAATTGACATAGAATCACTTAAGCAGTTTAATTAAAGATATTAAACTTAATTTTGAATCATTTATTTACAATTTTTTTATGAACTACCATAAATATGTCTAAACTATACTACTTTAGTAGGCACAATTTATGAATTAGTGGTGAGCAAGGAGAGCTGGAGCGTGGGCGGGGGCGGCGTGGTGGGCGGGCGCGGAGTTGGAGACTACAGCGTTGAAACCGTTGTGGGCATCAGCGGTGTACTCTACGCGGCGGACTGAACCGTCAGCCTCGAGGAGGGAGTATTCACCGTGGACGACGTCTCCGTCGCGGCTCTCGTGCTGGGACTTGTTGTCGCCGGTGTGTCCGTCGGCAACGGAGTAGGCGAAGTCGTATCTGGGGTGGGCGTCGTACTCCTCATGCTGGGCGACGATGGCGTGAGCGGGGGCGGCGTGGACGACTGGGGCGGCGTGCACGAAGGGGGCGGCGTGGCTGATGGCAACTGGGGCAGCGTGGCTGATGATGTTTTGAGAAGAGACGGCGGAGGAGTAACGGGCGGGAGCGGCGTAGGAGACTGCGGCTACGGGAGCAGCGTGGTAGGCGACGGGAGCGACGCGCTGTTCATGACGAACGATGTTTTGGGAAGAGACAGCAGCGGCGGAGGAGTAACGGGCAGGAGCAGCGTAGGCTACTGGAGCAGCCTGGTAGGCTACGGGGGCAGCGTGGTAAGCGACTGGAGCAGCAGCAGCGTGGTAGGCGATGGGTTGTTCATGACGAACAATGCTCTGGGATGACACAGCAGCAGCTGAAGAGTAGTGAGCTGTAGGCAAGAGCCCAGCGGAGGCAACAGCCAGAACAGCGCTGACGCAGAATACCTGAAAAAAAATTGCTTAGAATCCTGTCCACTGATAGATATATTTTATTCACGTAATCCTTATATTGGTGACTTACTTTAGAGAACATGATTGTTGTATCCTTATTATTCAAGTGATACATTAAAACTGTAACGATCCGTTTAAATACTAAATCATATTGTAGGTACACTGGTTTGTCGAGGTCAACGGGTCAAGTTTTTGGCCAAGCCAAAAACTTAATAAACTATAGACTTTTCAAAGTGCGCTGTTACTATGTACTTTCACATGAATAATTCCTTACGTAATGTCTCTCTTGTCTTATTGAACTATAAAATCACATCCGGCGTAGGCAGAAAAAATAGCGTTTATCTCCTCAAAAATACATTTAAAGTAAATGTTATAAATAATAAATATTGATAAGAAGATTTGGTAAAAAAAAATATGACATATGTGGGACTCGAATTCACGACCGACGACGACTGCGTTCTGTATTTTTGCTATACCCATAGGCCTGCTATATCAATCAATATATGTATAGTTTTCATTCATTTTAAAGAATTGCTGTTCAAAAGGTCAGAGAAGCACTCACCTCTCCAAGAACGCAAACGAAAGGTCATTGGCTTATCTATGAATGAAGATGAGTCATTGATCAATAATATTCAGCTAGTAGTAGTATTTGCATCTTTAATATGAAGCCATAGAATAAAAAATAACACCTAACAAAATAAAGATTGAGGTCTTTAACGAGTTAAGCCTTACAAAAATTCAAATATAAACAGAATTAGATTTTTTTATCTCTAGCAAACAACGCCGCTATTCCCTAACAAGATATAGCTATAAAAGGCTATTAAATAAATTGCTATTCTTAAAAAAATGTATTAGCGTAAAATATAATCATTAAGTGAAATTCATCAATTAAATAACGAAATAGTATCATTTTTTATTAAATTTTAAGAATGAAATGAAGAAACTAATTTTAAAAGTGTTTTTTGTTCTGTCGGTATTTTTTTAGGATTTTTTATTTATTGTAACAATTGAAAACAAATGGCTAAGAGTGACTAATTTTTGTTTTTTGAAGGACGGTTAATTTGAACGTCCAAAATCAGCACCAAACACTGACCTAGATAGAAGGTCATGGACAACGCGTAGACCTCTTAGCCTGTCCAAATCACATGCTACATTTATTTTTGGCATGACTTACATTCCATTTCAATGTACAATAATGAAAGTCGACTTTTGCAATTCGCTATGTGATAATCTTGAGTGACGTGTGAATGATATAAGAGGTTATGTTACGAATCTATTAATTTTTATAATAATTGTGTATCTAACTATGTTTTATTTTTCATTATTTTGGCCGTCAAAGTATTTATTTTTGCAAAGGGCCTCCTCGGTAGTTTCAGTAATTACAGCTGTTACCCACGACGTTGGTCACTTGACGTCGTTCTTATGGGATAAAAAGATATAAAGACCTTAAAAAAAGACAGAAAAAAAAGAACATTCAACATTTTAAGAACAACCATTACTCTTCTCAGGAACTAGAATGGCTTTACGGTTTAAAAATGTATTTATTCTCAAATGATTACATACAATCTCTACTGAGAAACTAGGTAATTTCATTATAAACTTAACTAGATTGGTGCTACCCGCACCGTTTTTGTTTACAATACAAGTTATTCTATATAAACTGACTAGATGGAGTATTTTTAGATCGCGATAGCGCGGAGGCATGCATTCCACTGCGAGCTTACTATTAGTAATTATTTGTTTGTTAACAAATAAATAAGTTAAGATATTATACATTATTTTTATTTTTAGCTTTAAGTTATAAAATACCATGGTGCAACCAATAGAGCGTAAAAACAGCGGAAAATGTGAAAAACGAGGAAAAATAATTATTTTTGAAGAAACTGTTGCGCGCCCTGAGGACGGTTCAAGAAGTAAATAAATGAAAGAATGATTCTTCTTTTAATTATCTTATATCCTGTCATCGTCTATCTATCTGGAATTAAGCCGTGAAGTTTAAAAAATTTCTATTCAAGTCTGGGGATCTCCGACCTCCAAGAAGGTTAATAGCGCATCTTGTTAAGATGTTAGCTGGGGTAATTCTCCTTCCATCATGCGAATTCCATGCTTGTCTTCTCCTGTCATTAAAAATATACTGTAGAATAACTACCTCTTACTTCATAGGGATCTTACGCTATGTATCAATCAATCAATACATAATATAGTATAGAATAAAGTTAGATCATAGTTTGTAATAGCGGCTTATACATTAATAATATTTGACGAATTCTATAAACAATAGGACATCATTGCGTCGTCTCAATTAAAACAAACTAATTCAATACTGTCTTAGATTTCTTCAGTGTCGCTCTTGAATTCTTGGTTTGAAGTCGCTTCAGGACGTTTAATTTGTGAACGACTCGTGAAAATGCTGTTATTGGTAAGCGCTTTGCTTCTTTTGCGATATTTTTTTTAAATTTTGATTTAATTGATTACCATATCGCATTCCTAGGGGCCGAATATGTTTCTATTTCGAGGAAATAAAAGGTTTTACAAAAGGTGCTTATAAACATATACCTCACAACAGCCTTAAACACAATATATCGATTACGAACAAAAATATTTACAGTTTCCTTAATTTGCACCATCTATAAAATGAATTAAAGGGATATAACACAGCGGGGACTCGAACCCACACAAATTCAAACCCTGAAGTGAATCGTGATGTTTTTGTACCAATTTAGCTATTGCATTACGTCCCGCCTATCTATACTTGTATTATAAAGCTGAAGAGTTTGTTTGTTGGATTGCGCGAATCTCAGGAACTCCTGGCACAAATAAAAAAAATATTTTGGTATTGGTTGACCCATTTATCGAAGAAGGCTCTAGCCTACAAAACAACAGGCTCAGACCATAAGGAGGGAACATGGATATCATTTCCTGTTGTAATTTGTTCTTTCAATCTTAGTATGTTATAAATTTATAGTTTAAGAATATACGTTCGTATTTTTTTATTCCAGATGTTGATTGCTTGCTGTATACAATGTGCAAAGCTGGAGTCTCAAACTTCTTACGAAAGCTATACTAGATATGACATTCCTTTACCTAATAAAGTCACACCTATCTTGAACTATAGAGGCTCAAAAACAAACACTGAACTGCAATATGCCCCGCTCATTTTGAAGTCAGAAAAGGCACAAAGTATGGACTCCACCCCCACTCCAAACGAGGGCACAAAAAATCATGGAGCTCGCAAGATAGAACCCCAAATCAGTGAAAGAATACCTTTTCCGCCGAATATAGCTCTTTCTTTTATACCAGGATATAATATACAGTTATTGTCGCAAAACAACGGTCAGAAGAAAATAATGCATAATGAAGACTATTATAAGGTAACTATAGTATACTTCTTTGTTCTAACAGTTAAACGCGTGCGATAAATAATAGAGGAGGCTGAAACTTCAAAGTAAAACAATACTAAATTGAAATTATTAAATTTGATCTTTATTGCTTAATAGTTTTGAGTTCAGAAATCGACTTAGCTACCCATTTAGTTTCATTCAAGTTAAATAATTTAGAAAACAATTAAATTATGGTGGGTTAGGTTAAAACTTAGTATCATTATCATGCCAACGACGCAAACAATATAAAAATATTAAATAAAACACTTTTAACCGTTTAAACGCGCATTTAATTTTAATTTAATTTAATTACGGTGCAAGGTTTTGGATGCTTTAGAGCAGTATTATTTCGCATTTTAAACCGTTAACAATGTTTTATTTAAGTGATACTCGAGTGAATAATCTGTATTTTTATTTTACTAGAACAGTGAGCAATCACGACGCATTATGACAAATAATGAAGATCTGAAATCCGCTGATAGTATTGTTAAGAACAATGCCGATTCATTAAACAGCAACAATAGAAATATTTTTGGGCTGGAGAAATATAAATTCAATCAAGTGAATACCAGGTAATTGCTCACATATCGAAAACAAACTTATATTATAATAGATAATAAATGATAAAAATATTAATTTATTAGGAACACGTTGGATCCCACACTTTTTCACCATATATTGTAGTGGATATCGCGATAAAATGTTTTGCGTCTTAAATGATTTATTATTTATGAAAACAAACAAAGATTTTATTATAATAAAATTAATTTTCAGGCCGAAGACACTAACAGCGATGGAATCACCCGACATTCAACCATTTTTAGTAGTGAGAACGCCTCGGCTCCATTTGAACGTTGCGCGCGCATACCATTTTGCTTACCTTCCAAATAAGGCGCTAAACGAAATAATACTGAGAAAACAGGATAAAAAACATTATCAGAAAACTTATTTAAGCACTAATCAAAGCAAAAATTGTCAGTTGCATCGCGTATCTTAGTATCTTCGTTTTATGCACATAATGTTTATTAAGGGCGAAAAACAACTTGTAGCTTACGATTTTAAAATTAAAAAAGGGGAATTTTGATAAGTACCCTAGAAAAATTATATTTTTAGAAGCCTGGTTGTGATCAGACATATAATTTGGGAAAGGAGAATTTGTCTTACGATGCATTAATTTGGTTGTTTGAATTGCTTTTCTTATTAATCTTTTATCCTTCTTTCTATCTCGTAGCCAAACATTCAAACGTGGTGTGTAGCATTACTTTATATGCGAGAAATCCTGGGTTCGAATCCTGGGGAAACAATAGATTGTTTCGGTAAGGCAGGGCACGAGAGTCTGGAAAACTACTTGCTTGTAAAAGAAGCGATGAATAAAACGGACACAGTAATGTGTTCGCGCCATTCCCCACAGAAACAATGGGATTTCACTTTTGACAAAAAAGTATGACTATTAGTTACTATAATTTGACTATGTTTTTAAATATAGTTTTTTTAAGGACCAAGCAGCGTTATTTACTAAATAGACTTTATAAATTCTACTGCAATCTATAATAATAGATGGGTAACCCTGTAACATTGACGTCGAAATTCCGTGGGAGTGACTATGATAAAGGCATTTCTTTTAAAGTTAGTCAGCTTACCTTCTAAGAGATACATTATGATTGTAATTTGTTTTCATTAATAATAATTGACTTGCAACATTCGTGTACAAGTTTAAAAATGTAGATCAACCTTCGGATAATCGGTGATAGAAGTGTGCAATTTGACCGAACGTTGCTCAACGGCTAAGCAGAATTAGATGCGATTTAGATTAGTTGTTGTCTTTTGATACCAATTTTCTAAAACAAAGAACTGAATATATTTTATGTAATTCTCTTTAGGTGATGAATATATAGAAATAAATATCGATTTACTCATTTTTATTTTACAATAAATAAATATTAGTCAACAGTAAATTATTGGTCAGAACTCGTAACACATCAGTGGTAGTATTGGTGAGCTGGGGCAGCGTAGACGGGAGCCTTCAGGACAACTGGGGCAGCCTTGTAGACGGCGGGGGCAGCGGTGGGGGCGGTGTTGTGCACGACCGCGTTGAAACCGTTGTGGTCGTCAGCGGAGTACTCGACGGTCCTGATGGAGCCATCGGCTTCGTGGAAAGAGTAGGATCCCTTCACGACATCACCGTCACGGACTTCCTGTTGCTGTTTGTCGTCACCGGTGTGAGGGTCAGCTACGGCGTAGGAGAACTCGTATTTGGGGTAAGCCTGGAATATAAATTTAAATTGTCAAACATATTCAAGACACATGTCAGTAAACATAAATTTTATGATGTGTTTTGGGCTAAGCTACTTACAACTTCTTCGTGTTGAGCGATGACTTTAGCGACTGGAGCGGCGTGGGGGCAGCGTGGTAGGCAACTGGGGCGGGGGCAGCGTGGTAGACTGGGAGCAGGGGCGGCGTGGTACACTTGGGCGGGAGCGGCGTATGCGGCGGGAGCGGCGTATGCGACGGGGGCAGCAACGGCGAGCTTAGCTACTGGAGCGGCGTAAGCCAGGTTGGCGTGAGATTGTTCGTGACGAACGATGCTCTGGGAGGAGACTGCAGATGCTGGGGAGTAGTGTACGGCGGCTGGTACCAGACCAGCTGACGCCACCGCTACAAAAGCGCAGAGAGCTACCAGCTGAAAGATTAAATATTTTATTAGCAACTTCCTTACACATATTCCTCACTTTGTTTAAGTCTTAGATTAAAAATATATAATTAATTATTATTACTAGAGAGCGACACTTACTTTGGAGAACATGTTTATTGTTTTTGTTCTATGAGTTGAATGATATTTTTTGAATTCGCCAGGCTTGTTTTATAGATTGACACCTCGTCTTACCTTGCCCTAGGGTACTTCAACGGAATTTATTATAGCCGACAGATTACTTTCATTGACATGCCTACACATGACATCAATATTCATTTATTAATTACTTAATAGAATTGTTAATATTCACATACCTTATAAGTGTTATAGAAAAATAATGTTTTTGTTCTGATAGGTGTTTGTAACGCACTGGCAAGTATTAAAAAAATTGTTTTAAATACTACAATTATAAGTTTCAAACAATAAATGGAATTGTTAAGAGACGATATGTATATACATTGTGGAACAATATGGCTTTTTTTTATAATTTCGATAGTGTCTTTACTTTTAATTATATTTTTCTAAGCACATAGCCAAACTTTTAATAGCTCTACAAATACTGTAAAATATTAATTTGAGTTAGAATAAAGCTGCAAGTTTGAATTTTAATACAATGTAATTTTTTAATCATAGTACCAAAGCGAAATGTGAAGTTTTTTTACGAAACGAATTACGAAAATTTTAATTTATATTTCAGGCTATAATTTTTGGCACCAACATTAAACAATTTTAATAGTTTTATCCTTAAAAATGATATTTAATGTAATATTAACCGAAGTACAATTTAGACTTTAAATATGTAATTCGTTTAAGTTAAAAATGATTTCACACTTCAAAATAAGACAGTTTTGTATTTTGTCAAACATAATGTATTTCAATGTTTTATGCGATTTACTAAAATATAAAAGCGCACGAGGATCTAAATTAAAAATATGGGGATAGCAATCAATTGTTTTGGCCGCGTAGGGCACAAATGTCTAATTAACTATTTTCTCCCGAATTAATTTCAGGCTGAGATGTGTGTTCCCTAATCTTCGCGTAGAGATAGGGTTTTTGCACTTTTTACTTTCAATAACTTTTATATTGAAACAACAGTTTTAATATGAAGAGTTAGCACCAATGGACTATAAACATTCGATTAATCAATATTACCTTATTTTACATTTTTAAACATCTTCCATGTGGTTTATAATAATTGTATTACTAAAATGTGTCATTATATAATAAGATAGTTCGTAAAGTAAGGCTATGTAGATTTAGAAGATAAGGTGACAATTAGTTGTTTAAGTTATAATTATTTTAATAAAATTAGTTTATTAGGTTATAATTATTTATTTTCTCAAACAATTTGAAAAACTAGAGAATTTATTTTTTGCACTTTACTATTTAGTTCAACTAAAAAGCTCTCATAGTTTACAATACAATAGAAAATCGTGTTTGTTTTATAATAAAAACAGGGTTTGATAATTTAACTATTTTTAGAGCGCATAAACATTATTATATAATTATTGAATTATTAAAAATCTACTCTATTTTGAATAATACAAAATAAATTTTTATTTAATTTAAAATAATTAAGGCACTGACAATAATCAAACCAAAGTATATGTGAGTATATAAGCCTCGAAATTTAATTAATAAATTATATTCACAATTCTTTAAACAAAGTAAGAGTGAGTTTTTTATCTATTTAATCTTTTTTTATCTATTAAAAAAGATACGCTGAAACCGAAACGCGACTAAACTTGATAGCATTTTCATCTATGGACGGTGGTTTGTGACCCTAACAGAATTTCGATATTTCTACCACCTACTTAACATCCAGATTTCATGACGAAGTCCAACATAATATTTCTGAAAAAATATAAATTTATTAAAAAAATATGGACCCGGGGGAGACCGAACTAACTCGCAGATTTTCGTTACACCAGACCTCGTCAAAAGTCGTCAGTATTGACTCAACGTTGTTCTCTATCTATAGTAAGTAAGCAGTCTTTTTACTTCGATTTAGAGTAAGTCGGTCAATTGCGCTCGTATTTAAATAAGATGAGAAGACAACAATATTCGCAACATTGTTTTTGCTAAATCGTAATAAAGATTAAAACAAATAACTTTAAAGAATTTATAAAATAAGGTTAAGCAAGTCTTTATATTGTAACCAGAACTTTTGCTGCTTCTCTTATAACGGATCTTAGGTTCAGTTCATCCTGGGAACAACATATTTCCTAATTATTAAATAGGTTTAAAATCCCATTAGGTACATGAACCGTCGTTAAGAGATGGGGGGGCTGTGTTTTGCTTATTTTTGAGAGGGGTAATCTCAAAATATAATGTGATATGCGTGAAAAACGGGGGGGGGGGGTAAAAGCTTTGCTTATTTTTGCTGAGGGGGGGAAGGGGCAAGGGGGATCTGGGGGTAAATAATTCTTAGTAAATCTGCTTGACGTAAACTTGAACGGCCCCAGATAGAAAAGCTATGAAGTGTGAATATCGCTTTTAATCTGTATATTTTTTAATGTTATGCAAGAATAGGTCGACGACGCATTTTAATTAGACGTCACAACGCTGAGGCCTTTCTAGGACTTATCTGACCTCCTCCTTCACAGTAATAAAAAAAACTTCTGTATGAGCATGTTTAAAATAATTAAGTGTAAAACATTGTAATACACATATGAAGTTCTAAAACACGGTCAGGGTCGGTGAGGTAATCCATTTTCTCATATCACATACTAGCTGTGTCACTGACTTCGTCCGAAAGAATCGTTATTTTGGGCATCCAAATTTGTTTAGCAAATCCCTTCACCTTTAAACACTTAACCTGTTACCCACGACGTCGGTCGCGTCCCTTCCCGTCGTTCTTGGAAGATAATCTTAAGAGATAGACATATAGCGTCGCGGACTTTTTTTAGATCAATAAGGAGGAATCATTCTCTCACGCATATTTTTTGGGTATCTTGAATCGTTTTTGCAGCGTACGCCTCGGAAGCCCATAATGATGAATAATTTTCCCGATTTTTGGCGCATTACTCGCTGTATCTTCGCTCCTGGATCAAATCCGTAAGTCACAGGATAAAAGCCTGCCTCGAGAAATGCTCTAAATAACACAAATATATGTTTTCCATTCGAATCCGTAGTTCCTGAGATTAGCACGTTCAAACAAACAAACAAACTGTTCAGCTTTATATATTTGTATAGATTATATAATAGAAACACACGCACATTTTAAACATTGATCTCATAAATTAAGAAATAGAGGAAATAGCTTTGAAATAATGACATCACTGTATCATTGAATTTCTATTGAAGCTAGTTTTTACATATTTAAGAGATAAATTAAGTATTATGTATTAAAAAATGTTTCTAATTGTACATTAATATAAGATCATCTATATTTTAGTGGAAACTCCTTTCTTTTTTTAATAAGATTGAGAAGAGAATTGAAGATCTTCAAACAGTTGATCAAATATGATCTTAAATTATTTTTTCCTTGGCACTTAACAGTATAAGAATACTGAGAGGTTGCAATAAATTAAAGTAGAAGGCTATAGAGATATTCGTATATTACAATAAATAATCAACGGTACTAAATTATTCGATGGTAACATTTAGTGGTAGTATTGGTGGGCTGGGGCAGCGTAGACGGGAGCCTTCAGGACTACTGGGGCAGCCTTGTAGACGGCGGGAGCAGCGGTGGGGGCGGTGTTGTGCACGACCGCGTTGAAACCGTTGTGGTCGTCAGCGGAGTACTCCACGGTCCTGATGGAGCCATCGGCTTCGTGGAAAGAGTAGGAGCCCTTCACGACATCGCCGTCGCGGACTTCCTGTTGCTGCTTGTCGTCACCGGTGTGAGGGTCAGCGACAGAGTAAGAGAACTCGTATTTAGGGTGAGCCTGTAAAATGTTAATATTCCAATAAAGATATGTATAATTTACAGCTGTACGTGCAAGGCAAATCAGAGAAAATTGTTTAAAATTGGCAGGATTCGAACTCATTACGCATTTATATTATAATTCCTTAATAATATATCTCATTAACTTATTTCTAATTACTAGTGCTTCTTACGTCTTCGGGTTGAGCAAGAACTTTAGCGATTGGAGCGGCGTAGTGGACTGGGGCAGCGTGGTAGGCAACTGGGGCGGGGGCAGCGTGGTAAGCTACTGGGGCAGGTGCGTGGTAGACGGGAGCAGGGGCGGCGTGGTATACTTGGGCGGGAGCGGCGTATGCGACAGGGGCGGCCACAGCGAGCTTGGCTACTGGCGCAGCGTAAGCCAGGTTAGCGTGAGATTGCTCGTGACGAACGATGCTCTGGGAGGAGACGGCAGATGCTGGAGAGTAGTGCACGGCGGCTGGTACCAAACCAGCTGACGCCACCGCTACAAAGGCGCAGAGAGCTACCAACTGAAAATATGAATTTTAATGAATACAAAATTAATAAGTTGATTTAATAGGTTTTTCTTTTTAACAACTAATTAACTTACTTTGGAAAACATATTTGTTTGTGATTGCAACTGATGAATGACATTAAATTCCCATTGCGCGGATCTTATATACGAAAAATCCGATTGATATTACTTCAGATGACAGTAGTGGAACTTGTCTAACGAGATTAAAATTGACCTTGCTCTCGGCTGTTATGGGTTCGCGATTCATATACATTCACTATATAATTTGTAGGAAGAAAGATTGCGACAACATGCTCGTGAGGCATCTTATGAAATTATTAACGCCATATCCTTTATTTTGGACTTATTTCTAAATAACATTCATTTCAGTGCTTAAATATTTGCCATTTCTAACAATTGCTTCTTTATTTCAAAGATTTTTATCATTTTCAACTTTTATAAATCTTACTCAAATAATACACACTAACAACTGTTACCATACATTTTGCGACATTTTCATTGGAGATTTTTTTTATCAACATTTATCTGGAAATCTGGATTAGGTGGTTAATAGCCATATCAAAAATCTGTCCGGGTCAGAAACCACCATCTACATGTGAAAGCCGTTAAATTTTATACAATACTACAATATACAAAATACTATTAAATACTAATTAATAATTTAAGTACAGAATTGTTTAATATGTAATGTATACGTATAACGTTAGATTATTATCATAACGACAAATAACCTTTCGGCTAAATTAGTTTTCGGTAGTTACTTTGTTTGACCGCTATAATTGAGGTCAGAGCAACATAAATCATTCACACTTCATTCATGATTTATATCTCGAGAATGTCAACGAAAGCTATGAGTGCCACCGATCAGTTCGAAGTACCCCGAGGCAAGGTCATAATTGATAACAGATAGAGCTTTAAGCTAGTATAAAACCAGGTGGCCGACACAAAAAAATCATTCTGCAATCCAAACAGAAACAATAAACATGTTCTCCAAAGTAGGTCTACATTTATAAATGGTGGAAATTATAATTTAAAGTATGTAGTCGTAATTAACCAATATTTTAATTTCAGTTGGTAGCTCTCTGTGCTTTTGTAGCGGTGGCGTCAGCTGGTCTGGTACCAGCCGCCGTACACTACTCCCCAGCATCTGCCGTCTCCTCCCAGAGCATTGTTCGTCACGAACAATCTCACGCTAACCTGGCTTACGCCGCTCCAGTAGCTAAGCTCGCCGTTGCTGCTCCCGTCGCATACGCCGCTCCCGCCGCATACGCCGCTCCCGCCCAAGTGTACCACGCCGCCCCTGCTCCCGTCTACCACGCTGCCCCCGCACCAGTTGCCTACCACGCTGCCCCAGTCCACTACGCCGCTCCAGTCGCTAAAGTCATCGCTCAACACGAAGAAGTTGTAAGTAACTTAGCCCAAACACATTATAAATTTTATATTTACTGACATGTGTCTGAAATATGTTTGATTATTTCAATGAATATTCCAGGCTTACCCCAAATACGAGTTCTCCTACGCCGTAGCTGACCCTCACACCGGTGACGACAAGCAGCAACAGGAAGTACGCGACGGTGATGTCGTGAAGGGCTCCTACTCTTTCCACGAAGCCGATGGCTCCATCAGGACCGTGGAGTACTCCGCTGACGATCACAACGGTTTTAACGCGGTCGTGCACAACACCGCCCCCACCGCTGCCCCCGCCGTCTACAAGGCTGCCCCAGTTGTCCTGAAGGCTCCCGTCTACGCTGCCCCAGCTCACCAATACTACCACTAAACCTTATTTTAGGCAGCACAAACCAATGATAGTCATGACTAGTTATTTATTTATTAGTCAATAAATATTTTAGAGTTATAATGAACTGGTTTTTTATTATTTACTAATCGGCTGTCAATTTAAACCCTTAATTCAGTTCGTGTGTAATTATGAGTAGACCCCAGTGTATCCTTACATTCATTTGTATATTACAAAATGAAATTGATTGAACTAAAACACCTTGACGGCTTAAAACGCGATATATTAGTTAAACTTATTTGAAAATGATTTTTAACTTCGGCCCGACGTTTCGGATGCTTTGCAGCAGCCGTGGTCACGGGGAGGCAGTATTTAAAATTAAATTGTCCAATATTCATCTCAATTTGTCAATAACAACGTTTGCTGCTATATTTATTTTAAAATATGTATCAGGTAATTCGGTCTAGTAGTTCTCAAGTTTTGCAACAATCAATCTGAAATTGATATAAAGATTTATTATTATAATAATTGATAGAATAACTAGAATAAAAGTTATTATCAAGTATCATTGAATTATAACGCATAATAACTTCAAAAGAAACTTATTGTTTGGTAAGTTGTTTTTTTAATATTTCCCTTGCGCAATAACATGTGAAAAATATTAAAGTATTAAATTTTCCGTTATACTTGAAACGGCAATTAACGATCTATTAATTTCAATATCAAAGTCAGCATTTCAAAACATTTAATTTCTTGAAAATTATTATTTCTGTATAAAATATTTACATATAAATAATTTATTGGCTGTATCTGGCAGGAGTAAAATATACAGGTCCTTTGATGACCGCAGGTGCGACTGTTGGTGCTGTATTATGCACGACGGCTCGAAAACCATTTCGATCATCGGCAGTGTATTCCACTGTTCTAATGGAACCATCAGCTTCATGGAAAGAGTATGAACCCTTCACTGTATCACCATTGCGAACTTCCTGCTGTTGCTTGTTATCACCAGTTTGGGTATCCGATACGGAGTAGGTGTACTGGTATTTTGGATAAGTCTGGAAATTTCATTTCAATTAGTAACTAAGACCTTCTAAACTAGAATAAAAATCGAAAATAAATGGAAAAAATTTCGACTCGGGCAGGACTTGAACCGGCATAGTCAGCGTTCCGTGCTGTTGCTCGTAAATTTTTTCAATTTTTTTTTTCAATTTTTTAATTATATAGTGCCTTCATGTGCAATAACATGTGAAAAATATTCATGTTTTCAAATCACTTTACATTTTAAACCAAACACCATAAGTATTTCATTACTTTGTTATGGCAAAAACTTCCCAGTAATGAAATTTATTTTGTTACTTGATTTCATATAATCTTTGGAGTGCTTATATGCGTCATATTGTATAGACAACATATTTATTTGAAATAATGACTAATATAAACTTTGAAATCAACAGTCTACACTTAAACTTCCAACTTAGGATGTTTTTAACCGCCTGTGTAGCTAAACGTTTAAACGTGTTGCCCAGCATTTGTTAATCACGAGAGGTCCTGGGTTCGAGTCCCGGCGAAAGAGATTGTTTCAGTCGGACTCAAAAGTCTGATCCATTACTTGCATATAAGTACAACTAATAGAAAAAGAACTTAAAAACGTGTTCATGCGCCACGATGGGAAACAGGATTTTAAAAATTAAAAATAAGTTCTGTAAGAATATATATGGAAGTCAAGTATGCCTAAACACTGTCTGTATTTAACGGTTTTAAACCGATATATATTAGTTAAACTTATTAAAAAATTATTTTAACTACTACCCGACGTCTCTCCGTGAGCACGGCTGCTGCAAAGCATCCGTAGCGTTTTAAACCGTTAAAATGTTAAATTAAAATTAAGTATGCCTATCAAAAAAACACAGACTTACTTCTTCAGGATATGTTTCGTAGTGGGTTAGTGGGCCCCGAAGGCTAATCGATCTTGGTATGTGATGCTCAATGCTCTGTGATGATGTTGCAGGGTAAGCCCATACCGCTGTAACAGCTGCGCTGATAACCAAAACCTGCAAAGAACAGCGCCTGGTAATTAAAATACTTAAATTTTGCCTCCACTATTTAGAAGGCGGATTAAAGTGACTTTTGTGTTTTATTTATATAACAGTAACATAGTATTAATGTCTAAAATAAAGATGATAATACATTTACAATTTTAAGTAAAATGTTTGCTTGCAAGTTACGGTTGTATAAAAGAAATCGCTTACTTGAACAAACATTGTGAAGGAAATATTAATAGTGATATCTGATATTGTATTTCTCTAGTTTTATACCATTGAGATGTTATATTTTGCACTCCCTTTGTGTATTGGTAAAAGTAGGGCGCTATCTTCGCTCTATACAGTTCATCTTTAAGATTAGATCTAAATTTTTATTTATTAAGATGTTTGTGTGAAGCCACAAATCAGTTAGTAGTAATTAATAAGAATCATTGGTGATTGATTATTAGTAAAACTTTCTCCTAGGACACCAATTAAATATACCCCCCCGTTTGGATTGTTAACGTTATGTCTTATTTAAATATAACTTAAGTTTAAAACGCGATATATTAGTTAAACTGTATTGAAAAGTTTAACTTTGGCCGACGTTTGGATGCTTGCTAGCAGCTGTCTCACGTGACCACGTACTGGTTACGGTCCCGTGAAATATATCGGTTTTAAACCGTTAGTTGTTTTATTTAACATTTATCGAGTAATGTCTTTCATTCATATTTAATTTTGGGTACATTTAACCGTACGAGTCGTAACAGAGAAAGAGTTTGAGAGAAAATATTGATTTTAACTTCGTTAAAATCCTGTTTCAAATAAGTCATTAACTTCTATATCGCGTTTTAAGCCGTTAAGGTTTTATTTAAATGTGTACCCACTAATGTAAACAATAGAATGTATTTACTCTTTAAATGATAACAAAAAAATGCTCATGACACTATAGTCTAGGTAACTTGCAAAAACGTCGGGACCTGAACGACGGGGTTGTCGTGGGTACATAACTGCTAAAATTTATAAGGATGCTTCCGGATTGAAAAATCAAATTTGGATACCAAAAATAACATCTACGCGGACGAAGTCGCTGACACAGCTAGTAATATTACTTAATATTGTTTTTGTCTTAACTGTCACTGAAATTACACTTTATAACTCGAAGCTTTAAAATATTTAAGAATGTAATGACTTGGCAGATTTTAAACAACGTCTTTTATTGTTATAAGTTAAGCACAATTTTTGGATATGATCTAGAAAATAAATTATGAAAGTAAAGATTTGGTACAATAGGTTACAATTATTGTTCAAGAGATATTATCGAAAATATTGAATCCGCGTTATTCTCTACACAATCGAATGGAAAAGTAACGATGATATTTTTTTTTGTAAATTTATATAATAGCAATTAGAAAAGTATAAATTACTTGGAAGTTTTGATTTCGTCAGCAGTTTGCTCTTCCTTCTTTGTACGATCGTACATCTTCAAGTCTAGCAAAATGTATAACATGGTATGTATATAAATACTTTTTATTTAAATTCATTGATTGAGGATTAGATAACTGTAACTTAATTTTAAAGATTTTGAATTCCTTAATTTTATGAATGCAACAATGTAGTACATAAAATTACAAACATAGTACATAATACAATTTTTAAAAATCTTAAATCATTTTCAGATTTACCTACTAAGCTTCATTAGTTTAAGTTCAGCAATAGTTATAGACCATTCACAAGGTTTCTACAAGGACGCTTATAGGGCAGAAGATGGTAACGCATGGCAAATGGTGAAAACTTACCATCCGGCGCGTACGCAGAGGGTATACAACTATGATACATATGTAAGTAAATTAGACCATTTTTGATATTTTATCCTTTGATTTTTTTTTCGTGTACCTGATTAACCATTATAGAAACAAAAAGAATTTCTATATTTATCTGAAAAAGTTTGGTAATTATAAGGTTTTTTTTTTAGTTTTGGCTTCTAAAGTCACTTTCTTATTATTTAATATATGTTTCGATTTTAAGGCGTACCCTAAATACGAATTTGAGTATGCCGTATCAGACAAAAAGACTGGTGACCATAAACATCACCATGAAGAACGTGATGGGCACAGAGTGCGTGGTGCATACAGTTTGGTCGAAGCTGACGGTTCATTGAGGGAAGTGCACTATGACGCGGATGACTACAATGGGTAAATATTAATTAGAAATGAAATTACTGAATCACTTTGGAAAAGTATCATGGCTTCTATCTATATAAGGATCTGTAAGGAGATTTAAAAAAACTATCTTATCTGTATGTTGTGAAATCAAAACGTACAATAAAAACTTCTGTCGTAACTTTAAATTACTCAATCTTAAATCCTTTAAACATTGGAGCTGGATCAGTTCTTTAAGATGTTCATAATAATGGGCTATCTAAAGTTGACTGTAAACTAATAGTAATCCTTTGTGATTTTATATAGATTCATATGTAAATGGTCATTTATTATATCTTTTCTAGATTCAATGCAGTCGTTAGCAAAAGTGTTCTCAACCACGGAGATGACGCGTTCTCCATTCATGGACACACACGCCAATTCTTTCCCATAGGCAGTGGAGTAAAAATCAACCACTACTTCCCCAGCAAAGACGTGCCAAAAGAAGAAGAAAATCAAAGTAAACCCGTTACTGAAGCATCAATACCAAGAGAGGTAATTGTACCGGAATTATTAGACGAAGCTGAAAAAATGATACACTTAGAACCAATTGAAGAGACGCCAGCAACTCCAATCGTTAAAATCGAAACACTGGAAGACCCAAAAATCCAAGTACTTCCAATCATACCAAAAGCTGAAGATAATGTTAAAGTCAATGACAATATTGTTCAGATGCCCGTAGTTGAGAAATCTTTAAGTTATCCAATTGAAGCAGTTGTTGAAAAGAAAGCAGAATCCAAACCACACGAAAGCCAAGACTCTGAGGCTGCGTCATCTTATTATCATTCTAAAATTTATTATGTAGGCTTTTAATTTATATTTCTTATGAATATCGAATTATTAATAAAATTTTATTTATAATCCCACCTTTTTGTTCTTTACTATACACTTAACACAGTGTTCATAAACTGTGTACACACTTTATTATCAGTTCCTATAAGATCAAAATAGATGGCGTTGATCTCTGTATCTTTATTCGACCTCGTTTAATTGTCGTGGAGCCCAAGACTTTATCTGCGTGATTGAGTGTTTTTGGGCTTACCTAAATATAAATTTTAGCTCAAAATTATATATAACAATGAATTATTAATAATGTTAATAATATTTATATAAACAAAAATTAACAAAATCTTTAAAAAGGTTTTTTAAAATATCAGCAACTGTAAAAATATATAACGAAGACCTTTCTCAAAAAGACGAAATAATATATACTTCAAAACTTTATAATTTTTTACATGTTAGTTGCACATGAAGGTACTATATAATTTAAAAATAGAAAATAAATTGAAAAAAATTTCGACTCGGGCAGGACTTGACCTCGTCGTGCTGTTCGAGTCCTACACCTCATTGTCGAATTTTTTAACTTATTGATAATGCATCTCTCGCGCAATGTAATTTCAATTTTCGATTTTTAAATAATATAGACTTTTCAACTTTTCTTGCAAACAAATGTTGTTAGGATTATATTTAGAAAAAAAGAGGGTATATCTCCCTGTATATAGTTTCTCATTCTTATTTAGATCAAATATTTAAGTAAAACTGTGCAGCAGTTTGGTCCCTGGGAGATAAAGTATCCGAAACGTCGGACCGTAGTTAAAATTATTTCCAAATAAGTTTAACCAATATATTTCACGTTTTAAACCGTAAAAGTGTTTTATTTAAATGTATACTAATCGCATAAACTAGACTATAAGATCTCTTTTGATATATTTACAAAGACTACTGCATCGTCTCGCTAAGTGCCAGTTGAGTTACGCGCAAGATACAATTATTTTGTAATGACACACCTACTCACGATTTCGACAAGCGCGATAAAATATGTTTCTCAAAATCGTTGGTATAACTTATAATTTCGACCTTCTTTTCAAAAAAATTACGTATTATAACACGCATTTCTTAAAAATATTTTACAATACTAATATACTTACCATATAGCTAAGCTTGACGCACTTTTCTTTACATACAACACATGTACACTTATATCTGTTTAAACGATGAATACGTCTGCCTAAAAACACGTTTAACGCGGTTAAAAACGCGAAAGTTAAGGTAATTTATTTTTAAACACAACAAGACATTAGAATGCTTTACTAAGTCGAATCGGCAATAATAACAACTGTTACTCGCGTTTTAACCGTTACAACTGTTTGTTGTGATCACATAATTTTTATTTCTAAAAACTTAAAATCTAAACTATAATTCATTTCTCTTGGCTCCTCCTCTACTATGTCATTAACGAAGTAATAAAATATCACTACTACTGTATTACTATTATAAAAAATATATTTTTTGGAAAAAAAATTTAATTGTTACCTGAACTTTGTACTTTACTTTTCAAAAGTAAAACTCAATTATTAGAACTTCAAAATAAGTATCTCCTTTCACAAGATCAAACCTCAATATATTAACGAACTATTTACGATTTGAACGTTAAGTATTTCTTATTTAAATATGATTTCAACTTTTAAAAGTATTTAATATCTTATTTTTTCTCCCATAATATAATCAACGAGTAATATTGTTTCGTAAGACGATTATATATTATAAGGCTTTATAATTTATTTATTGACATATTTATTTAATAATACGAGCTTCGCAAAGTACTAGTAAAGGAAAATTACAAAAATATATATTTTCTATTTGAAATGAATTCAATAAATATTCATTAAAAAAATTGCATAGTAAGAATTTTCAAGGCCTTCGAAGCCTGTAAAAAAATGTTGCAGAAATTTATCAGCTACATAGTTCAAATACAATACGCGATACTAAATAAGCAAAAAGGAAGTGAGATATTATATTTTATTTCAACAAAAGCTCTGTCTGCAAATAATTTTTAAACATTTAAGTACTCCATGATCATAGCAATTATGTAGAGATGTATTTAAAACTGTAATTATATCAGTCGTGTGTATCAAAACGATTTAATAACTCTTTGGCCCTGACTATTGTTACCTTTGTTGAAATTAATATTAGGCTAAAAATACGTTTAACTAGACTTTGCAAGAAGTAAAGAATATATACAGATAAAACACTTTCAACGGTTCAAAACGTTAACTTATTTGTAATTGATTGCGGTTACTTTATTAAGGTAAATTATATACTTCGTGTTTCATAATAAAGTGTAACATTTAAATATGCACGAAACTATGGACACTACACAGGGTCTGATATTTTATTTATAAGTAATGTTTATGATTTTTTTAATGTACTATATTGTAGGTACAGCTAATTACTTACTTCTTAAAAACATGGTACTAGTTTTAAAATTAAATAGGATTTACGTTTTAATTGCGAAAAAACAAATAAATCATTTTAAATGGTTTCAAACGTGAAATTATTTTAAGGAGTTCGGTTTAAATTTTAAAATAAGTTTAACTAATATATCGCGTTTTAGATTGTTTTATTGAAATTGTAATACTCGCGTAAACTATAGACGTATTATTTTAAAGTTTAACTAAAACGCAAAAAAAACAAAAAAAAATTAAACGACGTTCTAGTTTCCCTCCGTTCTTAATTTTCGATCAGGTATCGCATAAAATTGCTAAAGAAGTTTATCTAAGAAAAACGCTTTACAATAAACGACTTTCAACTCATACGTATGAACAATACATTAGAAACAAAACAACACTATTTGCTTAAAGACAGCGCCTATCAAATGTTGTAACTCGATAAGTGTGATTGGCAATGCAATTACTGTGATCCGATCGGATATCATCAGGAACACTCGCCCCACCACGCTCGCCTCTTATATTTTGTTTGTTATATAAAAAGAGTGCAATTCAAAGCGAAACCAGTCGACCTGAAGTATTAGAAATGTTCGCCAAAGTAAGACTTTCAATTGATAACAAGTTGAAGAATATATCTAACGTGTTAAATATTAAAGGGCCGTGTGTTGGTTGAAACACTTCCAACAGTTAAAAACGGGAAATATATTATTCTTCTCGGTTTTCCATGGCTTTCAAATATGTGGTCATAGTTAATAAAAATATGAATTCATAAATTTCGCGTTCTAACCCGTTAAACGTGTATAAGAGATAATGTAACTCTCAAAGTTGCCTAAACAATATTTTCTTTTGTATTAATTTATATTAAATCTCAACTTTCATAATATTAAAAATGTCTATTTACAGATCGCAGTTATCTGTGCAGTGGTAGCGCTATCCAGCGCTGGTCTCGTGCATCATGCACCAGCTGTATCATCTCAAAACATCATCCGCCATGACAATGTGCATGAAACACCTATACATTACGAAGAACCAGTTCATGCTGTTCCCGCTTACCATTCCGCCCCAGCTGTCCACGCTTCATCTGTAGTGCATGCTGCTCCAGTGTACCATGCCGCCCCAGTTCACGCTGCCCCCGTACATTCTGCGCCAGCATACCATGCAGCACCAGTCCATGCTGCTCCAGCATACCATGCAGAACCAGTCCATGCTGCGCCAGCCTACCATGCAGCACCAGTCCATACCGCACCAGTATACCATGCAGCACCAGTCCACGCCGCTCCAGCGCACGTAGAAGACCACTACGTTGATGAATACGTAAGACTAATTTATTTTGCCCATTAAAATAGCTTGAATAAGCCGCACTAAAGGCTTAATACAGAAAAGGTTACAGTATATATTTATTTACTTATTTTTTTATACGTTAAAATAACCGATTCTGCAGTCAATATAAAAATATATCTAAGAGATAAGTAATCATCTTTTATCTTCTTTGTTCTATTACAGGATCTCTTGTCATTTCTTTTGAAGGTTACTTATCTGTACAACCTCGACATATTTCCAGGCTCATCCAAAATACGGCTACTCTTATTCAGTGGAAGACCCTCACACTGGTGACCACAAATCCCAGCACGAGAGCCGCGATGGTGACGTGGTGAAAGGAGAATACTCGTTATTGCAACCCGATGGTTCTTTCCGCAAAGTCACCTACACCGCTGACCATCATAATGGGTGAGATGTTCAATAACTTTATTAACTTCTGAAGTTATACTAGAGACCGCTATATTTAAATTGTGCTAAGCAATGGCTATTCGAAGAAGTTGAACGTCGAAGTTGTCAGGACGATGTTTTTTAACATTGTGTGTTTTTTTTTTATAAAATATTAGGTGGATCTATTAACTTAAAAAAATAACCATGACGTCAAAAAACCTATGACTTAAGACATTTGAACGACATCTGAACGATTTATAATAACTTAAACTTTTGATTTATTGATTAAACGACTATAAACTAAACTAAAAATATAACATATTAAAGCAGAAAGTTAAAAATTATAAATGAATCTCGGGCTTTAATTACAATCAAGTTTAATAAACCCAAAACGTCGAATCAATTTTCTCCTTGCATGTAAAATGGAGATAGAAGATAATTAATACCTGTTACAAGATACATAACTGCATAAATTAGTATATTAAGAAGACTTCCGTTTGCATTAAATAGTAAAATCGATTAAAGAATATGTAATAACTGGGAAGTAAAAACAGCGACACAACATTGTAATCGTATTTTTGATAGAGACCTTTTTTTTAATAAGAAACCCAGACTTCATAAGATAGATTCCGATATTAAATAGCGTTATAAAGCTATTTTTACATAACTATACGAACCATGTTCACAAAAATATTTTTTTTATATAGAAAACACCGTATAAATATAAAACACCCTAACGAGTTCAAGCGCGATATATATTAGGTAGTAGAAAATTATTTTTAACTACGGCCCGACGTTAACGCCAAAAACCAAGTTCGACGGAACAGATGACACCCTCCATCTTAAGTCTCTCCGTGACCACGGCTGCTGCAAAGCATCCGAAACGTTGGGCCGTAGTTAAAAATAATTTTCAAATAAATTTAACCAATATATATCGCGTTTTTAACCGTTAAAGCGTTATATTTAAATAGGGAACACCAACTAATTAAATTATTAATGTTTACAATTATGTCTTAGTGAAAAATTAGCTAATACAGTTCCATTTTCCCTCGTTTCGGCCTCGCCGTGGTCGGGCAATGACGAAAGTAGGACGAAACCTAGGTGTATTATTACCTGTTAACTGGTAGATGTCCACAACGGCCCAGTTCCAACTGTTGCTTCACTGGAGATCATTGCAAATAACGAGACTAATTTCGAAATGCATATCCTGTGATAATTCAACCACAAAGGAGCGTGTATCGTATTATCTTTATCTTGTTTTGCAATTCGAATCTGGTATTTATAATGTTCTTTCATTACGTATTGTCTAATGCAAGCTGTTGCTGACCTTGGTTCAATGGTTAAAGGCACGCGCACTGTTCGCATTTTCAAAAACATAAGTGTATCAGTAATAAACATCAGGCACAGAATTCAAATCAAATACCAGTAAACAAAATAGATCAGGGATTTTTTTATAGTCCCCCCCCCCTCGCCCCGACATTTTAAGATAAGCCTTTACATCAACAAACTGGCAAAGTGTAGCCAAGCATTGCCAAGCGTTAAGCGCGAGAGATCTAGTGCTCGAATCCCTGGGAAACAATAGATTGTTTAGGTCCGCAGGTTCACATAAGTGAAACAAACAGAAATATTGTCTCACGCCCCATGGGGTGAATCAGCATTTAACTATTTCAAAACGCCTAAGTTGTATTCTATATTAATATATATATATAGACATATCTAAGAACAGACAAAAAACTATAGAAATTCTTCAACGCGTAAAAGGTTTAAAGCTCCGCGGTACGGAATCGTCAAAGTTGCAAAACGCAAAGTAGAATTTACGCTCAACCACAACGCAACTCGTACTAAATACAGTTTTGTCAACAGATTCAACGCCGTGGTACACAACTCGCCACCAGTCATCCATCATCATTAGCCCTGTGATATTAGATTAGGAAACCTAACTTTAGACATTCAAATCTGCATCCAGCTCTGACAAAAACTTGATCATTTCTGTACTGTTTCTTGTTGTTTACTTTTGTAAATGTCTTATAATTTAAGCCTTCTATTCTTCGTGATGCAATGTGTGTAATAAATAATTGAAAATACATATGTTTTGTTGCAATTTAATTAAATCCTCTTTGAATATTAATACTTTAAATACCTGATATAATTATTAAAGTGTGTGTGTTTTCACACATAAATAGATGCTTATAGATTAGCAATAAATTGATTTAAAAACTTTTATATCTTTAAAACGGTTTAAAACGCGATATATTTTAGTTAAACTTGTTTGAATTTTTTTTAACTATGGCCCGACGTTTTAGACAGTCGCTACAGACAGTACCGTTTAATATCTTTATTCTGTATAAAATTAACAAATTAAAAAATTCATCAACCTTGTCCAATAAAGCCAATATTGATCTATAAATACTTGTACTGTGAAAATATTCTACACTATAGTTTTGATCCTGTTTCAAAAAAAAAAAAAATATTATTCCTTAATATCGTATAATACAATATTGTTAAAGGGACAAACACAAATATAATATGTCATTTAGGAAAAAGGTTTTATACAATTATGTTTTGTAAGCGTCTGTTCTAAGCACAACTTATAGAAAGATAGAATGAGAGTAATCAATTAATTCTATAAATATGGTCACGAATAATGTAATGTTAATTTATAACTACGATGTTATTGATATTTGTGTTTTATGGCTTTTCAATATTGTGTTAAGTTGCATAATAATTAATATAAGTGAAAGAAGATTTATTATGAGTTATTCTTTACAATATTTCCTAACAATGGATAGCAAAAAGTGAAGTGGTAATATTTAAAAAATAATTAATGATAAATTCTAAATTCAACATTACAACGGCTCTGAACGGGAAATATACAAGGTGGTCACAAACGGTTCAACTTTACAATAAGTATCGCGTTTAAAACCAATAAAATATTTTATTTAATATTTATTACTCGCATTAACTACTAATAATGATAAAATGCATAATCCATACATTTTTCTTTTTTACACCTGTATCATGATCTATATAAAAGACAATGTTTAACAACGACCCCGATTTTTGATCTAATAAAAATATTATATGTTTTAGAAGCGTTTTGGACTAATGTTGGGTCTAAATTCTTACGGCATAATATGTCCTTGGACCTTAAGAGATCTGTGCCCTACACTGGGACATTAACAGGTAGGGACAAATATCCTTCTCCTGTACACACGTAGCTTAGTATTGTATTTTGTAGAGATGCGCCGAGTAACAAGTTTTACTCGGCGCGTTAATTGTTTTTTGTTGAGTACTCGGCCGAGTGACTCGGTATAATCAGATTGCCATTTCGCAAGCGTAAACGAGTACAAACAGATTCGCGCCGGTCAAGACGTTAGCTCGCTCTCATCTTGTAATTTTGTCTGACTCATTAGCGTAAGTTTAAATTTAATTAATAAAGCTTTTGGATTAACACTATTATTTTAATTATATCTACCTAAATATCGCTTTTAAGCAGTATACTCGTTCTCAAATAACAAAGTACAATCGAGTTATTAAGCTGAGTACGAGTATCAAAAACCCACCGAGTACGCAGAGTACCGAGAATCAAGGTCGAGTATCGAGTATCAACCGAGTACTCGGTCCATCTCTAGTATTTTATGTAGCGATAGAAAAAACAGTTACACAAATTCGTAAAACTACAAGTACCGTTAACAATGACATTGAATGTTCAATGTAACTTTTTGCGTGCTTTGCGGTAATTTGAATCACGTTGGACTACGCTTAAACGATTTTATACAATTAAACAATCATCACCTGGCATGAATTATTCACGTGCGTATTTACTTATATATACGCCTTAAATAAAACATTAACAAAAACGGGTCAAGTGCGAGATGCCCTCGTGTAAGAGGGGTTCCGCATCATTATTATAATTACAAAATTTTTGTTGTGGAAGCCTCCAAAAAAGGTTTTGTTATATTATTAGATTCTTTAAATAATTTAAGTATTTTGACAGGGTCGTTGGAGTAATGGTAGCATAGCTCAATGTTTAAGCCGTCGCTTATCATCGTTAAGCGAAAGGGTTCTTTGATTTCTAGGGACGCAAAAGTTGTTACAGTCGGGCAGGACACAGAGGTCGAAATTTCTCTATAAATCGGTCATTAAAGTGAACAAATAATTTACGACTTGACTGGGCAGGACTACAAGTCCTTTCTTTTTCCAATTTATAATCGATTTTTTTTTTAATTTATGTAATGACGTAATGTGCAATAACATGTTCGGATGGACGGAAAAACCTGAATAGAATTTTCCGTCCATCTAAAAATAACAATATTGCAATGTGTCTTTTTTTCATATAAATAAAATTAATAAAAATGTAAAAAATATTAAAGTTTTCAAAGAATTGTAGTAACCGTGAGGTACAGTGTGTTATAACCAAATAATAAAGATGAATGTAGTCCATAGTTCACTCGAGTAGTGGGTACACAATTAAATAAAACAGCAGGTCACGGGTAAACGTTCATAGTTAAAATAATTTTCATGAGTTTCATATTCAATGAGTTTATGTAATATATATCGCGTTTTAAACCGTTAAAGTGATTTATTTAAAAGATAAATGTAGTCATTTTGCTCACATCCTAAGTACCCGACGGCCCGTTGTGAGTTGGGACATTGGACAATTATAAAGAATCGTTTTCTTTTACGATGACATGACATACTGCACAAGATAGCAATCAATTTAATTTTTGGCCCGAAAGGTCTCATTACGTTTTTTTGCCGATACCTTATGACCTTCGAGGGTTGCACACTCGTTGCTATGCGTGCTAAGGAATATACGCCTCTCTTTATTGTTAAGCTGGTGACACACTGAGTACAATAAAAAATAATATCTCATACGTCTGACTTAAACCAAAAATATTAATAATCCAGAATATATCTGATTCTTTTAGTAAATTAGTTATCATTATCTCAATTAATTTGTGGAAACCAGACACACTGACAAATACTTTTATGTTTGTAGCAGTAATAAGACATAATTGTAATAAACTAAATTTAATATTTAATTCTAAAAAAATAATAATTACTATAAATCAGTCAGGAAAATTAACGTATGTCGGCTGTACGGGGATGTTAATAGATTTTTAAGAAAATTTTACTATTTTCTCATATAAAATTATATTTATTTTGGCTTAAAACCTTTAGGTACTGTGCTAAAGACATACTTACATTGAATACTGTTTATAGTTTACGCGAGTAGTGCACATTTAAATAAAACACTTTAGCGGTTTAAAACGCGTTATATATTAGTTAAACATATTTAAAAATTTACCTAACCGCGATAACATCGTTAGTCGGCCAGGTAAGGCAAATACTTTTTTTTTACTTTGATGTCAGAGACACCCTTTATCTTTCGTCTCCCCGTACCCAAGGCAAAGCATTCTTAACGTCGGGCCGTAGTTTAAATAATTTTCAAATATTTATCGCGTTTCAAACCGTTAAAGTATTTTATTTAGACATTGTCATTGTTATCAAAATATTACAAATGAACTCGGTGTATCACAACTTTAAATTATGCAACAGTTTACTGGATCACTCAGTGCAACCCAGAGCGCTACTTTCTTACTGGACCGGAATATAAGGCTGCGCTTACACTGCGAATAAAACCGCTATGTAAGGATATACACACACTGTTTTTTTTATACGTGTAACCACAGATATAGGATATCCGTGCGATACAGAAACCGAATCTTTTAAATAAAACACTTTAACATGTCGCGTATATTTAATATATCGCGTTTTAAACCGTTAAAGTGTATTTTTTATATATAATTAAAAATATCCTTAATATGAATAATCACACGTTTTAATCAGTTAAATGTGATTTATTAAATCCCAACTCGAATACGATGTAGTGGCTATTGGAGCCATAAGTATGTTAAACTGTAAACATACTAATTATTCTCGTTAAATGCGTAAATTATGATTTCGGTATTATAATAAGTAACAGTGATATAACAGACTATAAACTAAGTATTAAGTTTTTATAATATCAAGTAACTAGACCGTAAAATATATATTTCAACATACTATTGTTTCTCTATCATATTTGTGCGGTATGTTGTGTCAAGCGCAGGATTCTAACTAAATGTTTTGACTACGGTACGAAAACTATCCACACTGTTAAACAGGCTCAGGACTCTGTCTTTGCTTGTATTGATCTATACAAATATTTTTTGTTAAAATACACTTGTCTAATAGACTGTTTTTGGAACATTTTTTTACAACAACATTACATCACGATATCCGATAGAAGCGAGGGAACTCGGAAAGGGGAAAATGTTAGAAAAATTGAAAGTTATTCATCTTTAAGGGATTTCGTTGCGTTGCACTGCGAAAACGGTTCAAGGAATCAAAGAATATGTACGAAAGAATGATTTCAAAAATAATAATAATCTTTAAAATTAACTCAGAAGAACCGTTTTATGGTAATTAAATTTGGTCGACAATAATATGACAATTATTTGATAGTCTTTTAGGCACTTCATTCGTTATATGCACATACGAAATTAATTTCTCGAAAACCCTTTTAACCTTGAAAAAAAGCTTAAGAGTGACGTAACAACAGTTGGACCACGGGTCGTATATCAGCGGCCGGTTTTGGTGTTTAATGACACATACATCCATGTCAGGTATAAAAAGTACCACTCAACCCTTGTCCTTATCAATTGGGCTCGGAACCTAGCAGTGCAATAAACAAGATGTTCAAAGTAAGATTTATTAAATTCGCTTCTTTCGCAACAGTAACATTTTCATTTTAATAACTCAAACTTATTTATAATATTGTTGTTCTATGCTTATTTAAAACTAGCTGTGTCAGTGACTTCGTTTCCGTAGGAAGTTATTTTCTTCAAATCTAACTTCTTCATCTTTATAAATTTAACTAACCATGACGTTGGCTACGTCCCGCCGTTCTTGCAAGTTAATCTTTCAAAAGAGACATATAAATGTCGGGGCATTTTTAAGATCATTCAAAGAGGAATCATTCTTTCATACATATTTTTTGGGTAAACTGTTTTCCTATACGCATCGAAAGCCCTCAAAGATGAATATTTTTTTTCCGTTTTTCATACAATTGTCGCCCTTTCTTCAATCGTATTAGTCACAGTGCGATGTTTTAAAAGCCTTCGTCGATAAATGATCTAACAATTTTTTTTTAACTCGAACCCGTAGTTCCTGAGATTAGCGCGTCCAAACAAACAATTTTTTTAGCTTTATACATGAGTATCTTCTCTTTACTTCATGTAGTACTTAATTCCTTCCTTTCTAATTTAATGGTTATCTCTTCTTTAGTTCGCAGTTCTCTGTCTCTTGGTGGCAGCATGCCAAGCTGGTCTCATCAACGAGGGACACTCCGCCGTCTCCTCTCAGAGCATTGTTCGTCATGACCAGCCAACTCTTGGTGCTACCCACTATGCTCCAATTGTATCCCACGCAACTCCCCTGATCCATGCCCCCATTGTCCAACATGTAGCTCCTATTGCCCATGCTGCCCCGATTGCTATCGCTCGTGAACACGTTGAAGAACATGTAAGTTGCCTTTTGATTAAAAACGTAATATGTGTAATTTATACGAGTAGTACATATTTACAAATTATTTGTTTATTGAGGTTAAAATAAGTTAACTAATATACTTCGCGTTTTAAACCGTTAAAAGTATTTTGTTTAAATTAGTGAATGTATTGGACAATATGTAGAAGATGGTTAAGTAAGAACCTCTGTATCTAAGCTGTTTTTGCCTTGCGTTAAACTTTTTTTTCCGAGATTCAGGTCCTTTCTTTCTTTTTTATTGTTAAACACGACTTCAAAATTTACTGAATCATGACGAGAAACTTTGCTTTTGGGTCTGCCCCATTAACTAATACTTAACTGCTCTGAATCTCCGACTTAACACGCCCTAAAACATAATGAGTATAAACATAACAGCCACGTTTAAAAATTATAACGAAACACGTATTGCGTATTATTGTTTCTTAAATTTCAAGTTACGCGTTCACAAGTTATTCACTTACGCAGCAATAACTACTGTTTAGCGTAAGGCTCTCTTCAGATTACGATACGATATTAAAGCGATCTAAAAGTAATTTAAAAATATGAACTATGTTCCACGATTCGCGATACTATATATTAGATAGGTAGAATGGAATCCCGTATAATATAGCAACCAAGGGAAAACGTTATTTTATCTGATTTTGTATTATTTAAGGCAAATTTGTAATCTGACTTCGGATTTTTTTTCCTTTATCCGTCTAGATGTTAACTTAGGGTCTACCGTGATTAATCAATACGAGGCAAGACCACTAAGCCACGCAGCCATCATTTTGCTATTAGAGAAGAAAAGTATAAAACAAAGAATATCATTCCGACGCAAGAAATAGTTAAACTATTTCTTTAATTCAAATAAGTACTGTGTATATTGTAATTGTCTCAATATTTGGGAACAACGTCTAAACACTAACATACTGTTTATCGATTCAACACATGCGATATACAGTTGAAAGATTCTTATGTCAATTTAAGCATTATAGAGAAGAAAAAAGAAATTATTAAGAAATACGGTCTGTAGTTTACGCGAGTAGTACACATTCAAAATAAAACATTCGAATTCGGTTGCAAAGCATCCGTAACGTCAGGCCGTAGCTAGATTGAATTTCGTGTTTTAAAACGGTACGAAGTTTTATTATATATCTGGAAAGAGCTTTTCTTATTAAAATAAATTAGGTAATAATTGCGCGTCCATAAGTCACAGTGGAGATTGGTTTCGCGTTCCTCGACCAATAGGGAAGTGATCTCGTTTATAATCGTAACTATACTATTAGATAAAGGGACTTGGATAAATTCGAACAACCACTCTATTTATGATGCAAGGCGGCTTTGCATATCCGCGAATTGCGATTAAATAACCAACGCAATATCACAGAGATTTATATTGGGTTAATATTCAGTTTATATTGGTTTGATGTTGAACTAACCGTGTCAGCAACTTAGTCCGAGTGTACTCTTTAAACATTTTTAAAATTAAGCTGTTACCCACGACATCGATCGCTTCCCGTCGTTCTTGCAAGTTAATCTTAAAAATATAATAATAATTTTAATGCTCTTTAATATAAATGAAGAAATATGTTGTTTACTTATTTAGAAATGTATTTTAGCTACGCAACCACATCTGTAGCATCCGAAACGTCGAGCCGTGGTTCAAATAAATTGTAAATTCTAATACATTACTTTCTATTGTCCTTTAAACACATACTTATAACTTCAAAATTATATATTACAATCAATAATAGATAGATAATAAAATATATATGAATGGCAATAAATAATTTAACTAACTCTGTCTGTCTGTCTGTCCGGCTTTAACTCTGATACTACTGAACTGATTTAAATGAAATTTGGTATACAGATGGTCTAGGCCCTGAGAAAGGACAGAGGTTACTTTTTATTGGGGGGGGTGAAAGTTTGTATGGAAATTCGTGGTTTTTGAAGCTAGAACAATGAAACTTTCTTCTTTGGCTTTTTGGGAATATGAGTGGGAGTGGGTGTGGGAGTGGGAGTAGGAATAAGAGTGGGAGTTAGAGTAGGAGTTATGTGAGGTGAGAGTTTTGCGACGAAGTAGCACTCACTCCATGGATTGGCTGCCTTAAGTGCGCCCTTACATTAATTAATAAACAGCCAAAATAATTAAAAATTCTACCCCAAGTCACTATTCCACGCGGACGAAGTCGCGTCTAAATATATAGTACCTTCCGTAATAAAAACGAACAAAAGCTCTTGCCTATGTTACTCAAACATAATTAGTAAAAGAGAAGACAAATTGGTATGTCAATATCGTTATTAAGATAAAGTGAAAGGACATACAACAATAACAAAAAATAATACACCATTAAAACAACCCAATTAAAATGTTATTTTGCAAGTTTGTCATTACAACAGTGTGTTGTAATGTTCGTTCTATTTATCAATCACGCCATCATTGTACTGAAATTGGTAATGGCTGCTAATCAAATGTTAATTAAGTTAGTTTTAGAGTAAATTTTGTAATGATTTTACGAATTTCGACTTAAAAGTAAGGGAAAAAAGGGAAAGCCCCTTTCCCCCCTCGTGGGCCATGGGGCGAACACATTTCTGTGTCCGTTTCACTGACCTGTTTTTAGCTGGCAATTAGTTCATCAGACTTCGGTGCCCTGCCCGACCGAAACAAACTTATGTTTCCCTGGGATTCGAACCAAGGACCTCGTGCGTAACGCAATGCTAGGCAATATGTTTAACCGTTCGGCTACAGAGGCGGAGAAAAGTTAATGTACTTGGGTTAAACCTGCCCGTTACTAAATTCTATTTAAAATAAAAGAATTATCAGAAATAAATATATTTATAATTTATCCCTTATATAATTTAAATTTTATCTGTACTGACTTAACGCGAATAGTACACATTTAATTAAAACCCTTTTTAATTGTTTAAAATGCGAAATGTATAATTAACTTATTTATACTTTATTTTACATATCAAATTTTTCTTTTACACTTGCTACATAACTAATATATTTAAACAGATTAAAAAACATAAACAGGTGTGCTCCTTAGCTAAATAGTTCAACGGGTGACCTAGTATTGTGTATCCCGGGAAAACAATAAATGTTCCGATCGGGCAGGGAATAAAAGTCTGATCAACTGCATGTAAATAAAATCGATCAGTAAAATGGACACAAAATAATGTCTGCTCAATGCCCCAAAGGGGTAAAGGAATCTCACTTTTTTATGAACGCCATAAGCGTTATTCGAATACACGAACAGTGTATAAACATTAAACAGCTGTTTTAACAAATTATGATTTATAGGCTCCAGCCCACTACGAGTTTTCTTACTCAGTAGAAGACCCCCACACCGGCGACCACAAGTCCCAGCACGAAAGCCGCGAAGGTGATGTGGTAACTGGACAATACTCCCTCGTCCAACCTGATGGTGCTGTCAGGACCGTGGAGTACACAGCCGATGCTCATTCTGGGTGAATATTTAGAATAATTTGAATTATTTTTATCGCTTAATTTCTCAAAACTCTCATCACAAGTGGATATTTTAATGATAGAAGATGTCATACAAGCATGGGGTTCACATGATGGTGGGAAATACCCTAGATATCTCAAAACAAGATGCGCTGTTGGCCTATTTTGGCTTTGGGTCTAGCGATATTGGACTTATAGCAACAGCACGGAAAGCTGACGATGCCGGTTCAAGTCTGCCCAGTCGAAAATTTTTTCAATTTATTTTCGATTTTTAAATCTTATAGCATAGTTAATAAGCAGTACATTAAATACTGTCTATAGTTTACGCGAGTAGTTCACATTTAAATAAAACACTTTAACGGTTTAAAACGCGATATATAAGTTATCGTATTTTAAACCGTTAAGTGTTTAATGATTTAAACCATTACATTTTATCGTGTAGTTGTTAATATTAATCATGTTTCCCTAACGTTGTGTATGGGGTATATTTTTGTATCTATTTAACTAATTATAATGATTTTAATGCGTTTCCGCCGAAATAGAACCCAGCCGCTTCTTATGTCATGCTATATGCAAAGAAACTATAGTACCACGGAGATAGCCAATAGTCAAAAACTATAGTCATTATATTATTTTGTCTTATCAGTAATATATAAATAATAATGCACTTGTCGACTTTCAAAGCGCGCACGAGTTATTCAAACTTAGCCCACATAACTGTTCAGTAAAGAAACGGAAAGTGCGACACGGATTGGCGTAAAATGGGGCTCCGTACAAATGGCTATACAATTGTAACACTAGCTAACGTGGCATTTTTTTTTACCTATGAAGTATTTCGACTAAATTTGATTACCACAAAAACGGTTTTTGCGAATTAATCTTAAGATAGACAAAAACTGCCATAAGGTAATTTTTAGATTATAAAAAATACTTTTATAGAATATTTTTCGGTGTTTTCAACCGTTTAAAATGTTTTATTTAAAAGAGTATTACTCGCGTAAACTACAGACAGTTTTTTTTTATCTTATTACATTCCACGTTTCCTTTCATTTCTTAGGTCCCTTTGGTTACAGCCTGATGTTCTATCACCAAAAGCCTTTCTCAATAAATGTGCCAATCTACACAAAAATAACTTTTCAATTCGCTCCAGTACTTTTTGAGAATATCGCGTTCAAACTAAGTTTTCACCTCTAAAACTCTAAAAGCGTTAATTAAAAATGGTGACGGCACTATATGAATTGGAACGCGAAAGTGTTCATTACCAACGTGAACTTGTGAGCATATATAGTTACATAACGTGTTTCCATACGAACAGCTGATTTTAAAACCAGTTCTGACGGATGTATATCACATTATTGAGGTATTTCGTGTAGTGTGGGAATCATCGAAAGTTATCGTTTTCGCCTCACATACAATTAACGTATACGAATAGGCTTATTGGACGTATATACAAATGGAAAATAGATCGGCAGCGAATCGTGTTATTAGTGAACCCCAAGCTTGTCTCTTCTAAAATAAAAAGACTTGGATAGGGATTTTTATTTTTCGAAAAGTTTATAAATAAAAATTCTGATTTAAATAAAAACAAAGAAATATAATTAAAACAATAAAGAAAAATAACGATAAAATCAGATTTAAATAAATTATTTATATTATTACCGTATCTATCTATCTAGAAGAGTCTAAGCCATTTCTATTCTGTGTCCCTTAGTAGTTCTTGCCACGTAAGTTATATGCCCGGCCCGACCAACATTTATTTCCGACGATTCAAACCCAAGGCTTCCAGTTGTTTTTTTTTAATTAATCTGGACTCAAAATAGTCATATACAGAACAAAGAAATACTTAGCTTTAAACAAATAGACGTAACGTTTAACTTATTTATTTGTCGGAAATGTAAGAAATAAATACCATAGTAATATAAAAGAAACAAAAAAGTATTAACAATAATTTTGAAACTCCGACTTAAATATAACGAGATCTTCAACTTTTATAGTTATGATATCTAAAAAAAATATCGATTGAATCTATCTGTGACTGAATCCGAATGTCCAAAGTCAAAATAGCTCGACGGCGCATCGTCTTGCTCTATCATAAAAAATCTAATTTAATATAAATCACAGCTTCTAATAATGAAAATATTTTTCACGTAGTTATATTCCTTCTACGGTCTGGTCCCTTTCCTTTCTTACATTACACTTCAAACAATGTAGAACAGCTAGCGCGACTAACTGGGCAAGGACGATGTGATTTATCTGAACAAACGCTGTTTCGGCCAATAGATCTGATAAAATCTCCGTGAAGACTTTGTTTTGCAACAGAGTTAGTTGTGAGAGTATTAACGTAAATAACAAAATACATTATTGCAAATAAAATTACAAGTATTCATTATTGTCACAAAATATAACAAATAAAAATTGATGGAATTAAGGACAAACGGCGGCTTTATAGCTAAATAGGTATCTCTTCTATGCAACCGCGGTGAAAAGGAAACTCAGGTACCTACTATAAAGCAACAAATCGGTGAAATAAATTTACGAAGTAAATTTTAGAAGCTACAATACCTTAAAATCTTCACAACTATTAATAAATAATAATATAAACACTACAAGCTATGTTACACAATAATTTCAAGCATCTAAATCCTATAATATTTTTCTCATGTTATTGCAAATGATGGCATTGTATTAATTAAAAATCTGATTGGATTGAAAAAAACTGAGACGGTAGCTATTGTTGCGGGCACTAATCCCATTCGTGTGGTATTAAAATCTAGAACCTTAAATTATCTTATTCATATTTTAAATTATATTAAAAGTTTGTGTTGTCAATAATTAATAACGGTTTTGTATTGTCCGCAGATTCAACGCTATTGTACACAACTCTGGCCCATCAGAACATGCCGCTGCAGTAGCTCAAGCACCCATAGTTCATGCTGCACCAGTTATACACTCTGCCCCTATTGTCCACGGTGCCCCCATCGTACATGCCACTCCTATTGTGCATGCTGCCCCCATCATTCACCATGCCCCAATTGTGCACGCTCCCATCCTGACTCACCATTAAGTTTTAGCTTGTTTAAATTATTTAGTTATAGAAATAAATCGTTGTTTATACTTTGATGTTTATTTTAAAATTCCATATATTTAAAGGTTAAAATATAAAAAATATATTTTTTAATCCTTTAAACCAAAAAATTCATCACAAGAATTTTATTAATAGCTTGATCGCAGTTTAATTAACTTCTTAAAAAATCTAGAACTTAAATACTCTCTGCAGTTTACGCGAGTAGTACCTACACATTTAAATAAAACATTTGGCCATGTAGTCGCGACTGCTGCAAAGTATCCGAGACGTCGGACCGTAGTTAAAACAAATTTCAAATAAGTTAAACTAATTTAAATAAAACACTTTAACTAATATATCGCATTTTAAACCGTTAAAGTGTTTTATTTAAATGTGTACTACTCGCGTAAACTATAGACAGTATTTAAGTTTAACTAATTTTTATCGCGTTTTGAACAGTTAAGTGTTTTATTTAAATCTAGAATCTTTTAAAAACAGATCATGACACATTTATTTCTTATTTGTCAATTAACATTAACATACAGCACTAACGGTAGTTCGTTGATATTTTCCTTAAAAAGTTATAACTACCCGCTAGTTTAATTTCTCATTAATGAAGTGGTGCAAATACTTTTTATCGTAACAAAATCAAAATCTAACCGTTAACAATTAGAATATGCAAATACAGCTTCGGAAGTACTCTTCTGCAATTGCATTGTTCGTTTGCTATTGTTCTTGGCTTCCGACCTGCATACATTTGTTTATGCAACTCCTACATATTATCGGAACACAGAGACGTAACTGAATTTGAACGAAAAATCATTAATAACAACTACGATTCAGCTGTCTAAGTAATTGATTCTGTTTATACGGTCTACTGCTTAAACGTGGTTTGATTCCAGTAGATGATTTTTTTTGTACTTTTGTCTTCCGAATTTATGGTATGAGATCCTTATAGTATGGTCTTTTTTAATAAATATCAGTCCTCAAATTAAAAAAAAATATTTAAGTAAATAACATAAGATGTTAAATGTGAAACTAATTAAGTGATCTTTACATTTTTGCTTATTGTTGCAACAAACTATATTTTTGGTTATATCTGATGAGTGATTGTAAACCCAAATTTTGATTAAATACTGTCTTTAGTTTACGCGAGTAGAACACATTTAAATAAAGCAATTTTAACGGTTTAAAACGCGATATATTTTACTTAAACTTGTTAAAAAATTATTTTCAACTAGTAATTTTCATTTAGTATTTCATGTTAAGTGATATATTATTAAATATGTAAATGCAAGGAGTCGTATGTTTAAATCTCAGGAAAACATAATACTTTCGAACTTGTAGCCCGTAAAAACTCCAGGAATTCATGCATTCACTCATTATTAATAACCAATACCCAAACGGGCCCCATGCCCCATATGGGGGATACGTTAATATAAAAAGCCTTGAAATGGAATGCAATGGTCGGATGTGTAGGTTATAAGCGATTTCTTCCAAGCAACATCAAAAAACGTTGGAAAAAGAATTCATATCAAAGATAATAACTTAATATCTCAGTATACGTAAATATTAAGAAGGCCTTAAACTATTACCCCAAGCAATCTATAAGCCTATACTTATAGTTCCAAATACAGTAACTTAATAATCAAATCAATTTATATTACAACTCCTTACATATCAACTTCTAGGCCAATTTTGTTCACAATTAAGGTCATTTCGAAAACGGATCGCACAAGATTAATTTCCTGTCATCTTCGCGCAGTTTTTTAAACATGACGGAAATATTGAAATCGTGAATATTAATTCTGAATCAACGTAATTTAATACTTGCTAGAAACTTATGTTTTTTTATATTAAATGACTTCTAGCATTCACTGCGTTTTTAACGGTCAAAATGACATTTCAAATTTAGGAAATGTCATTTTGACCGGTAGAAAACTACTTTTTAACTTTAAGTAGAAAACAAACAGAAAACTAATTTATATTATACGCTGGGATAACACCAAGGCCTTAGGCAAGTGGACAAAGAAATAACGACAAGGAAATGTCACCTTCATCAAACGAAGAATACCAAGCTCATTCGTAAATCCACTCCGACGAAAGCACAAGTAGATAAATTATTAATTTACAGTTGAGTAACAAAAATTAGCCAGATGGTACAAAATTGTAGTGTATCTTTTATATTTGAACAAAGCATAAATAAATAAAACCATTTTTAACGACTTAAAAATTGAAATATATGAATTAACTTTTTTTTACTTAATTTAACTCGACGATTCGAATGCTTTGCAGTAGCGGTGTTTACGGGGGATCGTGAATGCGTCAGGTCGTAGTTATATTAAATTAAAAATAAGTAAAATAATATATTTATAGTTTTAAACAGTTCATAATGTTTTATTTAAATGTGTATTGCTCGCTACAGACAATTCTTTTATATATTTCAATTTACCTTTCTCCGTATAACCGCATAGAATACCATAATCAGTGCGAACTGTCAAATGGTTGGTTATAATGATAAATACCAACAACATTTTAAATACGACTACAACAGTTGACTTATAGAGGAAACCATAACCATTGAAGCATGTGAAAAATTTTAAATTTGGAACAAATTAAATCAATCACTGCGTTCGCGCATGTGTGAACTTGTGTAACAATGTCTAATTACTCCTTCGTACTTACATAATTTCGTAAAAATTATTTCATTACTCCAATTCGTTTATGATCAAATTTTTAACCGTGGCTTACTTCTCGCCACTTATGACGCATAGAAGTTATAATTTTACGTAATTTAACGTTATACTTACGTAATTATTTTCTTCAAGTTATGCTAACTGCTTAGTTTTCATGTAGAATAGAAATCGTAAGTTCAATGAAGATTTTTCATTATAAATAATTGTTACAATGACATTGAATGTCATGTGTGACTTAGAACGATAAAAATATTAAACAAATTGTTTTAACTCTGAAGACCAGGTATCTAAAATACAAACCGATGTTTACTCGTTATTTTAAAAATCTCTCGTTAAAGTTCATGGATTCGTTGCTAAGATAGAATAAATTAACAGTTTAATGGTAATTTTGAATATTTTAACGCTTTTTAACACGATTTCGTTACAGAGTTTTAAACATTGATGCCAGGGTAAAGGTCTGGATAGTTAAACTTATTTTTCGAATATAAATAACAGATGTAAACTTTTGACAATGACATTGACATTTCACACAACAGAAAAAATAAAAATTACGTTTGTCTATCGTTGTGTAAAGCTTAAATCATGGACATTTAATTGATTTTTTTACTGTTTATTTGTTGGATTGTATGTGAGATTGTAATAAATAAAACTCTTTTTTCCAGATGAATCATATTGTATCGTACTTTTATAAGAACCCATATTATATAGAACATTATGTTCTACGTTGAAAATATGATATAAGGTAATTTAATCTTTACTACTTCAATCTTGTCAGTATCATCGATTTTTATAATGTAAAAACACTTTTCCAATGTATTATAGAAAATGTGAGCTATATGAATGATAGAAGAGGATAAACAAACATGTTTGATATTCGAAAATCCACAGACTAACACCAAAACGCGATTAAGTTTCACTGCTTTTTATCTATGACGGTGGTTCGTGTGACAGACGGAATTTTCGATATTCCTACCACCAAATTAATATCTACACTTCCAGACGATGTCCAATATTTTTCAGAAAAATTAGTTATAAATTTAATATAAACCTGTTCGACCCGGCGGGAATCGAATCCACGACCCGCTGATTACATAGCTACCATACCAAGAAGCCCCTATAATTTTGTTAGCTAATAACAAGGTATGGGACATAAAAAGGTAAATACTCAGTTAAATGGAATTAAATCAAAAGAAAGTTGAGGTAATGACTACTATAAGTACTTCTTATGCTCTATCTAATTGGCTATCAACAATCTTGAGCTTTTACACTTTAATTTGAACTTTGAATTGCAAGAAAATGTCTTTTTACTTCCTTATTGATAGAAAACATTGTCTAGTGAGATTATCACTATATTATTGTATAGATAATATTCAAATGTTTTGTATTCTAGTAACTTATGTTTTATTGTAAGTTCTGTTTTGTTTAAGAATTCTCATCTTTATTAGTGTTGTACATTTCTGTATTATTATATGTGACAATGAAGGCAAATGTCTACTATAATAAATCAAAAGAAATAGTTTATATATTTGGCAAGACTATCAAAAACTAATTATTAATTTTATTTAAAAAAAGTTAATGTATGTATGTCTGTACTCGCTTATTAGCTTTTCTACACGAAAACATGGAACAGAACTTTTCACGATTGCTATAATTTAAGTTGTGACAGCATAATATAGACTTTGTTTTAGGGTAATGGGATGCTACTGACAACAAATACCTGTGTTTTTGCAGAGATCTGGAGTTAAATTGTATAGACCGAGAAATGCAACTTATTAAGATATAAATCTCTTCGCTGCATATTGGCCACGTAAGACAAAAGACAAGAGAAAACAGTCTCGAGACGTGATTGAGATCTTATTAGATTTGTTTACCTAATAGGCATGTTTAATATGTTTTATGTAGTAATGCGAAGCTTTACATAATATGAAAGTTCCTTATTTATATTTTGAATACTTCGTGGCTCAATAGTAAAACATACTCTCTAATCGTGCAAGAGACTTTGGCGGTTCAAATTCCAGGGAAATATAAAAACTTTTTAAAGGCACAAAAGTCGTATGGACCTCCATTAAATAACTATAATAGATAAGACGGACGCGGAAATGTGCTGTACATTTCTGTCATTTATCAATTACATTGCATGCAATAGGGACAACAAGAATTGACTGCATCTTATCCTTTAATATACAAAGTAAAATTATTATATTAGACGTATAGAAATGTCTTAACCTTATTTTACTGCTTTAAGCTTACTTACCATTTTTTTATGTACATTTAAATCATGCGCATATTATGTCGAAGGAGAAATTAGTTTCGATCTCAGTCTGTAGATTTGCAAATATATCAAATAGGTCGATAACACATTTTGTTTAGATGTTATATGGTTGGGGTATTACGCCTTCCAACGAGTAAACCAGGCTTGCCTGTCGTCCCCTGTAACGAAAAACGCTAAAGACAAAAAGTTGATTTTAGTTTAGTTTTCCGACATTACTAGTTAACTTGGAACAACAAAACCTGGAAAAACAAAAAATAATAATAAACTCATTGCAAGTTTTGAACCATGGTCGTGATCTAACCGAGCGATTGACAATACCTTTGGTCTTCATAGCACATCCCCATCTAAGCTCAAGTATATTGCCTAATATTTTAGAAAAAACATAATGAAAATGCTCCATTTCCATCCATTGTTTACTCGCTTCCCCTTGAACCGCACCGGTGTATAATTTTACGTAATTGCTGCATTATCAAATCGCCATATTCTTGCGTATACGCAGCGTATACCGCATCTCGCTAGTCCTGATATAAAAGTCGATGCTGTTGGTCTCTGGTATCAGTCGTGTGTGGTCGGTCTGACGAAGCAAACCTAACTAAAACGCAATGTTTGTTAAAGTAAGTGAAATCCCTTTTAAGTGAAAGGATAGATCCCGCGGAATCGAAATTTCTGGAACGCGTTACGTTCGACGGTAGTACCAGTTAGGATTTTATGTCACGCACTCGTCACGATTTAGACGCTCTTATCTCTCTGCTACAGTTCCCTTGTTTTCTTCACCACCTCTAAGTACTTTTTCATTAATTAGTAAAAATTTAATAACAATTTTTCATATCCGCTTATAGCTAGCATTATTTCATAGTATTTTTAGTTCTAAAAGCTCCCCACTGTAGTCGAATGCTTTTCACTTAGCTTAGAAAGTTTATAAATGTTTACTTAGAATATTTATTTTCTTAAAATAATTGTGCCATGTTTAAATGGTTGAGTCCGTTAACTCACGCACAAATGATACGCGACTCGATATTGTGTTATCAGCTTTATTAGAATATCTCAGCAACATGTCATTGTGTGGCAGTCCTATGGGAGTAGTAAATTATTTATTTTAAATTATTATTATAAGTAGTTTTATTACTGCTCATAGTTACTAGATCGCAAATCCAATCTACGACACTAACTAGCAGGACGAAGATTCGATTTTTAATCAGGTTGTAAATTAAATTCTCTTTTTTTGGTTTTTCATTGCCTTGACTTGCCATTGTCCAAAAGCAATGTAGTCATACTGCCCATTTTAATCAATCATTTTCTCTGCGTTCTGTTTATGGCAGACAAAATATTAGAGTCAACTATATCATGTTTTATGTCTGCAGGCCGCAGTTATCCTCTCCGTGGTAGCAGTAGCAGCCGCCGGCGTGGTCCACCTCAGCCACGGATATGCCGGCGAGGGCTACGGCCACGAAGCTGTCGCGTACGCGCCAGTCGCCCATCTCGCCTATGAAGCCCATGACCATCACGTTGACTATCATGTAAGCACTAGCTCAAAGTTTAGACTCACAAACACTTAAAGTAAAATGGTGGCCATGGGGGGAATACCAATTTATCGTTGTTTTTCGGGCTATCCGGCCGACGTTAGCGAGGAGAGGTTCTGACCGTTTCGCAATCACAAGCTTATCATCATGTTGTTAGCTCCTCCAAAGCAAGAATTCACAACCTCTTCTCGCTCACGTCGCCCGAACAGCCCGAAAAACAATGATATGCTGAACAATGGCCGTGAAAGCCTTACACAACATATGGAACACCAATAGTTAATTCGACTTCTGTGCCCGACTGACAAAATGTATCTCGGGATTCAAATCCACGACTTGTATTACTTAACGCATGTTAAAGCGTTCAACTATCGCCAACTTATAACTCAAAAAGCAACAATACACTACATATTAAGATATATTTTGTATAATTTACACTACTAAACAGGAATAGAGCCTTAATAAATAATTTGTTTATAAACACCACTTCCGACATTTCAAAGCTACATTATATTAATACTGTAATTGTGCACAAACGTAGATTTTATACCATTTCTTGTATTTTAGTAAAAATGTATGAGTTTATTTATTGAAGAAGCTATAGAAAAAGACACAATTTGATAAAATATCATACAATACCACTCAGGATAGAATTTAAGTAATGTGTTTAAAAATAGCATACTAAATCACATTAAACAACGCCATATGAGATAAAACATACAATTACTATCACACGACCATCATAATAAATGTATAATAGTACAACACCGCACAATGCGTTGCCCAACAAACAAACATGAAATTAAATGAACTCAACCCACAATTTAGTTTCGGTGCAATAATATATTTTAATGGTCGAGGGACGCCCGCGCAACGCGAGCATGTTACGCAATCGTCCTGAGAAAAATCTCTAATATAAACATTATGGACGTGCTGCAACACTGAACGCATTTACACACTCGCAATTATCGCATTTAGGAAATGGCTGTTAAATTTCAAATTTCGAATGTGAATCATCTCAACTCTTATGATTCGATCATTTTTAAATATCGAAAATTACCAATTTACGTCCATATACATAAATATATAATTTGAAAATTATTTTAACTAAGCTCCGCCCGACGTGTCTCCCCATGACCACGATGCAAAGCATCCCAAACGTCGTAATATGTATCGCGTTTTAAACGACAGTATTTTTTTATAGATAGTGTTTTTCATAAATTTTCCGATTAATAGGTAGAAAATATCACCACTTTTATACATGTTATAATCTGAATCATAAAATATTAACAGACTGCGAAAGTAAATAAAGGCTTTTGCGATATGATACAGAATAAATCACTCAAGTAGAAAATCGGTACGGCGTTCGTATTACCCATTTCGTCTGATTCCCTTCGCAAACTTAATACTTATTGTACCCATTTCTTCACCATGAAGTGTGGATGGCGTAATACAATAGTAACTAATTGATACTTGCGCAATCTGCATTCTGACGTGTTGTTACCCGATTAACGTGTCGCTTCCGGGATAAATATCTGCGAACAATCCAGCTTTACTTTTACCAATATTACATCATGACGTTTTCACTAAAGTGGCTAAATACGAAGCGTTTTACGTAGCCCATTCGTAACTTGGTCACGCGAATCGTCGAATGCATTTATTAGGCCATGTAATTATTATAGGCGTGCTATTTTTTTTCATGTAATAACATACTTGTTGATAGATTTTGATGTACAATACGTGTTTACGTCAATCACAAGTGAATTAGAGTACAGGAAAGACAATTGAATATTATTTCTAGCTTTTACGCTACACAATAAATAAAATACTTTTAACCGTTTAAAACGCGGTTCGCAAGGCTTATTAAAATGTAAACATTTAGATAAATATATACAACAATACCTTTTGATGGTACATTGCGGTTAGATTATGAGGTCTTAGATTTAATTTTAGTAAAAAAATCTTATAATCCATTTACCTTTCGAGGTCCTGAAATTGGATTTTCAGGGCATTCAAATAGATGGAGGATATTTTAAATGTTAACTGCGAAACATACGATTTTTTATAATAGATTGCTAGAAGCATTTAGTATAAGTTTAAATATGGTTGCTTTACGTGATTATACTCAACTAATTAAAAACGAATACGAAAAGAACATCACGGGACAAAACTGTAAACGAACGTTAATTCCATTACAATAGCAATTACACAACACCATTACAAAACAAGGGAAACGTAATCGTTCTAATAACTTCATACCATTTTGCCTTGTCATAAATAGAGCGTCGTAAGTTATAATTCGATATTAACTGGTGTCTTACATAACCAGTTAATCCTTGTCGTGACTGCGGTGCCAATAACAGCTTTTCCCAGGACATTGTGAAACGGACGAAGATAATAACTATGATGGTGGACGAAATCGTTGTTCGCATAAACACAATCTTCATATACACGTTCTCATTACACGCTACAGATTAAAAATGACCGTCGCTACGGATCTCTTGCGCAAACGCGACGTTTTTAATGGAGGATGCTCTTATTGCAGACTAAATTTCTTGTACGCAATGTTTGTTTTTTTAAATAAATAACACACATTTGTATGGAATTTGAAACTTTAAACTTTGATATATTGAATTTTTTGTCGTTTCGTGTGCCAGGTTTAAGTTTACAGACCCGTGTTGATAGTTGGTAGGTTGATAGCTTTTACGACTATGAGCACTAAATTAGGGATGATAATTCGAGATTTAATATGCTCTCCGTTCCGTGGATAGCTTATGACACTTCAATTATAATGATATTTGAATACTGTCTATAGTTTACGCGAGTAGTACACATTTCAATAAAACACTTAAACGGATTAAAACGCGATATATTAGTTAAACTTATGAAGTCACGGGGATTCTCCCTCGTGACCAGGGCTGCTGCAAAGCATCCGAAACATCGGGCCGAAATAAAAATCATTTTCAAATAAGTTTTACTGATATACCGAGTTTGAAACCGTTAAAGTGTTTTATTTAAATGATATTTGAAATCTTAATAATAAAAACAGTTGTAATCATCTATAAAAAATGAAACATTTATATAAAATAAATGGTTATTACTAATGTTCTAACTCTTAATGATAGGTATTATGGTTATTCTAATAAATATTATACTTTTTCTTTAATACAGCAACGTTTTTTCGAAAACCGTAATAACTTATATTAGCTAAGAAGATTCTTACAAAGAACAAACGCGTTGAACTCTAATACTAGCGGTCGAAAAAAAGACTTAGGAAATTTAGCTACTGTTTATCGATTGCTCGAAGAGTTAATTCTTCGAGCTCGAAAAACAATGATATACCTATAATCTTGTTTTCAAAGTCTTTACTAACTTTAGTGTATTTCTGTAGGCCCATCCTAAATACGACTACTCATACTCCGTGTCGGACCCTCACACTGGTGACCACAAGACACAGCACGAAGCGCGCGACGGTGACGTCGTTAAGGGCGAGTACTCCCTTCTCCAGCCAGACGGTTCCTTCCGTAAGGTCACCTACACCGCTGACGACCACAACGGGTAAATATACACTTGTACTTGTTAATTATTGAGTTCTACGGTAGTTAGACAAAATGTATTAAAAACAAGCATAAAATGTATTGTTCGCGAGCAATATTTTACAAAGACTCAATTAATAACTAAAGAGAAATCAAATGCGGCCTTGTCATTTAGAAAGATTTCTTCCTGACAACTTCTATGCATTATATGTCTTCTGAGCGAGAGATATTATTTTGAATGCCGTTAAGTAAGAAAATAATTATAGAGCATGAAAACACTGCTTCGTTGCTCATGGGTCTTGAGTTTGAATCAGTCAGAAGTTTCAGTCCGGTAGAGCGCAAAAGTTTGTTTAACTACTTAACTCTAGTTAAAATTCAACAGTAAAACATATACCAAAATGTGTTTAAGGGGCAGCAATCGAGGAAACAGAATGTACATAAAGTGTTGATATTTTTATATCCACATTTTCCGACGAAGTCCATCATGTTTCAGATAACATATAAATTTATTAAAAAAATGTTAGAACCGGTAGGGATCGAATCCACGACCCGTTGATTATTAGCTGTACAATGCTATCATTACACCATCAAGCTCTTCAAAAATCTTTGCACATTTCCTTCTCATTAAGACGTTTGATTTGCTTTAACCTATTTCTCTCGTTTCAGTTTCAACGCAATAGTCCACAACACGGCGCCAGTGCACGCTGAATTCCATTGAAGTGTGTGTGAATTGTGTGTGCCGAAAGGCAGTGCTCCTATGTGATATTACGTGTACCTTATACTTTAGATAGTCTTTAGTCGACAACGAACTTTGTTATAAGACTGCGGCGAATAAACTTTACAAAAAAACTACTCAGTATCTTATTTGTATTTATAGTTACTTCCTAGTAGAAGGTGGCTTGAGATGAACTTAGAATATAGAACCATAACACCGAAGCAATAAAGTCATTTTTAATATAAAAAACAACAAACTTTAAATAGTAAACATTTACTTCGTACAAAGTGTATTTTATTTTAGTTAAACAGAAATTATTTCTACCAAATATTAAAAAAATATATATAATAAAAACAAGTATATGTGTGTGAAATCCCGTTTCCCCCTCGTGGGTCATGGGGCGAACATATTTTGTGTCCGTTTCACTGATTTGTTCTTTAACAGGCAAGTAGTTGATCAGACTTCTGTGCCGTGCCTGACCGAAACAATTTTTTCTTTGCCTAGGATTCGAACGCAGAACCTTTTGCGCAATGGCTGGACACTAGGCAATACGTTTAACCATTTGGTTTGGTTTGGTTTATTAGTAATTTGTAATCAGTACTTAGTTCATTTCAGAATATAAAAGAGTATCTTAGTTATATTAGTAGTAATAGTAGATAATAATAGATAGACCGATTTATACTCTTTTTAAGACCGTTATTGTTTTTTCTATAAAATTAAAATATTTCATAATATTGGTTAAGTAACTTGAGACTGTAGGTGTGGTGTGGTGTATGTGGTTGCTAAAACCGTTACATGGCGCCGAAAACATAGATCATAGTATGTGATGAGTTATATAATAGTCACATAAATTAAAATCAAACAATAATAATAACAACGTGAATAAAATGCGTGATAATAATGACGTACTTAGATAGAAGTAGTCCTGAAATACCTACATTATGATTACTGTGGTACTGTTGTGTTTTCTAACACAAAAATCGCAGTAATTTTTCTTCTTGATTAAAAGAGAAAGATTTAAGACACTAGGAGAATACAGAAACACTAAAATGACACATAAGACTTACATTGCTTCTTATTTCAAATTGCTTATACATGTAATCAAGCAGACTAATATTGAAATTTAGTTGAGTTTAGACTTAGCGAGTTAATCAAATCTTAAATAGAACTCTATCTAGAAAGAAATCTTTATTAATATTTAGTGAATAAAAAATAACTACATCTACATACGAATATGTCGATATCTTATTACCTGAGACTGTACCTGACTTTTCTGTGCCCTGCCAGATCAAAACAATATATTATTTCCCGAGATTCGAACTTAGAGACTCCTAAAAATGATCGCGGTTCACGCAATGCCAGGTAACACGTTTCACAATTCGCAAAAATTGGAAGTTGCTATAATATGCATTTACAATCACATTAACTGAATAAAACTTACTAGGGAATAAACTATACATGCATTCGATGACTTTGTACTTAATTTTAAAAGAGAAGCAATTTTATTCGGAAAAATTTTGCTATGATATTGTGATTAGGCATATTATTTTTAACAAAAAAAAAGTGTATCTATATGATCTGTAACATAATTCATTTACTTTTTTTAATTTTTCATTAAATTTATTGTTTAAAATACTTACCTTACTTACAGAAAGGAAGTATTGGCTCTTATCAGAAGTATAGCTTTTATTACAACTAATCATTATTTTATTTTCGTAAATCGAAATCAAAAAAGTTAAACAATTTAAAATAACAACAGTTCAAAATGTCCGTAACAAGTTCGCTCAGTACAAAGCTTGTTGTTAACTACATGACAAAACTCTACTCATTACCTTTAAACAAACTAAAGGCGTTTACAAACTTGGCTCAGTTACGTGAATATTCTAAAGTATTGTGCTGTAGAAGCGCTCACGCACAAACGTCGCACGCATTTGATAGAATTAACATAATTACGCGAAAGGTTTCCGCGCGCTCGAACGCAGGGCAACTCCCTGAATATTCTAAAGGAACTAATATGCTCCCCAAGACAAAGGTAATTGTTACGCGGATTTAAATACTTTTGCCAGAAACCGTGCGCTGAATACGGCAGAAGGAAATGAGTTACATCTTACCGCTAATTATCATACCAATTGTTCTCCCCTATTCACATGTTCGGCGACATTGATGGTTGGTCTCGGTGTTACAGAACAGAATATTTTGGGACAAACAAAGCGTCACTTATAAGACGGCGGATCTGGTGAAAAAAATCAGTTGTCTTCCACACATCCGCAAGAAAGATGACTCCCAATGTAAGTATTTGTATTGTTATCGAATCGCATAATTAGTTTATCAGATTAACGCCCAAATTTTTAAAAGTACCAAATCCAATTCAATAAATTTTCATCTATTCAGTAGCGTATTCATCAAGACTTTTTCTGTATAGCTGTGACAATAAAAGTTAAGAGCAAAGCAATAATATGTTAAATAAAATTGTTTTTTTATTGTCAAAAGTTTTCCCGGGCGGCATGCAAACCCACAATTACAGTATACACATGTGAATATTACAATTCAAGAATTCCAAAATGGTAGATAAAAGTAATTCCGCTTGAATAACTTTTTATGAAAAGTTATTGAAATTCGGGGGGGGGGGGGGGGGGGGGGGGGGTTTTTTTTGGGGGGGTTTTTTTTTTTTTTTTTTTTTTTTTTTATTTTTTTTTTTTTTTTTTTTTTTTTGCCCGGGGGGGGGGTTTTTCCCGGCTTTCCCCGTTTTTTTTTTTTTTTTTCTTAAAAATTTTTCCCCCCCGATCCCTACACGTCACCGTCGACTTTTTTCAAAACTATTGATACATCTCTCACGCAATGTAATTTTTACCTTTACACTTGCAATATAGTTAAATCATGGTACTATAAGGTAATTTTTATTGTCTGCTAAAACTCGGATAACACAGCCATGGATGTAACATTTCTATTTATTCCAGATATTTCTCGCATCCTTGCTCACCATTGGATATTTCCATGGAACACGTAGCGCAACCTATTCAAACGTGATCGTGCGCAGCGGCCCAGAAGTCCTGCCAATAGAATATGTGAATTATGGTGGACCTGTCTATTCCGGCCAGATAGCCCAGATATCCGCGGCGCCCTTGGAGACGGTGGTCTCATTACCGAATGTTGGTCCATGCATATCGCCTTGCGTTATTGCCAACTCGCCAATCTCCGGTCTGGCGCCAATACGAGCCGCGGCGAATTCTCAAATTGTAGCTTACAAGTCGCCGGTCGCTAATGTGCCTATTGTATTGGCAAATACCGATGTAAGTATATGTTGTATATAATCTATACTAATATATAAAGCTGAAGAGTTTGTTTGTTTGAACGCGCTTATCTTAGGAAATACCGATTCAAATGTAAAATTTATTTTTGTGTTGGTTAGAGCATTTATCAAGCTAATGGCATAAAACATCGCGCTGTGACTAATAAGCGCAAAGAAGGCGGGCAATGTGGAAAAAAAACGGAGGAAATTATTCCGATGCGTACGCTACGAAAACGATTCTAGATACCCAAAAAATATGTTCGAAATATTTGTTTTTTTAGAATAAAAATGTCCGCGACACTATATGAATGTCTTTAAAGATTCATATGCAGTAACGCTGGGCGCGGATGACGCCGTGGGTAACAGCTATTGTTAATAAAGTTGAGGAGGTAGTTTGAAAAAACAAATTTTGACGTCAAAAATAACTATTCTACGCGGATGAAATCGCTGGCACAGCTAGTAGTATCATGAGTACTTTTTCTAACTTTAATCGTAATACACTGACTGACTAGCTGACGTATAGTTTATAGCACAACGACATCGCGACATTTGACAAGATCGTAATCCAAAAGAAAATAAATATTATAGTTAGTAATAGAATGCTCAAAGTTGGGGGGCACGGAGTAAAGCTGTGTAGCTTATCCTTTTCCCAGTCTACTTCGTATTATCAATACGTACCTCCTTTTATAAACCTTTATCTGTAATTACTGTATTAATAATACTGGGAATATATTTTTTTGCTTTTGATCCAGAGCCAGGAAAATGGTGACATCGTATGACGTCATTCCTTTCAGAAGGAAACTGGGTTATGTTCAATAAATTACATTTGTATTACTACTCAATATTGACATTATTTCTCATATATGAAAAAAAAACATAGTTTTAGCCTAAGCACAGGAGGATATTTTGTTCATTTCATAGACAACTTGTTGATCAGAATTCTGTGAGACCGATACATATAACCTTAAGCGTTTTGTAATTCAAGCACGGAGATCAATGACATAATATAACAAAGTAGTGAGATGTAAAGATAAGAGAGGCTAATAACATGATTTTCAATTAAAAAAACAAATAACCAATAACTTAGGTGATAATGAATTTGTACTATTATTTGTATAACACATCACCTTAACCAATTTCAGTATCTGTTCTCTTGTAGAATACAATTTTTAGACTATGAAAATATAAATAACACAAGTCTAAATTGTTGGCTACTCTGTCTCTAGCGGCCTCATATTACAGATAATATTAATAACTATGTCTTATGTTCAGGATGCTGTTGGATATCAATATGCATATTCGGTTTATGATGAAGGAACGGGTGATAACAAGGCACAAAGTGAACAAAGCGATGGTTCGGTAGTTCAAGGACAGTACTCTTTCATTCAGCCGGATGGATTAAGGCGAGAAGTGATTTACACGGCGGATGATTTGAAAGGGTAAACAAATAGCATCTTTTGTTTCAGCGAGATTTATAATTACGGTTATTTTAAACTAGATGTATCATTTGCTTATCAGTTGTGATCACACCAGTTAATTCACTAGATGTTATATTTTTATTGGTAGCCGTACATTGCTACCATTCGTGTATTATGGTAGCTATAAAACAAGGGGGCCGGGCTTCGATCTTGGCCGTCCGGGTCCAACCCGACCCAACAATGGGTAGGCCACGTATGAAAGAACCGTGAAGTTTAATCACGTTTGGGTTCGACGTCTGAATTTCAGAATAGCCAATAGCAAATAAGTCGACCCATCTTGTTTAGATGTATTGGCGAATTTCACCTACCTTCAGGTGAATGCTTGTCTGCCCCATCTATCGTAAAAAATCATACAATACAAACAAATATCTAACTTGTGCTTGATGCTTACAGTAATTTTAATCACCAATTAAATATCAGTTTGATACCAATATTAAATTAATTGCATGATTATAGATTCAAAGCAATTGTCAAAACTGTAGCACCCGAACCGGAAGTAAAACCCGATGAGTCAAAAGAAACTGAAGGAACACCGTGTAATGAAGCTAAAAAAAGAACAACTAGTAGAAGCACCAAAAAGTGAAGAGAAGCCGACAGAGGCATCTGAAGAAAGCACTGAAGTGGTAGAAAGTTTAGAACCGGTAAATACGGAAGCGACCGAAGCTGTTGAGGTGAAAACTGAAGAAATTCAAGCTAAAAGTGAAGAAAAATCAGACGAGACGTCAGTTGAAGTAATCCCAGTGGTGCCAATTGAAACTGTTAAAGAAGATGTAGAAACAAATGCTATAGTCTCATACAGCGATATAATTGACTGTATACAATCTAAAAGAATAGCAGCGGCTAAAAGTATATCTCCTTTAACATATATACTTATTCCTGCAATAGAAAATGTTAAAAGACCATGCTAAATCTATCGATCAGTTCAATGTCACAAATGTCGTCTAGTCTCAAATTGTAAAATATATTTACCTTATAACTATTACAGAATTGTATCTCAACATGAACATAACAATTGTGAAGTTAATAAATCTTTGGCGCATTTTGGTATGTTTTATTGGGTGTTTCTCAAAATGTTTTTCAGGAGTTTCTAAGAAAAGGGACAAGTTGTAGATTTATTAAGCACGAACTCGTACAAAAATACTGATGTAACATATCGAGAATATTAATTAATTAATTTACTCCAAATTTATATAAATAAATAAGGTTCTACAAGAGAAGAAAACATTACATTTTAAGATAGAACCTTAAAATTTGATATACTAAACATAAAACTCGAAAAACGAAACCAGTCATAAAATGAGCAAATTGATATCTTAGTCCATATTTGGTTATAGCGTAAAATAAAAGTTTGGAAACAATTTGACGCAAGCATTTTTAATTAGTAGGCCTATTTAAAATATTATTACCGACTGTGAAATATTACTTTATGTATGTAAATTCTTTTAAAATACTAATATAAAAGATGCAGTTATTAAAACACATTACATGATTTTGGAAAAAAGATTTTTTGAGCTTTTAGCAATATGTGGAAGTAGTACACATTTGCTCATGTACATACGAGAAACGTACGACGATTCACAATAAATGAATGAAATTAGAGTTCGTTTGGAAAAAGTGAGACTAAGAGCCTATTAGAACGATTAAACACTGTTGTCTGTGGTCTTGTTACTAAACAAAATTTAACACTTTCAAACCTAATGTTATCGGATGTTTTTCGGCTGTTAAAGTTTAAAAAACCGTTAACTTTTTTTGAGTTCGTTTTATTGAAATTGAAATACAGAACCCAATCATCACAAATATTTAATTTTATTCAACGTTCATACTAACCAGTCTAAAAATATTAAACGAACACATAGTTCAAATTAACAGGAAGTTATAATGACAATACTAAACATATTTCCCACACATTTATGTACCTAATGGGAATTATTAGCGAATTAAATAGAAATAAATCGATTATATTTAGGAAGTGAACATTAGAGCAATTAACCCCAAAATACCGATCGCATTGCGCGCATTGTCCGCGCCGATTACAGTTTTCATATTTGTGTGACCTTGAGGCTTAGAGTCAAGGTGCGCGTACGCATTTCTTTGCCCCACCAATTTGTAGAGCGTTCTATAAAACCATTGGGCTGGACCGTTGACATCAATCAACACTCAATTGTTTCAAAGTACAACATGTTCAGCAAAGTAAGCTCAATAGAATAAATTTTATTTAAAAAAGTACTCCCATATACTCAACTCCTTTAATTTACAGATCGTAGCATTCGGCGCTTTCTTGGCTGCGGCCAGCGCTTACGGACACGGCCATGCTGTATCCTCTCAGAGCATCGTCCACCACGGTGGTTACGCTCATGCTGCACCTTTGGCACATGCACCTCTCGCATATGCTGCCCCTGTAGCATATGCCGCCCCAGCCGCTCACTATGACGGACATGACACTTACGTGAGTCTCAATTTATTTTTTTAATACTAGGTTATCAATTGCAAATTTAATAAAAAAATAAACATTTCAGGCTCACCCCAAATACGACTTCTCTTACTCCGTGGCTGACCCCCACACCGGAGACCATAAGACCCAGCACGAGAGCCGCGACGGTGACGCAGTCCACGGCTCTTACTCCTTGGTCCAACCTGACGGTTCCTTGAGACAAGTCCACTACACCGCTGACGACCACAATGGGTAAATATGATTTCTAAAAACTAAAATGAAACAAAAAGATGATTTATTGTATTCAGGAATTAACACCTATCTATGTTCTTTTAGTTTATGGTAGGTTCGAGTCCCACTTGTATATTACATTGGTTTAATCATTTTTTTGAAAACATTAATATTTTTTAAATATCACATGATGGCGTTAGAGAAATTAAAATAAAAAAAAGAGACACGGAGCACTAGTCACCCACAGCAATACACGTGAACACGGACACGGTAGCTCTATTGGTCAAAACGGATCTAAATAGATTTACAATCTTTCTTATCTATAATACAAATACTGTGCATCTACATAATGCAGTAATTTACGATGTACCTTTTCAGATTCAACGCAGTGGTCCACAACTCAGCCCCATCTGTCCACCCAGTCCACGCCCCAGCCTACCATCATTACTGAATAACTTACAACCTGTGATGCGCTATGATTCTATTCATAGTTCTGTAAATCTGTGATTTTGTAAATAAAGTATGAATGAATTTATTTGAAATGAATGCCTTTTAATAGTCCTAGTCGATAACTAAATTACACAGAAATCTCACATTGTAGTATTTACAATAGGCTATAAGGGTTGTGTGTAGTTTAAGCAAATGATACACAGTTAAATAAATCACTTTTAATAACTTTTTGGGTAAGCCGTTAAGTTTTTTTTTAATAAGTAAAATATCGTTATCGTTTAATTTTTTGTAGGCGCTATAAATGTGGACACAAAAGGCCACAAAATGATACTACCTAAAAAGTCAAACAAGTACTAAAATATACATTTGTAGAAAAAATATATAATACTGTCTGTGGTGTTTTACTTTTAAAAAATATAACATGTAAATTATAACATTTTATTTAATGTTTGTATATCTTCATTAGTATAAAAAAGATTATAGCTACATCACTCAACGATTTTACGAAATATTAAAAAAAAATACATACAATAACAACAATATTAATAAAAAAAAATAAGATCTGACGGAATTACTAAAGTCGTTTACTTTTGTAAGGGGCTCGGAACCTAAGAGCTTATCAGTTCTGTTTACATTTAACAGCGAAAACAAGTTACGCACTGTTAAACTCTCTCATGAGTACTACAAAGATATTATCCCACTAACAAGTTACATTATTCGTTTCAAGTGCAACAAAAACCATTAACAAACCCACTATTTACACTACTAAAGTACGAGGTTTTGTAATCTACGTTTTTATTCATAGAGGCTTGTGGTTCGCGACAAAAAGTACGTGACTGTGACACGCTTGTTACGGCTTTTTGCACGTCATTGAGACTCTATTGACGATTGCTTTCTTTGTTACTGTGGTAAATGACAAATTAAGACAAGCAGTGTTTTTCCATTTAGAACGGAGGTAGTTCACTGTTTAATTAAGCCTACCTTGTTCCTAACTTAGGGATTTAATAGAAAAAAATGGTATAGAACACAATCGTCTGACATAACCTTCCTGTAAATTAAATTTGTCCTAGTACAAAGAGATAATACAACTTCAAATACCTTTTCTTCTAGTCTTTGAAGTCTTAAATTTAAATAAAACACTTTAACGGTTTAAAATGCGATATATTAGTTAAACTTATTTGGAAATTATTTTTAACTTCGGCCCGACGTTTCGGATGCTTTGCAGCAGCAGTGGTCACGGGGAGACCCCGTGTCTCCCCGTCTCCAAATAAGTTTAACTAATATATCGCGTTTTAAACCGTTAAAGTGTTTTATTTAAATGAGTACTACTCGTGTAAACTATAGACAGTATTTGTCTTATTATCTGTCATCAGTTTCATATATCAATGTAGGGTATTTGTAAATTAGTGATAATTTAAAAATCTATTCTACCTTACATTTAAGTATTTATATATTAGAACTTAATATTATAAAAGTGTATGTCTAAATATTATATCAATAACAGTTATTTATTTCCTATAAACCATGTAATAATAGATTAAGACAGACAAGCGTACAGTTCACTTGATGGTAGATGAAATATCCGAGCTTTAAAACATCTAAACAAGATGCGTCGAACTTTGTTTGCATATTCCAGCCCGTACTGGTTAATTAAATACTGTCTATAATTTACGCGAGTAGTACACATTTAAATGAAACACTTTAACGGTTTAATTTCTTCTAGTAAACACGATTACAGAAGTAAAAACCCTATAACGGTTTAAAAATAAAACACTTTACCGGTTAAGGAACGCGATATAAATTAGTAAAACAAGTGTAAAATTTATTTTACTTATGTCCCGATGTTTCGGATGCTTTGCAGCAGCCATGGTAACGGGAAGACTGTGGTGGGTGGTCTGTGGTAATTTTCAAATAAGTTTAACTCTAATATATCGTTTTAAACCGTTAAAGTGATCTATTTAAATGTGTACTACTCGCGTAAACTACAGACGATTTTTTTTTCTGTGTCACATTATTTCACTTGGCCTTGTCTCAAATAAGTAATGAAGTAGTTAAATGCACAAACGTCTATAACAATGAACTTGCCTATATCGCGTGTTACTCAAATCGTAACGTTGTATTGACCTTATGGCACAACAAAAATATGTAGCGAACAGAGTAACGCTGTTGCAACGGACAAATAATTACACACTTTCGTTGAGCAATTAAAATTATGTAGATCATAAATATTCTCAAATTTAAACGGGCTCATTATATAGCTCCACTGATAATCTTTTTTTAACTTTGTAATCGCTTTATGATAAGATATAACTACATTTATGTTTTGAATTGTGTTTAAATATTTTAAATTCTTAAAACGCGTGCTTTATTTTTAAATATATTATTGTTTTAACGTGTACTATCCGCGAAATTGGACATTAATTAACTATAATAATTTATTTTTGATAACTATATTGTAATATTTAGCTATTTTAAATATGTATTTGTTATTACTAAACGTTAGTTATAAATTAATTATTCTCATGTTTTGACTGGATCGTGTGTGTAATGGAAGCTATGTACGGGAAATAAAGAGGTCGTGGGTTCGATTTCGTCCTTTTTTATATATTCTTAGTCTTTTCAACTAAATTCTCATACCTATATACAATACCGTCAAATTTTACACTTACTGAACTTTATTACTGTTTATTTATAACAAAGTTACTTACAAGGAAAAATATATCTATCTACATCAACAAGAGAAATGATCAATGTAATAACTACCAAGGGAATTTTTACATGTACCTGTGTATTAGCATGACAAATATTATCATACCTTTCTTCGTATAATAAAAAACAAACATTGAGTATTCGTGCGCGCGCGCACTCAACTATAACGGCTTGTAGACTTCAATTAGCTCAAATTATCGAACTGTCGATACCATGACATATATAAGTGTTTTCTTAATAATGGGGTACCAATTCGACCTCTTCTATTGTAATAACTGAAGCAAGGTCTACTTGATCAAAACCCCACTTATTTTGTATTGAATGTTAAATGTATAAAAACCAATGATATTTTGCGGTTGACATCAAACGGTGACCAGCAATCAATATTCATAATGTTCAGTAAAGTTAGTGTTATATTCATATTAAACTATTAGTGATAGAGAACATATTAAAGTGACAAAGTGTTTGGCTTTGGGAAGGAAATCTTGGGAAAGATGTGATAAATTTTTAGTTCGAAAAGAAATGTTTATTATCTAAAGTTTAGTAAAACATTAAGAATAGATAGAAGAAACACAAATATGCCTAGTTTTTTCCTGCCTTAGTTTAAAACAAACTTTAACTACTAATTTAAAACGAACGGCGCAACCTAAAGCGGGTGACAGCTGCATTGTCCTCGTTTTAAACCGTTAAAAGTGTTTTATATATACCAGTTTTCGTTTCGTTCCTGACTTAGAAATTTTGTAGTTAAAAGGTTAACGCGTTTTGTCTTTTAATTTAACCTGATTAAATTTAATACCCGTATTGCAGATTGTTGCTTTCGGTGCCATGCTGGCTGCAGCCAATGCTGGCTACTACGCTCATGGTCCAGCTGTCTCCTCCCAAAGCATCGTGCGTCATGATGAAGCTCTGGGACACTTTGGTGCACCTGCCCATTACGCTGCACCCGTGGCATATGCTGCCCCTCTGGCGTACGCTGCACCTTTAGCGTATGCTGCTCCTGTAGCATATAGCGGAGGCTATGCTGGAGATTATGAAGGGCACGACGAATATGTAAGTAAAGACAAGTAATGAAAATAAAAAATGCAAGAATGCCGATGGGCTCGTTGGTGGGCTTGGCAATGTACGGCTGGAGTCCAAAAGTGTTCTAATTAATTTAAAATTTTCTGGAAATTTAAATAATAAATGGGTGGTAGGAATATCGCTCCGTCCGGGGTACGAACCACCGTCCACAGATGAAAAAGCCGTGGAACGTCACGTTTCGGTTTCTGTCTGAAGATTTCGGAATATCCAAAGCCAGAATAGGTCAACAGCAAATCTTGTTTAGATGCTAAAGGCTGGAGTATTTCACCGACCATCAAGTGAACATCAGGCTTCTCTGTCCTCCTTTATCATTAAAAAAAACCTCTTTATTTCCAAATGCAAAACCAATGCATTATTTCATAATTCTGTCCACAGGCTCACCCAAAATACGACTTCGCATACTCCGTGGCTGACCCTCACACCGGAGACCACAAGTCGCAGCATGAAAGCCGCGACGGAGATGCTGTCCACGGCTCCTATTCTTTGGTCCAACCTGACGGTTCTGTACGTCAAGTTGACTACACCGCTGACGACCACAATGGGTAAGTGCTGTTTAAATTGATTAAGAGTTCTGTCAAACGTCAAACATACAACAATAAATACTGTCTGTAGTTTACGCGAGTACATACAGTTAAATAAAACACTTAACCGGTTTAAAACACGATATACATTATTTAAGCCTATTTGGAAATGTGACCTCCGTAACCACGGCTGCTACGAAGCATTTGAAACGCCGGGCCGTAAAAAAAAATTCCAAATAGGTTTGACTAATACATATCGAGTTGAAAATGGTTAAAGTGCTTTTATTTAAATACAGCTATAAAATAATATTGTCTTGATTGAATTATAAGTATGTAGTATTTTCTAAGGCTTAAAATAGATTAAAATCAAACAACAGTCTTTCGCAGTATCTGTTTTATTCGTTTGGTTGGTAAATTTATTACTCTTTAATCATAGACGTCTAAGAATATTAAGGGCTGCCCCGGTTGATATTAACTAAGCCCGATAAGTTTTATATAAAAACCAAAAGGTCGGTTCGGTTCAGCCATGATATAAAATACAAATACTAATCAATTACTGTAACTGGCTACGGCCCTTTTAATTGTTTTTAATAATAAATAAATTTATTTGCCTGTGGACAAATATATCAGTGAAAGAGTAACAAAAATACGTCTGCGATAACCTTAAAATATTCTTCTAGAGACGAATGCTAAACCATTACAATTTACAGATTCAACGCCGTGGTGCACACTTCAGGCCCCAACTACCACCCCCAGCCTGCCTACCACCACTATTGATGTTTATCATAACGTATTTTAAGTATTTATTTGAAATATAACCCTTTATAGACCAAAAATATATTTTTCTTTGTTTTTTTTTGTACACTGTACATTTATTCTAGCTTAGGCCCTTTTTAGTGGGAAATATTTTAAGTTTAATCGCAAACGTAACTTTTACTTACATACATCAATCGGATAAATACTTAGAGTATGCAGAATTTGTAGAAATAATTATAATTTCTACAAATTCTGCACAATTTTTCGGAAAAAAGAGGCATCCCCACTGCCTCAATTAAATAGCTTTTATGAAATACCAACACCATTTAATGGAATTGAAATTTCCAAAATTTGTAAAAAAAGTTTTATTGTTTTATACAGTTTATTTTTTAACGAGGTGCGCTGTTGGCCTATTATTGCTTTGGATAGTCGGAAATCTACTACTAATAAAAATCTCCAGGGTTATTAAGTTCATTTACGCTTAAACTTGCTTCAATCACTCAAAATTACGTACATTTATATATAACAATAGCAAACTTCTAAACAGCAATTACTTTTATTTATTAGGTGCATGTATATGAGATTTGAGACCTTTGTTGCAAGTCAAGTGGTATTGTCCCTGAAACCCCACTCAGTTTGTCCGTATTATATAAAAAGTGGCGGTCACTTCGAAATAATATCACACATCGCCAAGTTAGCACACGTTTACCGTTACTCCTCAAAATGATTAGCAAAGTATGTGTTTGCTCTAATCGTAATCGAAGGCGTAAAATCTTTCGCTAATACTGTGTTGCCTTTAAATTATTCTTAAAATTTTAAAATGTTCTATATTCAAATCCAGCCATTAAAAAATAGAACGTCAATTAAGTTCAATTTTAAAAATAAATTTGTTCTATTTTTAAACATTTTTTATATTCAATTAAAAATATTCTAACTTTTAATATTTTTAAATATGCATATTCAATTCGCGTGTCATGTTTTTTATTTTTGTATTTCAGATCATCGCTTTCGGAGCTTTCTTAGCCGCGGCAAAGGCAGGACTTCACGGTCATGCTGTGTCGTCTCAAAGCATTGTGCGTCATGACACCGGATACGCTGGCGCCGGTTATGCTCCGTTAGCCTACGGAGGACACTATGGTGCAGCTTCTTACAATTATGACGGACACGACACCTATGTAAGTGTTGTGTTGTTAGAAATGATAACATGAGTATACTGATATATTAAGTTATAAAAAGTAAACCAAACAACTCTTACAAAACTATCTCTTATTGATTTCTTTTAAATTTAAATATTGTTTTATTAATAATGTATATAGCTAAGGGCGTTTAAGTTATTCAGTTTTAAATCTGTTGGATATTTTTGATTTAAATCTAGAAATAAAATTTCTCGTTACGTAGTTTTTGCTATCTTTGAGTGTAAACATCGTCTAAAGCCTTCCTTTAAAACATCATATTATTTTATATAGTGTGACTTGCTTAATATTGAAAAAAGGTTTAAGTTTCTTATATATCACATTATTGTAATAGGCACACCCCAAATACGACTTCTCTTACTCCGTGGCTGACCCCCACACTGGAGACCACAAGACCCAGCACGAGAGCCGCGACGGTGACGCAGTCCAAGGCTCCTACTCCTTAGTCCAACCTGACGGTTCCCTCAGACAAGTCCACTACACCGCTGATGACCACAACGGGTAAATATGATTACTTAAAATGGAATTTTAGAATAAATAAATCTTTTTTATTCGATTATTGTTCAATATAGCCCTTTCTAATATAAGAATTGACACCTAACGGATTTTCTGAAGTGGGAAAAAAAAGACACATTTATATGTCTGTTTGACCATTAAAATTTCTACAGGTGTAAGTAGATAAGTAAAGTTCTGTATCCTGCCTTAACAATTCAATTATGTTTTCTAACCTATTTTAAATAAAAACGCAAAATGCAAATAAAAATATTTTTAAATATGTTTAACGCGATACATATCACGTTTTAAATAGAATTTTCTTACCTCTTCTAAACCGTTAACGTGTTTTATTTAAATATCCTCTTTCCAGATTCAACGCAGTAGTACAGAACTCCGCACCATCTGCCCACCCCCAAGTCGGCTACCACCACTACTGAACAATGAACTCCTAGAAAATAAACACCATTCTGTATATAGTACGAATAACTTAATAAATTTGTAAAGTTAAACGATTTCTTTTAATTGCTACTTATTAAAATGGTAAATTATTTTTCATTTAAAATTTAAATATGTTTAAAATATGAAAATAATTCAAGCACTATTAAATAATATTAGTGTAGTAGTTAGTTACTTAATTTAGCGTCAGACATATACAAAATGTTAGGTTTATTTTAAAGCGAACACGTCATACTGCCTACATATTTGCTTATTTCTATCATCATGGGTTAAACTTATAAAATTTTCGTATGACACAGGTTTGTAATACAACTTATTTTAACTAGCTGTGCCATCATTCTTATTTACATACTTTTGGTGTATCTTGAACCGTTTTTGCAGCGTACGCCTCGGAAACCCATCTTGATGAATAATTTTCACATTTTTTTTTCACATTTCCCTCTGTATCTTCGCTTGTATTTGTCCAATGTTTCAGCCTTCCTCGATAAATGCTCTAACCAACGGAAATTTTTTTTTTTCAATTTTGAAGCAGTAGTTCCTGAGATAGCGCGTTCAAACAAACAAATTCTTAAGCTTTATATATTAGTATAGATTACAAGACATGGAATTTAGACAACTTATGTAATCTTTAAGAATTTGACATACCATAATGAGGTGCAGTTTGGAAAACGTAAACCAAATACTATTACTTCATTGTAACTAAAACAATGTAATTCTGGTTATTCTTTAATATGTCGTTGATATAACGAAATTATTTTTCTTTAAAACTAATACTGATTTCTAGTCTATAGTATTTTAATGTTCAAGTAATTGTGGTGTTGCGAAATGGTTTGATAACCGGGTGATTACATTTTCTTAAAACTGGTGTTCACATATTAAGGAGCAGGAGCATTTTAAAAATCGATAAATTGAATGAATTAAGATGCGGGCAGGACTTGAACCGACATCCTTAGCGTTCCGTGCTGTTGCTATAACCAATTGAACTACCAACTTCTTCAACCTATATATGCACCTCTCACGCAAAAAAAAGTCTTTGTTTTTAAATGGTGTAGCTATTCAAAATAATACATCTTTGTAAACAAAACGTACAGTTTTATATAGAAAAAACTTTCATTTTGAGCAAGTGTACTTGTTGACATCAAACGAACATATATAACTGAGAATTTAATAAAAGGGAAAATGAAACCTTGACCTTCTTATAAGCAACCGTGGGAACTTAGTATAAGCGACATCATTTTATTTATATATTCATCATTTTATATATAATTACATTTTATTATAGTATATGACCTATCATGGTCTATAATAAAAAAAAATCCTAAAAAACATAGGTTTTAGCAGAGGATAATTTTCTTTTTGTGATGATTTCCCGAAATTTGAACCCAGAACCTCTCCTATACAATATTCCTTGCTGCTGCTCTAATATATTAAGCTACGATAGCTGAAGCGGCAATTTTCAATGTAAAAATAAAAAAATACTGTCTATAGTTTACGCGAGTAGTACACATTTAAATAAAACACTTTAACGGTTTATAACGTGATATATTAGTTAAACTTATTTGAAAATGATTTTTAACTTCGGCCCCACGTTCCCTATCTCCTTGTGACCACGGCTGCTGAAAAGCATCCGAAACGTCGGGCCGAAGTTAAAAATCATTTTCAAATAAGTTTAACTAATATATCGCGTTTTAAACCGTTAAAGTGTTTTATGTAAAAATATATGACATTTAAATTTCATACATTTTCAATTTTCGAATATATAAAATTTTCACGTCACTCCTCTAAAACGACTCTACTGATTTTTATGAAGTCTCAGAATCGATTAGTATCTATTTTCTCTAAACATACTCCAAAGTGAAAAGAGTTACCAACCCTTAACATTATATTATTAGGCTTTTTTTTACGTTAGCATCGTCTCGACAACGGGATAATAAATAGGTGATAGGAATATCGAAATTCCGTCCACAGATGAAAAAGCCGAAAAGGGTGTTTCACCTCCCATCAAGTCAATCTCATGCTTGTCTACCCTCCCCTATATGAAAAAATTTTAGAATAAGCATAACGTCCTGGATGCACAGAAGAGGCTACGTCACTAGTCAGGAGATCAAGGCACCTGGAGAGTGCCGGATTCTAGTAGTAAGCGATTGGTACTGGTAGTCTCCTTGGAGTAAACTAAACTATATACGTATAAACTTATGCATCTTATAAGTTAAATAATCTTTAGATATTGAATAGAATATTTTGCTATTCAAAACACTAGATTTATCTAAATTTTTAGACTTCGAGGGAAAGCTGTGACAAGCAAAGCTAATTAAGATTCCCTTTATAGAACGACAGTCTGACGCATTCTAATAAGTGAAGTGCATTTGTTGCGCTCAATCAAGCGACGAGTTTACGCAGGACACTGCGCAAAAACTGTGCGACGTCGCTTTAGTAACAGCAATTTTACGTTACAAATTATTAATTTCTAAACGCAAAGAGCAAATCACCGCGCAAAAACGTGCGTTGCGAAGAGTCAAATTATCGCTAATATTACAGGATCCGTGCGCATGCGTTATCATTTACAAAATCTTCAGAAATTTATCGAGCGAAACAAAAGAACACGACGAGATTTGTTAACAAAAGAAGGCCGCGTTTGAAATTAGAATTTATAATGAGATAATGATATAATTAATTGCCTGAATGTAGAGTTACCCAATTTCTAATGTCGTACTTTCAAATACTAAACTGCATTTTTGAAAGTACTACAAGCATTTTTGACCTTTGTCCATATTCTTCAATTAACTAGTGTCAGCGACTTCGTCCCCGTAGTATAGTTATCTAATGCAGCCTATAACCTTCCTCGATAAATGCTCTAACTAACACAAAAATAAATTTTCAATTCGAATTCACATTATTCACACTCAAATATATTAGTATAGATTGAGAATTGATTACCCGACTTCATAGTTCGATGATTAGAGGGCTTAAACCGGTCCTGGTTACGAACACTTTAAACAGTTTAAAACATGAAATATATTATTAAACTTATTTATAATTTATTTTAACTACGATCCGACGTTTCAAATTCTTTGCAAAACTCGTGACCCCGGGTGAGCTAAATACTGAAACGTACACAATTATGTTTCTGCCCCATGTCTCACGTAAGATAAACATAACACAGAAGTATAAGCTATATAGTAAGAATTATCAATATTTGAAACTCCTAAAATCGTAAAGAATAACAAACAAAATGTTTGTATTTTTAAAGGTACTAAAATCGTAGAACTTGTTCGAATCAAAGTTTTTGTATCACTTGACATTGCTTTTGCTATAATAAAATGGAAACTATGCGTAGTTCATATTTCAGGAATGAGACAAATGCAATTCCTGTTCGCGCTTAGCGAACTGAATTCTCGAATTGTCTCACAGTATCTAACAATCTGTTCCTCATTCTTGCTTCACTGACAAACAAAGAATGACACCGTATCATACTCGAATTTGACTCATCAGCAGTTCGCATGAAATTGTTAACTAATTCAATTGATACTGTATAATGAGAGAACGGTGAAAACAAAGCAGAGCGACCTTGCTGTAACATCTTTGATCTGAGAAGCGCATGCCCCACCGGACCTGAGATGAGATTCGTTATAAAACCCACGATTTATCATCATAGGTATGTCAGTCACAGTTTCACATTCAACTCAAAAAATGTTCTCTCAAGTGAGTGATACTAAATTTCTAATTGGTTTTTAAAGGTTACAAAAGCATTATTTTTAACCGATCTCTGCATCAACAGGTTCTTGTGATAGGTGCTGTCATCGTCGCGGCCCAAGCTGGACTCTTGGGTCTTGGACGTGGTCAACACGGCGCCTTACCATACGCAGGCGCCGGATACAACAATTACAATGGGGCGTTTGCACCCCACGCGGGATACGCTGGATCTCTAGCTCAACCTGATCCCTGGGCTAATGCTAATCCTCTATTCAACGGAGCTTTAGCTCGTGGCAACCCTCTTGCCCACAATGGGCTTTTGGGACATGCTTCTCCTTTGGGGCAGCTACCTTATAACCATGGCGTTCCTTCTGCATTAGGATATTCATCTCTCCCTCACAATGGCGCCCTTAATCGCCCTCATGGTGCTCCTGGCTACGGTAATGCCTTTGGTCGTGCTATTTCTCACGTAGACAGAACTGATGTTTTACCAGCTTCAGGTTTTGCTGGACAAATCGCAGCCGGGCCTGCAGGTCATCCTGGTTCCCTTGCTCTTGGGGGACCTTTAGCTCACGCAGGACCTTTCGCTAATGCAGGGCCCTTAGCTCATGCAGGTTCCTTAGCCCACCCTGCATCGTTCCCTCATCCGGCTGCCCTTGCTCATCCAGCATCCTTCGGTCATCCAGCGCCCTTTGCTGCAGGTAACTTAGCTCATACCGCTCCATTGTCCCATGTGTCAAACATTGTTCATCCAGCTCCTTTGGCCCGTGCTGGTCCCTTAGCTCAAGCTGGACCCCTAGCTCTTGCTGGACCTTTAGCTCATGCTGGACCCTTAGCTCACCCCGCTCCCTTAGCCCATTCCGCCCCCTTGGCACACGCTGGACCATTAGCCCATCCAGCTCCACTTAACTACGGTGCGCCTTTAGCCCACAGTACTTTGGGCAACCCTCTATTGAACTCAGCTGCCCCTCTGGGTCACGCCGCGGCTCTTGGAAACGGTCTTGGCAGATACGGTTACGCAAGACAATACGCTGGAGCTGAAAACTATTCCGTAAGTACTCCTACTATCTATCCTTTATGCTAATATATAAAGCTGAAAAGTTTGTTTGTTTGTAAGTTAAAAAGAAAAATTCATTTTTTATTGGTCAGAGCTATAATATTTCATAGCTGTGACTAGTAGGAGCGAAAAATGGCGGGAAATGTCGAAAAAAAAGGGGAAATTATTCATCCTTGTGGCTTTCCATTCCGCTGCGAAAACGGTTCAAGATACGCAATAAACAAGTATGAAAGAATTATTTCTCTTTATATGATCTAAAAAAAGTCCGCGACAGTATATGTCTACTTGTAAGATTAACATACAAGAACGTCGTGGATAACAGCTTAAATTTACAGAGTTGAGGTTTGCAAAAACAAACATTGATACCCAAAATAACTATTCTATACGTACTATACGAAGACGACTCAGCTAGTATTATATAAAATGATTAAATTATTTTTGTTTCACATTTGATAAAACTTATGTTAATTTTATAACTGGGTCTATTTTTTTTTTCAGGCATACCCCAAGTACCAATATTCTTACTCCGTTGAGGATCCTCATACAGGGGACCACAAGGCGCAGTCAGAAAGCCGCGATGGCGACGTCGTAAAGGGCGAATACTCGCTCGTCGAAGCTGACGGTTCCATTAGGAAGGTGTCCTATGCCGCTGATGATCACAACGGGTAATCATCTCTTTATCAATACTAACAACTATTAACATATAAAGGTTATATATTACATTTTTAACGGTTGAAAAAGCGGGATATGTTAGACAATTTCTAACAATGACCGACACGACAAGATATTTAAATAAAACACTTAATTTGTTTACAAATTATTTTGACTACGGCCGACGTTTCGAATGCTTTGCCGAAGCCGTGGTCACGGGGAGACTTGTTTCTAGTGTAAATAAGTTTATATAATACATTTCGTGTTTAAAACCGTTAATTTAAATGTTCACTACTTGCATAAACTACAAACAGCTGATAATGAAAATAATACTAATAGCAGAATATATTAGTTAATTTACTGAAGCGACGAGTACGAGGAGGACTTTAGTGTTCTTACGCAAAATTTACTTAAATATTTTACGTTTTCAACCGTCAAAAATGTTTTGTTCCAAAATTTAACTTCGCGGTATGTATAAACAGGACTCAAATAATTTTTTTAGACTAGACGTAACAGAACCATTAAAGTCATCAAGAATAAATTTAGATTCAAGATATGCAATGTAATAATTGTCATTTTAAATATGTTACTGTATTTGACGAAGACTGTCTTATGTTTTAGTTAACAGAAAAGTTATAATATATAATTTTCCAACCTCTATTATGCAAACCGTCATAAATTCCATATCGAACTTTTTGCTACTAGTGTTCTACAAACGAGGACCTTTAAAGCTCGCAATATCACTCAGGCGCATGTCAAACCAGTTTAATATAACCTCACACGACCTCACGTGCATAAAAATATATCATCCAAACCTGTTTAACTTCCGATTATTATTATCTGTTCCGAATGTAGTAACTACGACTATTGCTAAGACGCAAGCAGAAATATTGAAAAGCTAGGATGCGAACCCAAGTTATCACTGAGTAAAGTCTTATTAAAATGTATAATTTACATTTTTTGCAGTTTCAACGCAGTGGTGCACAACTCTGGACCAAGTCATAACGTCTACTCATCTCAACATCATCATTAATTGTAGATCTCTTTAGGGTATCGATTGTTATGCTTATACTCGTTTTAACGCTGTGATCATTGATTTTGAAAGTACAAATTTTTATGTAAGTCAATAAAATTATTACAAAAAAGTCCTTGTCTTTACTTTATTGTTCATAACGATATAACGAGATTTTATAAACGTTTATGGCTAATTAATATCTTATAATTTCACAATCGTTTTAATTACTTTTTATTCGGCAATTTACGCGAGTGCCACTTTTCAATAGTACGCTTTCAACGGTTTAAAACGCGAAATAATGACTGTATGAAATAATTAATGACGTAGTTAAAAAAATTACTAATATGTATTTTTTCGAAGCTTGTAACTTAAAACTGCATGGCAAAAGTATTTTATATATTTTATTATATTTTTGTTTACACTCATAAATAAAGATTTTGAAATAAAATAACTTACAGTCATGAACATATATATTCTGTAAGACTGTTTAAGTTTTATTACTTTTAACTTGATATTTATATTATTAAAATGTAAATTACAAATGCGTTAAAACCTAACTAAAGAAGCCTAACTTTTATGTGAATTAAACTTGTTGTATTTTGCGTTCTTGATTTGAATTTTAATTCACTAACTGACAGAGATTTAAAACAATTTCAGTCGCCTTAATTGCTCTGAACAAGTTCGTGCCTAACAACTCGTACGCAACAAGGCGGTAGCGAAGTGAATAATGTCTAATTGAAACACTTTCGTCACAACATTTTTGCATTAATGCGCATTATATGAAAGGAGTTCGCATATACTTGAAGTTAATATTTTGTAGAAAACATTTTCTCTTATTCATTATCGCCATCACAGATTAAAAACATACGAGCATATTTTAAAAAAGTCGATGACATATTCGCCACTGTGACAACAAACCTAGTAGCATACAGTGACATGTTTTATACAAGATCTATAAAGTATTATATGTCCTTTTATTTTTATACGTAAGTCTGTATTATTACTAACCCTTGCAATGAAACTATATCGTTGTACATTTTTTTAATACTTTATTATGTTTTACATGCATAGCTTGATGTAAATAAAAATAACTTATTACGTCTATCCATACTTGACGATATGATGGTGTCTTCGAGCCCCGTTTAAATTGGATATTTAATTTACAAATAGTAATTTCGTGGAGTTTAAACTACTAGTTATATAATAAGTTTACTTTAACTATATTTATCAAATTATCAGTTTGTTTCAAATTTACTGCTATTTTTATTATAATAGGCATATTATGAACTGCTTTGCAACGTAAAATTACTTATGTTGGCATCCAATTCTGTTATTTACACCGACCTACCGCTGTCATGCGCTCACCAGGCGAGCTTCCGTCCAGCTCCCACCCGCATTGCGGCGGTCCAAGCCGAGGTCGATGCCCCCCTTGGGGCACCCTTGGTCTAGCCGCAATCACGACCATTACTACCAAACGTCCGGTTTGTAATTATGTACCCGGCCCAATTAGCTTATCACAAGTATGAATGGACCTGAACCATTCCAGTCCAGGCTTGTCAATCGCAACACGATCGTCTCATTACATTTTACGATTGACGTTTCCTAGAATGCTATTCATTGAAGCGGCGTCTCGATGGCCGCTCGACAACATATCGCTAGCATGTCACTTGTTTGCGAACTTGGGCTTCTATATATCCGAAATTAATGCGTCTAATATTTGTTAATACGTCATTAAAGTACGTGGATATTGACATGCAGTGTCCACGCAACCTAATAGCAGGTTAGAGAAATTGCGTGCAACAATTTCGTACCAACGCCGAGTCTGTGCCCTACAGATAAGATAATTATTCAACTGTGTCACAATTTATATGTAAATTAAGTATAAATCAAGAAATATGATATTGTTTAATTACGAAATGTGCATGTTTTACTTTATTCCAGCTTCTGTATTTCCAAAAGAAAATTAAGTCCCTTTTTTTGAGCAATCATTAATTTTAAAAGCAATGAAAATGTGAAATATTCCCCGTTTGGTTAAATTTTGAGCGTTTAAACTTCAATGGGGCGACGTGGTATCTTACTAAAATTTATTATATACATATAGCTGAAGTATTTCAGCTTCCATCTCATGAATCTTATATATGTCGGTCCTGTTCTCTCATAAAGAATCTAACACAGTAAATTAGACGATTAGGTGATTTTATCATTACACTAGGTTCCTTGGTGAAATCTATTTTGTCATTTTAATTATTTCAACTAAATTTAATTACCATACAAGCGTTACTTTTGAGTGAATCGTTAAAGATAGGCATATACCGCGGACATATTTTTAGATTATTTAAAGATTTTTTTTTCTGACACATATTTTATCGGTATCTTAAACCATTTTCGCAGCATACCTATGCAATGGAATACCTCTAAGATTAGTAATTTTCCCCGTTTTTCCCACATTTCCAACTGTTTCTACGCTCCTAATGGTCCAAATCCAAAATGTGTTTAGCTCTAATCAGTAATAGCTGTCAAACAAATAAGCAAACAAACTAAATACTGTCTATAGTTTACCTGAGTAGTACACATTTAAATAAAACACTTTAACGGTTTAAAACGCGATATATTAGTTAAACTTATTTGAATATGTGCCTCCGTGACCACGGCTCTACAAAGCATCCGAATCGCCAAGTTAAAAATAAGGTAAGCGAACTCTTCAGCCTTCATATTATTAGTGTTTATTAATATTTTTATAATCAATGTATCAGGATACAGAATCGAGTATCGCTCTTCATATAAACTAAGTTTAGTGACGTATACTACATAAAGAATATTTGATATACTCGTATTGTCTGTATCAAATCGGATCTAAACCACATCCGCACAGTACCGTGGTTTAGCACTGTTGCACGACCTCATCTAATTCCGGATTTAAATCCGACAAAAGTTCTATTGGGAAAAGGTAATACGACTTATTGTTTGATTAATTAGTATTTAGAGTGTATTTGTATGTCTTACAAATTACAATTCAAATTTGTGGCAAATAAGTCGTTATCGTAATAAGATATCTATTAAGTAAAAAAGCAGTCACATTTTCAGAATAATAATTTTATATTTTTTAAAGATTATAATTTCATTATCGCTCTGTAAGCAATTAAAATACAAAACATGTTTGTTGACCATAAAAAAGATTCTTGCGAGTTAATCTCAAAATATTATCTCATATAATGTTGCGGACATTTTTTTAGATCATTTAAAAAGGAATCATTCTTTCATACATATTTTATGGTTTTTAAACCGTCTTCGGAGCACGCAACAGAAGCCTTCAAATATGAGCATTTTTCTAATTTTTTCACATTTTCCACTGTTTCGTCGTTATATAGTCTAAATCATTTTCTACAAACATAATTCAAACCGTTCCTAAGCATATTTCACAACACTCTTCACGCTTTTAAAATATCATAATAGGTTAGTGTCAAACAGGCCTTGGCGAACGACCCATGTCATTCAATTTTTGGTTCTGTTTCCAAAGATAATAATATCATTTTCGTGAACCCCACACCTCAAGAACAATAGTCGGGGGTACACCACCAGACCAGTACCGCTCTCATCTACATCCTTGTATCTCATAAAGCTTAAACCAAGGGCGAAACAGCGTGCGCTGTCCCACGAACATTGTTCTAGTAATCGATTTTATCATTACTCAATTTCCGATAATATCAACGCATAATCGTAATACGGACGTACGTTGGGTAATCAAATACCATACTAACTACCTTTATCGATCATTGACTACCCCGGTCAGACCTTGTTATAGTTTTGTAATATTTAATGCAAAACTGTCCCATATTATTTTGCAAGTTGACAACTGTAATTGATTGGGTATATTTTGCGTAACCTTGACACGACCTACTGTCAAATTAAAAGGTGATGTTATCGTAATCTGATTAAAATTGAAATAGATACTAAAGTACCTACTTTAATTTTTACAGTCACTCTTTTTGAAGGCTATATAGCTGTCACATTTGTTACAACAATGGCCTGTAACAAAAACAAAGTGTTTACCACGACGAACATAGTTTATATTGTATCTGTATAAGATAAAAATGATGTTCAATCATTTCTTAAGAAAAAATCAAAAACTTCTTCAAAAAGTCGTACAAAATAAAATACTTTAATTTAAAACCATGTAAAATAAACTTTCGATTTCTCTCTCCGTGATCATGGTTGGTGCAAAGCATCCAAAACGTCAGGCCGTAGTTAAAAAAATCAAAATAAGTTAATATAATCGCGTTTAGTTTTAAACCGTTCAAGAAATTTATTTAAATATAATACGTAATTATTTTATCTTATGAGTAGATTTCATCCACCAAGACGTCTAGTTAGGCTATTACTTAGTTCTAAAAACGTTTAAGCTTATTTTTTGTGGCTAATCTTGTAACAATAACTTGGTGAAAATCCTTATCTGTATTATGGGGATGGGAGAATTGTAAGTTTCACTGATGGCTTATCAAGTAGACAGCAGATACATTCACTCGAGTATCTCTTAAAGTGTTTCTTCTCGTAAACCAAACTCGGAAAATGCCGTGAATAACGCAATGCGTTTGATAACTGTCACTAAGATGATTTCAACCAATTAAATAATATGAACCGATTAATTCATCGTTATTTACATCGATCAACAAAGTTAAATACCGCCCCCGTAACTCGTTTTATGGAAATTAGTAAGCGCAGTTACGAAAAAGTAAGTGTCACTTAGCAGTGCATTTCTTTACTTACGACATTACTCTGGCGGTTTAGATAAGCAAAACTTACATTATACTCTTAAAATATACGAATATAAAGTTTTTATTGTTCAAAGTTTTTGAATGAGATTGGGATATGAGTTTTAACAATATTCAATGTACTTTGTACATACAATATAAATTGTACCCTTGTACTGTAAACGAGATAGACTATTCAGGATGTTTATTTGCTAAACTAATAAGATAGTAAAGAAATAAAAATAATTTTTCTAACTGGCATAAGGCGCATGTTTATTTATTACACGATATTGATTGATTTAACACTAATAAAAAATAATAGTTTAGCATACTTTGTGCCGTGCATGATCTCAAGTTATTGTGTAAATTAATATCTAAATTTTTTATTTGATTACGGCGGTTAATATTTTGTCTGTTACAAAATACCGCTTTATACTCAACAATAATAAAAAATATGTAATATACAACATAACAGCTCAACTCATAATAGAAGTATAATATAACTTAAATTTTAGTCTTTATGACACATTAATATAATTTAAAGATCGTTCACTATATTTTATTTTCATGTATGTTTGTTAAAGTTTTTAATGTTGTCTTTATTTTTAAGCGTTATCTTCGACTCAAACATATAAAGACTTAAGTAATAAAGTACATTGGACGTTTTCGAATATGGAATTACGAAGTAATTTGAAAATATCAATGCACATTCTAAATTCAAAAAGGGTTTAACGTCGCAATAAATCAAAATAAAATAACACTCGATTTGCCGCACACTAGCTGCCGCAGGGCGCATATGACAGAAGTGAGGAAGGAGGCCTATTATCGAAGGCGCAAAACGTATGACCTCGCCGCGCTATGTCAAAGTTACGGAACTCACTGACCACACACCCCACTACCAGCAGGGCTGTCCAGTAAGTTTTCGATTTCATATAAAAGTCCAGGCGACCGCGATAATAATATCAGTCACCTAGTCTGGTTAACAGTGCAAAATGTTCTCTAAAGTAAGCACCTTTTATTATATCTATACTATACGCAAATGATACTCATTGAAATAAAACAAATATATACCTGTTTAAAGGCAATTCATTTTTAAATTGTTTAATTCTACGTTTTAGGACCTTGTCTATTATCAACTAAACATTTTTATATTTTTAGATCCTCGCCCTCAGCGCCCTCTTGGCTGCCGCCAATGCTGGATTCCTTCCAGTACACCACGCCTCGGCTGTGTCCTCCCAAAGTATCGTACGCCATGACACTCCCGTCCATGGATACTACTCAGCTCCAGCAGTTCACGCTGTCCACGCCGCCCCTGTAGTCCACGCTGCCCCACTTGTCCATGCTGCACCCATCGTCCACGCTGCCCCAATTGTGCATGCTGCCCCCGTCCATGCTGAATACGTGAGTAGTTGAATGTTTGAATTGTTTATAATTACCTTAAAGAGCTGTACCTTAATAAATAAATAAAAATGTTTAGTCTGGACATTTAACATATAATAATAAAAAATATTTTCTTTAGTCTCACCCAAGATACGACTACTCTTACTCCGTGGCTGACCCCCACACCGGTGACCACAAATCCCAACACGAGAGCCGCGACGGTGGTGCTGTCCACGGAAGCTACTCCCTCGTTGAGCCTGACGGTTCTGTGCGCAAAGTAGACTACACCGCCGATGACCACCATGGGTATAAAACATTCTTAAATAAATAGAACTATCGATTTTTAGTTAAAACCGGTTAACAATGTTTTAAATACATATCTTTGTTTTTCTGTGACTGTTCAATTAACAGTCGTTTTGTTTGTCAAAACAATATTATTAATATTAAGTTTTAAGTAGAGAAATACTGTATCAAATAAAAAAAATGGAGGGATTTCATAGGTCCGTCTAGCTACTTGACCACCACGAAGCAAATACATAGCTATAACATAAACCGTATCTAAATCAATTTAACTTTCCAGTTTCAACGCTGTAGTGCACAAGACCGCCGGCCACCATCCCGCCCCAGTTGTCCACGCTGCCCCCATTGTTCACGCCGCACCCATTGTCCACGCCGCCCCCATCGCCATCGCGCATGGTCATCATGGTCATGGATTCCACTACTAAACGACTAGACTAGCTTGATACGATCGTAATGAATGTGTGATGTGTGATATTTAAGTGTAAAATGTGTATAATGTTTGATACTCATTATTGTAAATACAATTTTGTAAAAGAATACGAATAATAAATGTAATTTTGCTGATCAGTATATTTTGTTTAACTTAAATTAACAAAAAAATTAAGTGATAAAGAAGCAATCAACTCAGAAGGTAAATTTTGTAAGGCTTTCACGGCCATCGTTCAGCTTATTAAAGCGAGAAGAGGTTCTCGACGTTTCGCCATCAGGAGCGGGCGGCATCATCAAGAGATGTTAGCTCCTCGATCGAATCGCGATCCTCTTCTCGCTGACGGCCGAACAGCCCGAAAAACAAGTATAAAATTTAAAAGGTATCGAAAAAATAACACCTGAATACTTACTACTACAGGCTGTAATAATCTTGATAATTTTTTACTAACCTTGAATACTTGCAATCGTCAATGGCCCAAAATTACTATATTACTAGACACGCATGCTTGCGTGTACGGTGCGGTATTTTGGCATAATAACAAACACTTGCGCAAATGTTCTCATTAAAATCTAATCTGTTTGAATGCATCGAAGAAATACCACTGTTTATTGTTTTGACATATTGTACATTAGGGCTTATAAAACTAAAAATATCAATTTAAAAATCGAAGGCTCATTGCTACTATTCGCACGTCATGGCCTGTTGGTCGGTTCGACGGTTCGAGTCCCGCCGCAACGTTGATTTCGACACTAATATGACAGTAATTTCTACACATAGGGACCAATTTAAACGCAATCATTATACACAAGTATGCTCGTTGCGCGGTCAAACATCATTATGTACAAAATTGTCAAGGAATAAATTGCTACCAATTTCCTACGCTGCAGGTGTCAACGCAAACAGAGGTTACCTTTCGCAACTTTGTCATTGTTAATTAAGAGCAAATGCCATTTTAAGGCTCTATTTTAAGACAACTAATTTAATATTTTTATATACCCTATCCCTCAATATACGCACCTATCTGTTAAACACAAAGACTCACAAACATTTATCTATTTCATGATATTATTAAAAACATTCCATTTTCAAATTCATAAATTTCTATAAATACTGTTCGTAGTTTACGCGAGTTGTACACATTGAAATAGAACACTTTAACGGTTTAAGACGCGGTATATATTAATTAAAGCCTCTCGGTGGCCACGGCTGCTGCTAATTCGAAACTCTAACTTATATATATCCCGTTTTACAGCTTTAACTGTAATACATTTTTTTAAAAACTCTTTAAAATATAGCCTTCATCATAAAAGATCTTTCTTTAGATTTGCATCTGCTAATAAGTAATACAACTTTATATGTTTAAAGAACACTTGGTAGTAGGTACATAACAATATTATTAAGTCAATATCTAAAAATATGTATATAGAAATCAAATAGAACTTTTAGATATATAAATATCTGTTATACATACTATGTTATATACCTAAAGTTTATTAATTCGAATACAATATAATAATATATACAAAAATCTTAGTAGTTAGCAGTAGTACCTAAGAACACTTTAGTTGTATAAATTAGTGGGCTCATTTTTAGTAGAAGTCCAGTTTAATCCTGAGAAAACGAAACGGGTTTTTTATTTAATTTTTGTGAATTCACCCTCCATGTGAAAATGTCAAAGATAGTTTTGTAGATTTGTACGTATCGTATATTATGTCCGAATGTTATAAACAAAAACAAGATTTGTGGCATACACAATGCAAACCAAACTTGCCTTAACACGCCATCGTGTTACGATTGCTTATTACGCGCAATACCAGCTTCGAATTATTACTCATTATATTTAAATAAAACATTTTCAACGGTTAAGGACGCGAAATATATTAATTAACTCATGTATAATATGATTTTTAAATAAGTTATTTATAAATTATTTTAACGTTGAAACTTTTTATAATAGAGGAGCATTAAACACTGCTGCCATATACCATTCAAACAATATGCGTTGTCGTCCTATTTTGGCTTCTGATATTCGGGAATCCACAGACTGTAATTTCCAAAAATTAAAAATTGACTAGAAAAATGTAAACCTGGTGGGTATCGACCGACGACCCGTGGCTTTTCAGCCACACATTACTATCTAATGATAGTGCCAACGAGCTCGTCCAAAAAGCCTACTGAAAATGTTTTTTTTTCAAATACATACACATAAGACATATTTGTCGAGCGATCTGTTGGCCGATTGTTCGACTGATAATCGATTAAAACTTTGTTGATAATAGTAACATATCTATTGTAAAATAGTGTCTGTACTTTACGCGAGTAGTACACAATTAAATAAAACACTTCAATGGTTTCAACGCGATATACGTTAGTTAACTTATTTAAAAATTATTTTAACTACATTCTAACGTTTCGGATGCTTTGCAACAGACGTAATCACAAGGAGACTAAAGATGGAAGGTGTTTCTGACGTTAACGTAAAAAAAACTGCTAGACTAGCGCCATCTATTTTGTGGAAGTTTTGGCGAAAGTGACTCACGGTGTCGTCGCGTTTATTGGCTGTTTGTTAAAGTGTTTCATTTATGTGTCTCTACCAATTTAAAATAATCGACTTATTTCAGACTACACAAATAATTCATGTTCGTCATCAGTTAAACAATGACTTTTATCATAATCGTGTGTCCTTGATTGAATATCAAATTGTCAATGGGTCCGATGTAATTTTAGTTCATAATGACGCGCAATAAATTGTCAGGACATTTGAAGGATATTAAGATGAATGTTGACTTCCATTGAATACTTATTTTTATCTAAAAATGCCACGTCGTGCTTTAATCATTATATAAATACCAATAGAGAACTGGGAATTGAAATTTTAAGTTAAGCTTAAAAACTTTAATATTTGTCACAACGCACATGATCGCACTATAGCATTTTAAAAGACTTGAACCGGCATCAATGAGCTACCGAGTTCTACGCCTCATTGACGAATTTTTCAACCTATTGACACATGCACCTCTCGCGCAGCGTAGGGCTCGGTTGCTCAATTGATACCGGTTCAAGTCCTGCCCGAGTCAAACATTTTTTCAATTTATTTTTGATTTTTAAAAGTTAAGCCTAACCTAAATTACGTAGTTACTCTCCACTTATCCACTGTGTGTGCCGTTATGTATATGAATATGTATATCAGAGCATTTTATTCCTTTACTTTAATAAAGCTTACTAAAACGCTCACGAATATATTTCCTGTTTTAAACCGTTAAGCATAGTATTAGTAAGTTATTTATTATGTGGAGCCGCTCGCGAATTTTATTGTACTAAGTAAAAAATATATGAAATTACCAATATAGTTCTAGTTTTAAACCATAATTAGTAGGTTATTTCTTGTAATGAGTGGATATACATATTCAATTTTCCATTTAGAGTTGCAATAGAAACGACATAGTACACGTGAAAAAATGTAATACTATCGGCACGGAAGTACGCGCGTGTCATAATATTTGCGGATAGTAAGTAAGTAACGCGTATTGTGAAGTAAGTGTTATTGTCGGCGTTGGTTTTTTCATAAATACTTCGTTAGAACATTGTGGTTGGTTCACATAGAATTACACACATACTACTGGCAAGTAACAAGAATAGACTATAGTTATGACATCATATATTGCGTTTAACTACTTATGTTTGCTTAAATAAAACGGGGTTAAAGCGGGGTTCTATTTTCGAATTTCGGGAATAATAAATATGATTTCTATCAGAATATTTTAAACATGTTTTGTTTAAAAGATTCTGTTTGGTTTTACCATCTACGCAGGAAACTATCACATATTTTTCCAATTTATGAACAAACATATTATGCAAGTAATACTTGATTTAAAAAAAGATACTTTTGACAAACCACTTCAATGTCAATAATCGGTTTTAACGTTTACCGATTCTTTTATCAATGTTAAGTTATATTAAAATTTCAATACTCACAAATAGGGTTGAGCTCATTTTTAATGAAGTATCAAAGCGGCATTTTATTCACTAGCTTTGTCAGCGACTTCTTCCGCGTAGAATAGTAATTTTCGGCATCCAAATTAGTTTTTGCAAATCTCGACATCTTTATAAATTTAAGCTGCCCACGACGTCGTTCTGTTCTTGTCGATAAGTTAATCTTAAAAGATAGACAAACAGAGTCGCGGACGTTTCTTAGATCATTTAAAGAGGAATCATTCTATGATACATATATTTTTGAAAGTCTTGAAACGTTATCGTTTAACGGCGTACGCACCTCAAACCCACAAAGATGAAAAATTTCCCCCGTTTTGTTCACATTTGCCACTGTACAGGGCAATGTTATAGCCTATCCGCCTTCCGCGATTAATGGTCTAACACAAAAATAACTTTTCTATTCGCACTCGAAGTTCCTGAGATTACCGCGTTCAAACAAACAAACAATTAGACAAACTCTTCAGCTTTATATATTAGTATAGCTTACTCGACTTTTCAACTATAGACCATAAACAATGACAGTTTTTTCTATATTCTATGAAAGATGCATTAAAGTGTCCATTAGAGTTATCCTACCCACAAAATTATAATTAAGCAATTCTATCGAAAGATTTCTTTTCGTTGAATATTTTCTTCGACCGAATCCACATCCGACCTTCGGTCTCCGTGACATTTGACACATATCTAACTAGTACAAGTAATTATCAGTACCGGTGATTTTGACACATTCCAACAGCGTGAGAAAAACGGTTTAACACATACAATGGACAATCATTGTGTAATGTGATCTTGTGCAGTGGAAACAGAATTACTTGATTGAAATAAAAACAACGCACTTCATGAAATGACATCAATTTTACTAAGAAACTATAAAAAAAAAAATTTGGGTCGCTTACGAGAAATGTATTAATATTCACGTAAATCACTTAAATTATCTCAGAACAGAATCTTAAATTTTAGGACAGTGAAGTCCCATAATCACCATTATTGCACGATGTAAACAAGTACTGCGTTTTACCTCAAGCCTATTCTATTCCTCTATGTACTGTACTGTAGTTTACGCGAGAAGTACACATTTAAACAAAACACTTTAACGGTTTAAAACGCGATATACTTTATTTGACGTCAGAGACATCCTCCATCTTTATTCTCCACGTGACCACGGCAGCTGCAAATCATCCGAAACGTCGGCCGTCGTTAAAAATAATTCCTCAAAAAAGTTTGACTAAAATATATCGTGCTTTAAACCGTTTTATTTAAATCTATCCTGTAAGGAGTAAACATGGCTTCCGTACCTCCAGGAATCTGTGATAAACGCTCGTGAGGTCGGAAGGTCTAAGAGTGTCTTACAGCACAATATTGATCTTTTTGTGGTGTTCTTCTGTTGCGTGTGAGGGAGAAGAAAGCAAGACAGCAAGCCTAAAGTGTTCTAGAACCAAAAATTCGACGCCGTCTCGTCATCATGCTTTTGTCCAGGATGGTAAGGCGGTCCCAGCGGTGGGAAATAAAAAAGGGCTGATGTTTCGGAACTAAGTCTGAGATTGACGTTAAAGCGTTAGGTGAGAACTCGTGAAGGCGTAAGTTACGTTACACATGCGTTTAGCGAACTCTAAGAAACTAATCAATAGAGTTTTGCCCTGATATTTCCCACAATTATAACTTCTATATAAGCTAATATTGTTCGCTGATTCCGTCACTCATACCACCGATCTTATATGCGATATTGTTTTAAAATCAGTGCAGTATGTTTATGGTGAGTATTCTATTCATTGAGACGAAACCCTGTAAATTGTCCTTGTAAAGCATAAAAATCATTAAATATTTTATAACTATCAGGGGTGTAGGGAGGCTTGCGATTCCTTATCGATAATCTTTATAACCTCAATAAACAAATCGCTTTAACGGTTTAAAACGCGATTTTTTATTCTTTAATTTATTTTTAGACGAGCAGTGGTGATCCTAAAAAGTTTGGAATTTAAAACAAATTTAAGAATACAAGTCGCATTTTAAACTGTGAAATGTGATTTATTTAACGTCGTGTAGTAATAGCTTAATATAAAAACGATTGTGATATAGAAGCTTCATGAAGAAGAATGTGTTTCAGGAAAAGAAAAGTTATTCCTTTAGTGTTTTCAATGCGTTTTCCTTGGGTTAGTACCAATATATTTTTATTGAGAAGATCTACCGACCTATAAGAAGTTATGCGTCAGTAGATTTCTATAACATATTTCTTAGTATCACTTTTAAGCTTTCTGTTAAATATACATCTTTGTTTCAGTTAATCGCGACATTCGCTTTTATATCGGTGTGCCAAGCAATATTCCCATTACACCACCACCATCATATCCCCGCTGCAGTATCCCACCAGCATATAGAGAAGCATGATGGGCCCCATCATCCCGTAACCATCCATCATACGGTGCCAATTCATCACCATATACCGCTCGAACATCACCATGTTCCAATACATCATGTACCCCATATTCCACATGTACCGGTTCATCATGACCATTATGTGAGTAATTATTTTATTTTATGTTATTAACATAGTTGATTATAATATCCTCAGCAGCGAAATCTGTCGTTCTTTATATATAAATTCATACTTATTTGGGCTAAATAAGAACATAAGTTTCTCTTTTGTTTAAAGAAACCTTTTGAGTCCTCACTTATAACAAGTGAGAAGGGGTAATATTTTTGTACGTTTTGAAACTATAACATACTAGCTTTGTCAGCGACTTCGTTTTTCCCGCTGTTTCTTCGCTCCTATTCGTCAAAGCGCAATGTTTCATAGCCTTTTACCTTCCTTCAGCACAAAAAAGAATTTTTCAATTCCAGTTGTTCCTGAGATTAGCGCGTTCAAACAAATAAACTCTACAGCTTTGTATATTGATTAATCAAATTTGAAATTATATCGGTTCAGCCAACTAAAAATAATTTGTCATAAAAATACAAATAAATAAAATATATTATATAAGTATGGGGGAGGAAGGTATGAATTTTTTTTTTAATTTCCTCTCACGCGGTTGCTGATGCCTTTGGATCAACCAAAGACAAAAGATAATGGCTCTATATTATTCTATAAATATTCAAATTATCAATATTGTACCTTCCTCGTTTGTCATACAAATATGTACTAGTCATATAATATGCCTCAGATTTTCTATTAAAATGAACTCTTCCATTAACAACTCTCCATCAATAAAGCATTGAAAATGTCATAGTAATAACTTATCTGCCCTTTTTCTAGCTCTCATCTTCGCGTCACGTCATTAGAATTTATGATTTTTGCGTGAGTTTCACACGGTAATGTGAGAAGTGTGATGACAATTATTAACACGTAACAGATGTTTAATCTAATTAATGTTGTAATACAGTTGTTACATCAGAAATTTTACTTAAGCCTCTTCTACACAGACAGATAGACTATTACTTAATAACTATTGTTTTAGACTGATAAAGAGATAGTTTCGTTTTCTGATCGTAGAAATCATTAGTTCAAATCGTGTACAATCCCTTAATTTTGTAGGTTTGTAAAATATTAATGTATTCAAATATTCGATTTACTGATGCTTTGAATTTTAAATTCCCTTATTATTATTGTTCGTGAGTTACTAAACTTACTGACTTTTTGTTAACATATCATTGATGATTTAAGGCCTATATACAATTTTTAACTCTAGTTTAACTTAAATCTTGTATACAGGCGTTTCCTCACTACAACTTCGCGTATTCAGTCCACGATCACCACACGGGCGATGTGAAGTCTCAGCATGAATTTCGTCACGGAGATTTAGTGGAAGGGGCCTATGAGCTAGTGGAACCGGATGGCAGGATCAGGAAAGTGGAATACAAGGCTGATGATCATACAGGGTAAGAGCTAGAATAATTTTCACACCGAACCACTTTTCTTCAATACGTTAATAGGAATGACTTCAACAAGTTAATAGGAAATAGAAGAAGAATTATTAAGTATTTTGTGTTCTTATTATTGGTAGGGAATTTTGGAAATGATACAATGGTATTTTGAGTCATTTTGGTAAAATTACACTGCTAAGAAATTATCTTAAATATCTTAAGGTGAAAATGTATTGTTCATTTAAAATTTTACGTTTGTGCGATCTTTATTTCGCTAATCTATTATAGCACTTATCGCCATTAGGTAACACATGAAGTTCCAAATTCAAAAATCGAATTCGAAATATAAATATAGAATTTTCAACGTATAGTAATTTCGTTGAGAAATACATTCCGTTCTCAGAAACAAATGACTTGGCTTGTCACAGCAATTGACAAGGCGTAACGAATTTGTAACGAAGTGTTCTTTTGTTTAACGAATAAATGAAGGGTCCTCGTTTAAAGGATCATTGGTTTAGTTATATAAACGCAATTTGTTCATTGAGATGTAATATTACGGTTATCAAAGAAATATTTGTCAATATCTTTTCAGATTATATAGATGTTTTAACATACATAGATGTTATAATAAAACATATGCAACTACTAACTAATCGAACAAACGGAGTTTTGTTGTTTGCATGATTAATATTACTATGTTTATACAACTCTAACAATTGTGTTATTTTGATCAAATTTGATTACCATTTCTATCATCGTTTTTTGATTTGATTGCTTTGTTTTTGCGAGCTAATCTTTAAAGATAGACATATATTGTCGCGGACATTTTTTGAGTTATTTAAGAATCATTATATTTTCATTATTGAACCAGTTTCGCAGCAAATGCAACAGAAGCCCGCGAAACTGAATACATTTTACTCTTTTTTCCACATACTGTTTCGCTCGTATTCGTCGCAACGTTATGTCATTCACAACGAACCAGTAGTTCTTAAGATTAGCGCGTTTAATTAATCCAACACACAATATTTGCTTTATGATATTAGTATAGATTTCTAAAATATCTCAAATTGCATCTATTGTTAATTGTCAATAAAAGTTCTCAACCGATTCATATCTTAAGGCTTAGCAGACGAACCACATATCAAAAATAAAATGTAAAAGAGAAAAAAATCTTACGTACTAAACTATAAATAAAAAGCAGCCTTATCTCTAAGCGATTTCTTCCAAGCAACCTAAACTACAAGAGAAAATAAACAAAAGTAGGTGTAAGCAGTAATAAAGAAAAATCGTAGTAGTATACAAAGCAAGTTGGCTGTAGTGTTTTTAAATCACGCTTAAGTGTGTGAGAAATCCTGTTTCCTCCTCGTGGAGCACACATTTCTGTGTCCGTTTTACTAATCCGTTCTGTAACAGGCAAGTAGATCAGACTTCTGTGCCCTGCCTGACCGAATTTTTTTTAGGACCTCTAGCGCTTAACGCAATGCTAGGCCATACGTTTAACCATTGAGCTACAGTGATGGTCACGCTTAAGTACGAGCAAAATATACAAGCGTAACTTCCATTATTCTCATGTTACAGGCGTTTTTATTTCTTTCCAGATTCAACGCTATTGTGCACCACTCGTCACCCCATCACCATTTCCATTTACAGCATCATCATATTTAAAGGATTCCACTTGAATTTTAATAATCTTTAATACGTGTACAAATCAATTCAATGAAACGACCAATAAAATATTAGCGCTAATATTATACTTGACTTTTATTGACAACTATTCCTTTAAATAAAACACTGTTTAACGGTTTAAAACGCGATATATTAGTTAAACTTGGGCACCCCCCCCAACGGCGGGGGGGGGGAAAAAATTTTTTTTAAAAATTTTTAAAAAATTTTTCGGTTTTTTTTTTGGGGGGGGTTTTTTTTTTAAAGGGGTTTCTCCCCGGAAAAAAATTTTTTTTTTTTGGGTTGTAAGATTTCCTAGTCAAGTATATCAAAGTATATAAAAAGGTTTGGGATGCAGGGTTATTGGCTTGCTTTAATTACTAATAGAGCTGCAAAAAAAAAAAAAAAAAAAAAAAAAAAAAAGCCCTTAAAAAAGCAAAAGGAATCAATGCAGTTAAAAATTCAAGTTTTTTTATATTTTTTCCATTACTTTTTTAAAACCCGCAATTTACATGCCGTGGTCAAGGGGAAACGTCGGGCCGTAGTTAAATAAATTTCCAAATAAGTTTAACTAATATATACGTTTTAAACCGTTACAATGGTTTCGTAAAAAACTTTTCAATTATTTCAAAAAATATCTAAATGTTTGTATCAATTATATACAGATAAAACCATTTTAAACTCTCACTTACTTATTTCATTCGGTTATTGGTTGGAAACAAAGGGTGCTTTATTGTACACGCAAGCAGAGTACTTGGGTTGTTTTAAATAAAGTATTTAAGATGGGCGTTGCGTGTATATTTTTATTAAAATTAAATAACAGGAGAACATAGTCGTTCACAATGTTTAAGGTAAGTTTAATTACATATAATAATAAGTTAAATTATTTTTTAAATTGTAATGTAAGATTCCAAAATATCAATGTTATTACTTTATTTTTGTTTTAGTTGCTGCTGATTGCTGCTGTTATTTCAGTGGTTGCTGCTAATGAAAATGAAGAGACTCGGCACCAATCACAAACCTACTTAAGACCGGAGTATTTAAAACCATATGCTCCGTTTTATCCAAGACATCATAAAATAGAAGTGAGTATTTATAATTACCGTTACGTAAAGAAAAAAAAAAAATTTTACAAGGTTTTTTCTGACCCGACGATTTTGTTTGGTTTTTTGACAGAATTTGACGAGAAGCACTTCTTATTTATAATTAGTGTTTGCTTTTTGAATGGAACTTGAAAATTCTAATATTGTGTTTTTTTTTTTGTTTTAGCATGAAGTCGGAAGATATCATTTTAACTTCATAGGGTAAGTACTTTTCTTTGCTTATTTTAATTGTGTAGCTCATTGGTTAAACGACTTTCCTGAGCACAAGAAGTCATAGCTTCGAATAGCGGAGGAACGATCATTTTTTTCAGTCGGGCATAGAATCTGATCAATTTCTTCGCTCAAAGTAAATACAATGAGTTAAACAGTAACAAAAATATGCCCCATTCCACCAACAGTTAATAGGGATTTACTTGTGTAATTCTTGTACTAATACCAATGTTGATAAGATTAACGTCTGGGAATATATATAAGCAAATATTCGACTAGTAGTTTTTGCTAATCTTTAACGTAACGAAAATATTATATTAAACTTTATATTATATATATTTATCAATTGCAGGCATCAAAATGAAGATTATGGAATACACTATGGACAATACAAAACATATAATTCACATCCTTATATAGATAACAAATATGACTACGGCCATGTTGGACAAAAGCCTTCATACAACTTATATTACTCCCCCCATCAAACCCCCCATCTCGCTCTATCCCCGCTATATCACTCTCGTAACCATGGTTACGGCTATTTGCCGTCAAAAGAAGCATACCACAATGTTAGTCCGTTTGTTGAACGCAAAATTGATCGTTACGCCTACGACCATGGAAATGACTATAATTTTCCCCATGAGAAAAGCTTTGGTTTCAACTATGATACATCCTACGACAGCCGCTACGGACCCAGTTATGCAAAAATAAAATATGCATATTAAGTTCATTTAAACCACCATTACACGCCTATATTATAAATAAAACGCTCCAAACCACAATATTGTTTTTATTTGTAATATTTGTTTGTTTATTTGTAAATATTTCTACATGCACGATTTTTTGTTTTGTTTCATTCATATGAATTAATTAAGATTTAGTTCGAGGTCAGCTCAAATCTATGTTATACATGCAATCCGAACGATACTGATAATTTGATTGTTGTAATTATAAATACCATTCCACAATAGACTTATACTTTGACGTCAGACACAACCTTTATCCTACTCTCCCCGTGACCACGGCTGCTACAAAGCATCCGAAACGTCGGGCCGTAGTTAAAAATAAATTTCAAACAGTTTAACTAAAATATTTCACGTTTTAAACCGTTAAAGTGTTTTATTCAAATGTGTCGGGTAAACTACAGACAGTATTTAATATAATACAAGTGTAAATAGATAAATACAGTGTATTCAAGTTGAGATCGACAAATATGTATAATAAACAAATCATTACAACCTTTGAACTAGCATGAATGTTAATAAAGTATTATATATGGTAACTTAAGGTATCCAATTTCTAATTTATCGGTAATATATAAGAAATTGTATTTATTTACAAAGTTTAATGCACAAAATACAAACGATACTTATATACTAAACTTATGGATCGCAATGTTATCGCTAACAAGCCATCTCTTTCAAACCCATTTTTTACATATTTAATTATGTTATTTATTTATAAATTAAGATATTGCGCACGCGCAGTGTTCCATACTAACTATTAGGTAATAGATGACAAAACAGTTTGCATATCTTTATACAATCTAGAAACTTAATTATTCTAATAAACGGATGCAAATTAACTGCCAATTTCAATTAATTGTAGGTATATTTTGGATTCAACCGTAACATATAAGTACTCATTCTAATCTGGATGCCGGCCTGAAACAAACATCTCAATCATGATTTATGTAAGTAAAATTTCAATGATTTAAATTCGCATTTGTTTGTAGCATATCGTTAATATGGGCATGGGACGGACACATAACTGTGGCTGTGTAACAAGTAGAACAGTCTTTTATCCTCTTCCTCTTAATATTACCGAGAATGAAATACAATTACCTCAACTCAATGATAGGCAATGTCTTTACTATAATTGTTTATATTGAAGACTCTTATTAGTTTCAGGTACTGATTCTTGGTGGTGTAATTTCATTTTTTGGTGTCGCATGTGAGGAACTTAAAGTTCACCAAAATGACAATGTAGATGGTCTCAAACCACAGGAGTCATATCCATATCAATATATTAACGTTAAGGTAATTAAAATACTATATTTTTTAACAGAAATTTAATTTTATTTAAAAGCAAAAGTATTGAATTTAATTACTCGTTTCTTTTTCAACGTATGTGTAAAGTTAAGCTTTTAAATAATGTATTTAAATCAAGTGACAAATCGTATCAAAAAAAATGGATATAATAACTACTAAAGTTAATACTACTAAATGATAATTAGTTGTTTCAACGTATGTTTAATGAGACCAAGGCAACCTGTACCAAGCAGACTGTAGATGCGCTGATGATTAGACCTTTGAAGGATTACAGATACAGTGAAAGGTTTAAAAGAATAATCTTTCCTCTTTTTCTTTCAGGACGATTATCAACTGAACAATTATAATTACGCCAAACCCGACGTTGTGTAAGTTTTTGCAATAATTATTCCATATTGTCGATTATACGAGGTTTAATTAATTTTTAAATTATTGCTTTTTTATGAATAATTATATATTTAATTTATTTTTGTTATGTATCGGCCGATGGACGAAAAATCCCGAATGAGTCTTCTGGGATCCATCTAATAATAACTTAACTTTAACGGTTTAAAACGCGATATATTAGTTAAACTTATTTGAAAATGATTTTTAACTTCGGCCGGACGTTTAAAATAATTTTCAAATAAGTTTAACTAATTTATCGCGTTTTAAACCGTTAAAGTGTTTTATTTAAATATGTACTACTCGCGTTAACTATAGACAGTATTTAATAACTTAACTGTTTTCTGTTTTTTTTGTGAAGAAATCAGTAAGAGTTTGATGAAATTTACACACACTAATTATTTAAATTCTTCTCTACAGAGATCACAAGTACATTCAACAATTGGAGTACAGTAAATACGTGGATGGTCTACTAAAACATGACGGTTATGCGCCTCATATAGACAGTCATAGACACAACAATCCATATTTGATACCAGCAAAAGAAGTGCCATACAGTACTACTCAGAAACCTAATGATTATCAAGATATCCTATCGAAAAAAGCATTGAACTACTACAATGACGCAGTCTACGATTACCTTAAAAAAGTCGTTGTAGATGAAAAGCCGAAACATGTATATACACCACAATATGTAGAAGGTAATATAAACGACAATCTGAACTATGCATACAAATATAATCCCGCGCACTACAAAGTTGGGGAACACGAAGAAATACAAAACCATAATCCTAATTACTTGCCGCGTAAAATAGACTCTGAACCGTATTACCCCCGGAATGCTCACATTAACAAGCCTTATATCAGTCCATTGAATATAGCAAAGGGCTATCCACACGCAGTAAGTTACCACTACACCCCAGCGGATATAGAGAGATTATCCAAGAGCCATGAATACAACTTGTATAAAAAAGACGAAAATATAGATCACCTCAGATACGGCGTTTACAAACCTCATGATGCACATCTAGGACTTGAAAAGCATCATTATCCAAAACAAATCGATGCTAAGTATTTATACGATGAATATGAAAATAAGGCCCTAAAGGGCTTCAAGGATATCGCAGTAGCAGTTAAAGATATATTGTTTCCGAAAGGTAATTATCATGATTACGTAAATACGAAAGAGCATGAAGGTCAATTTTATACGCCAAAACGGCATTATGGTAAACTCCTTGGTAATACTGTTGGTACTCTACATCCGTACAAAGTGAGACCACCGTCCTACGTCCCAGCTGAATACAGACGATACGGAGTGAACCATGAGGATGAGAAGAAACATTATTTCAACCCTCACGCGTACTAAAAATTTAACCCAAAATTTTTTAAAGGATATAGTGTATTTGAATAACAGATGTTTATGTATATGAAAATACAATTTGTCTTCAACTAATTCATGGTTTTATTTCATACCTTTTAAAAATTCAGTTTAAATTTGAAACCATATGTCGGTATTCCTAAAAGATATTAATGATAATCTTAACATAGTGATAGATATTAATGATAGGAATAAAGATAATACTAAAATATATGTCGCTATGTTTTCATTGTACGACACGGTATGCTTTATACTAGCTGTGTCAGCGACTTCGTCGCGACCCGTCGCGATTGCGGTCCCGTTGTTCTTACAAGTTAAAGAGAAATCGTTCTTACATAGATATTTCTTTGGTGTTTGAGGCGTCTTCGCAGCGAACGCATCTGAAACCTACAGAAATGAAGAATTTCCACCGTTTTGTTTAGATTGCCCGCTGTATCTTCTCTTTTATTGTTCACAGCGCGATGTTTTATAGCCTATAGCCTTAATACTGGCTAGTTTATGCGAGTAGTACACATTTCAATAAAACACTTTAACTGTTTAAAACGCGATATATTAGTTAAACTTATTTGAAAATGATTTTTAACTTCGGCCCGACGTTTCGGATGCTTTGCAGCAGCCGTGGTCACGGGGAATCTCTCCGTCACACGTGTCCCCGTGTATGGGATATACACAGAGCTGTCATTGTCAAAGTCATTGTCAAACTAAGATTGGCAATTAACAAAGGGTTTAGAATGTATTAGAGTTTGTCTTTCGATTATTGCCTTATAGTTTATACCATACTAGCTGTGCCCGCAACTTCGTCCGCGTGGAATAGTGACTTGGGGTAGAATTTTTAATGTTTTAGGCTGTTTATTAATTTATGTAAGGGCGCATTTAAGGCAGCCAGTCTATGTTGAAAGTGCTACTTTGCCGCAACACTCTCACATCACATCACTCCTACTCTAGTTCTCACTGTCATTCCTACATTCACTCTCACTCCCACTCCCACTCCTATTCCCAAAAAGCCAAAGAAGAAAGTTTTTCTAAATTGAAAATTGTTCTAGCTTCAAAAATCACGAATTTCCATACAAACTTTCATCCTCTTTTTCAACCTCTATCAACCCTTACTTGGCATTAAAAAGTAGACTTGTCCATGTTCGTGCCATATACTCTCAGGCTCTAAAATATCTATTTACCAAATTTAATTTAAATCAGTTCAGTAGTAATTAGCCGGACAGACAGACAGAGTTACTTTCGCATTTATAATATTATTAAAATCTATAATTTATTTAAATAAAAAATTATAAATCTTGTAATTCATATAGGTTTTAAATAAATAAAGCCAGCATTACAGACATAAACGTATTTATTACTTTGTATAATTATTCCAAGCACTAGGCTAGTGTGTTTATAAGGTCTTTTTAATTTTAGGTTTTTTTTTTCAAACTTATGAGGCCTTAGCTATTTATTGCAAATTGTTTTTTTTTAACTAGCTGGTGCCCGCGACTTCGTCTACGCAGGATTACTATTTGGAGTAGCTTATATTAGCGTGTCGTAGAAAAGAATTAACATTATGACATAAATATGTGTAACTAACGTTTATGGCAGCGCACGGCAGAATAGCTCGCATAAAAGGTAAATTTTTTCCTAGTTATTTGACACTTAATGTCATATTTTGGACATCTCACACAATATCTATATAAATAGCCTATGTGGTATTCTGATGTATAAGCTATATTATTGGAAATTTTAATTGAAATCGAGTTAGTAGTTTTTGCGTGAAAGAGTAACAAACATCCACCCACACATACAAACTTTCACGTTTATAATATTAGTAGGAAGTAGGATGTTCGATTCTTCGGTAAATAATAAAAAGACTCGAGCGACGTAGGCACAGGCATTTTATCATGCACTTGTCTGTAAAAAAAATCCAACGAAAGAGAGACAGTAACCGATATGACTCAAACAGGATAATTTAATTTCACCAGAGATGTGATGTATCTGAAATACAGATACATAATATGTATTTTCTTTTAGTATCTTGGATAGTTACATTTGTTTAGTATTTTATAAAAGCCTAAAAGTAAACGTGCAACATCGCATTGGTAGATGTCGACTAGTTCTTTTTACTAATGCCAAGCACTGACTGGTATTCGTGAAGTTTTGTGAGATTGACAATCTGATCGACAGAGATATGCATGTACGATGCAATTTAGGCATATTAATGACACCAAACAAATCAATTAAAAATCAACAGTTACCTTTTTATATAATTAAAATAAATTATTTTTAACTTAAAAAAAACTACTTATTTTGTATTTTAGATTCTATTTTTTAAAGTAATTTGTATCCAATATCTGAAATACGTAATTTGTAAGTACCCAGCATCCTGTATTCCAAATACCTTGTACAGCGTATTTTGTACATCTCTGGATTTCACTTACCAATAACGTATATTAACGTACTATTAGCAATATTATACGTTCGTGTAATTGCTATATTTATTAATTGATGACTTCAATCATTCGTGTTTACAAAGCGACCTTGAATCGCGGCAGGATGCATCGTTTCACGTCTGAACTAAAGATTTTCAGGCAGGATATAATTAACCAAATGTCTTGACAATTAAACAATATTATATACCTTCGTGTTGGGATATAAAGATCTTAACAGACGGCAGAGTCGTAGTAACACAATATCTGGATATTCAACAACATGTGGTTACAGGTTTGTTTTATTATTTTTTATTATACATCCCCTAATCATATTTAAGGACTTTTCTAAAGTCGAAGACAAAGTCCTCTTTTTATTACCTCAGAAGTAATTTTATATTTTGCTTTTGCTAAGCTGTCATTTTAACCGTCTAAAACTCTTTTAGTTATCCGCTATCTGCCTCCTGGCAATTGGAGTCCAGAGTCATGACGGTCACGGCCACGGCCACGGTCATGGTCACGGACACCATGACCATTATGGAGTATTGCCCTATTATGGATACCCTTACGCCCACGGCTATGGACACTATAGCCCACATTTAGCTCACGGTTATGGATACCAGCTCAGCCAGCACCAGGGACACGGACACCACGGGCACCGTAATCACCACCAGACCACGGACACCGTCACCACGGACACCACGACCATGGATACGGTCACGGATATGGCCATGGTCACGAATATTATGGACCCACAGGATACATAAGCCACGGATGGAACTGGCCCGGCAGTTACTTAGGTCTTGGCCACGATGGCCTCTACAAACATGGTCACAATGCCGTTTACAACCACGGTCATAACGCCGTTTACAACCATGGCTATAACCACGGCTACCATGCCCCTCAACATGGTCATGGTTACTCGAATGTAGTCTTCAACCTTGGACACCATGAAAAATCAGTTGCGCATGGACATGACCACGGTTACCACCACGCTCCTCTGCATCCAGCTCCTCTACACGCTGCTCCTGTGCACCATGCTTCGGTGGCGCCTGTTCACCACGGTCACCATGACCATGAAGACCACGTAAGTGTTTTTGATTTGACACATTTTGTATAATGATTTAAGTACAGTGACCTGATAGAGTTATCAGGTCTTGGTTGTACCATCAACAAAGCCTTTGCTAATTCTTCCATTCTTCCATGTTTCTTTATACTTTTTGAATATTTTTTTAATGTTACTACACTTACCGAAAGTGTGGTTATTATTCTCATGTCATAATCGTTTAAATATACAAAACGTCGGGCCATAGTTAAAATAATTTTTCAAATAACTAATATATATCGCGTTTTAAATCGTTAAAGTGTTTTATTTAAATATATGGTCGTTTGGTTGTAAATAAAAAGCCTTTTCTGTAGCAGTGGTCATAGGACCCCAGTTAACCAAGTTTTATGTTTTATTGAATGTGATTTTACGTTAACTACAGACTATAATTACCTTTCTTTTGCAGTACGCATTCCCTGAGTACAACTTTGCCTACTCTGTCCACGACCCCCACACGGGAGACAACAAGGCCCAACACGAAAGCCGACACGGGGATGTGGTCAAGGGTGAATACCACCTCGTGCAGCCCGATGGTAACGTGCGCTATGTTCATTACAGTGCTGATGATCACACTGGGTTTGTATCTAGTGTTTATGTTATATTTACATATACACAACTAGCTCGTTGGGCTTATTGTAGCAATGCAATATAATGCTGTTTTTCTGGAAACGGATATAAAATGTGTGATACGAACATAGAAATTCCGTCCGGGTTACGAAGCAGCGTCCACAGATGAAAAAGCCGTGAAGCTTGATCGCTTAACTAGATGCGCTGTCGGCCTATCTTAGCTTTGGGTATTCGGAAATCCACGGGCTGAAATGAAAACGCGATTAAACTCCTCGGCAAAACAAAAATAGTTTTTCAATTGGAAAAAACAGTTGATGAAATTCAAACAAACTCTTCGGTTTCATAATATTGGCTATACCACTTTGTTAGTTTTCTGTGTGATAAATAAAATGAGTTTAGACAGTTTTATACCACCTTCATTTCGAAATAAGTGCATTTTTGTTTCTCGTACTAATTATTGTTTTTTGTTCTAGCTTCAAAGCTGACGTTCACTACAAGACGGCTCATGGGCATCACGAGCCCCATCCACATAATGCCCATCATCATTAACCTCGAACCTGCAAGCTTTTTATATGTAAATTCGTATAAATATGATATTGTTAAAACAATGTACATAACACTAATTATAAATAACAAATTGCAAAGGCTTTTGAAAGTAAAAGCATACAGAAAACTTTTGGCTTTTATTCCTTAATATACACATAGACTAGGCTGAAAGAAATACACATATAACATTTACCATCCTTACTAATATTATAAATGCGAAAGTAACTCTGTCTGTCTGTCTGTTACTCTTTCACGTCAGAGTCTCGACCCTGAGAAAGAACATAGGCTAATTTTAAAAAAGGGAGGGGGGTTTTTATTGCGAAACAGGGGTTGTAGAGAGGTTAAAGGGGGGGTGTGCGGAAAGTAGCACTTAAAATAGATTGGTGCGATAAATGGAAATTCGTGGTTTTCAAGCTAGAACAATGAAACTTTCCTCTTTTGAACGCATAAATTTTTTATTTGGCACTCTTACACCTCACATATGAATAGCTAGCATTGCGTGAAGCGCGAGAGGTTCTGGTTTCGAATCTCTAGGAAACAAAAAAATTGTATCGGTCGGGCAGGGCACGGAAGTCTGATCTGCTTGCCTGTAAATAAAACCGATCAGTGAAACGGACACAGAAATGTGTTCGCTCCACGCCTCACGAAGGGGAGACGGGATTTCACTTTCAGCTAGTTTCTGTCCTAACTATGAGGATGCAGATGTCGCTAGTGTAGCAGATTACATTTTGTCATTAAGGAAAGCTTAGATACTAAAAATTGACCAAAAGCATTTGAAACGTCATGTCTATATAAAAAAAACCGAATTACCACTATATTTAGCGTTGTAAATGTGTTTAAATTGTTTAATTAGAACAATGTATAGATCTGTAGTATTTTTTAAGAACTAATAGAACAATATCAAACGCTTCACGCACAAAACAGAGGCTTATACTTTCACTAAGTATCGAATATTAGACGCAATGTCGCAAGCAATACACAGGTGGCGTTAATCAACAGTATAATTTTGAAATATAGTAACAAATACTTTTTAACACCTGAGGAGGACAGACTTGTAGGTATTAAAGTAAGAGAAAATTTCCAATCTTTATTAAGCTACATTTAAAACATTTGGACATTTGGAAATGCACTGATAAATACAGAAGCGCGGTCGTCACAAATCTAATTTTCAAAAATCTAGCGTGCTAAAGATCACAAAGTAAAGTTAAAGTAAAAAAAAATAATGTCAAAAGTATGAACGATGCCAAGGAAACCCACGTATAGATTATAGCCGTGCACCAAACCAACAACCTCGTCAAACAAACAAAAAATAAATATTAGATTGGTGCACAGTCTTCAACCAATCAGGGTGTTTCCAAAAAACCCCCAAATTCTTTTTAAAAATTAAAGGGGGCCTTGGGGGGAAGGAAATTTGCCGAAAAAAAAAAACTTTGTTTGCACTACATGGAGTCCAGAATATCTTATCTACTTAACGGTGTACGTAAAAGTGTTTACAAGGTCAAATTAAGTAAATAATGTCTGGTTCTGATTTTTATCACGTTTAGTCTAATTTGTGCCTTAAATGTCTAGAAGCATTCAGCAGTTGGGTGCAACACAAGTTTCTCCCTATCTAATGAAAGGCTCCCATGCTCTAATTGTTTGAAAGCAACAGTGCCTGTAAAGTCATTACGTAATAGCCTATCTTATACCCACAAATGAAAGTTACTTAAGCAAGGACGCTATTACATTCTTGCAGAAATCTAATGTTCTATCTCAATATTGTTCTGCATTAATTACCATATAAAATAATTTTGTAAGCGTAGAATACAAAATTTGAAAGTGGATTGTAATAAAACAGCATTTAGTTTATATAATTGCGTTTCAAAATTAAAATAGTTCAAGTAGTAGGCTAGGTGTATACTTACTTAAGTATTGTTTGTAGTCCATGAAATATATTAGTTAAATTAGTAAGTATATGTTTCTTGTTTAAAACAGTTAAAAAGGTTGTAATTAAATTTGTAAGTCTTTGATTTAAAAATTACTGAAGCCCTTCAGTTATTAAACAGTCGGTTATTACATATATGTAAAAAGTTTGGTGGTTCCGAGAAAGGTAATAAAATAACCATCTCTTGTAAAACAGAAGGCGTATGAATTTTATTTCCTCTATGTCTCAAGTTTTATATAGTTTTGCGACCGCTCCCATGGCGCAATATAAAAGCCACATAATGTGTCTGGTCTACATTCCACACAGGAGAAACGAAATTTTACACCCTTATATTATCCTTCTTAAAATCCGTATCTTAAGTAATAGTTTTAATTTTTGTTTTTTTTTACAGTTTTTACGTCATATAACATATACAAATCCATTTAAATATATACGCCCTCTCTCTCTCTTTGAGGGTTAGTTACATTCGTATAGATATCGGATAATGAAAAACCATTTGGCACTTGAACCAAATTAAATTTAAAATAGACCTACATTCATTTTTTACACGTCTATTTCGTTTGTAACTAAATACCTATATTCGGATATCGATAATTATGACATAAAGAAAAACAGATCGGTATTTCCTTGCGTTAGTACTGCGCTTGAGTATGACGCAGCGTAGCATTTAAGAGGAAATTCGCAACGTTATAACTTATAAGCTATATAAAATAAATAACACACAGACGTGTAACAAAAGATCACAAAAAATACAATATAATTTAGTTTATTTGCAATTTGTTTTAACAACGTCCCGAACTGTAGGACGTTTTGCAGCAGGCCTAAATGTGACTTATGTTGTAAAATGAAAATAAATTTTTGTTTCTTTTAAACTTAATCACAATAAAGGGCTTTTCAATACAATAATGTACTATTACAGGTTAGTAGCTATCGCACCAGATTTGCATGTGTGAGGCGGTTGCGAAAAAAATTGTGAGAAGACTTTAATTTGTTTTTACATACATACATACGATGGCACTATATAAATCAAAAATAGATTGCGCGAAAACATACACTGCGCGAGAGTTGCATGTTTCAATAGGTTCAAAAAATTCGACGACGACGTGTAGGAAGCGTCTACACTTCTGAAGCTGAGTTGGTTAGATCACGGAATGCTGTGGATGCCGGTTCTAGACCTAACCGTCTTAGTTTATCTATTGAGTCTCTTAGATGTTAAATGATACTAATAGGATTGTATTAAATAATTATTCAAGTTACCATACGTTACATAACATATGCGCATAAGCAATGATTGTCAAACCGCAAACATTTCTAGACTAAATTAGATCTGAAATCGTGAGAGGCTTTCATACTTGTTATCTTTAGCACACGTAACGTGAACTACTTATGGCTAACGTACTCTATGATCCGAGATTAGTATCTTAACGAAACCAATACGTGTTAATTTTGTCAGTCGTATGTATGTACCACTGTAGAGTTTCGAATAATTAGCCGATTGTAATGACACAGAGAACAGAATTTCTTTCAGAAATAAATTACCTTATTTGTAAGAATTCAAATACATATTATATACTAGCTGTGTCAGCGACTTCGTCCGCGTAGAATAGTTATTTCGAACAATTTTTTTTCTCCGAACCTCCTGTTCAACTGTACATATAAGTTTTACCCACTACGTCGTCCTCGTCCCGTTGTTCTTGCAATGTTAAAAGGAATCGTCATTTATACCTATTTTTGTGTTACTTGAACATTTTTCGCAGCGTTAGCATCGAAAACCTACAAAGATCCATAATTTTCCTCACTTTTTCCACATTTCCCGCTTTTTCTTCGCTCCTATCAGTCACAGCAGATGTTTTATACCTTTCCCGATAAATGCCCCAATTTTTCAATTTGACCCAGTAGTAGTTCCTGAGATTAGCTAAAAAAATTCATTAGCTTTATGTATAAGTATAGATAACATTATTTAAAAAACCCATGCTATAGTTCGCACTTTCCAATTATTACGTACGCTATAACTTAGTAAACTTAACAAGTCGTCCGATTGCTCAACAAGATTAATCTGTCTGATACAACTTCTGTATCAAGATCCTTCTAAAATCATTGGGAGTCATATTTGAATAGCAATTAGTTATCAAACGGCTCGAAATAGATCTCGACTATTACGCTAATAATAACAATCACGTGATATACATTTATAATTTTAGAGATAGATACATGATATATCTTTATATTAAGGCAAGTCAAAAGTGAAATCCCGTTTCCCCCTCGTGAGGCATGGGGCTAACAATTCGGAGTCCGTTTCACTGATCCGTTCTTTAACAGGCAAGCAGTGGATCAGACTTCTGGACTTGACCGAATCAATTGTTTGTTTCCCTGGGATTGGAACCCAGGACCTCTCGCGCTTAACGCAATTCTAGGCAATACGTTTAACCAAATACTGTAAATAACTGTTGTGTAACACTTTAACGTGTAATGGATGCTGCAAAGCATCCGAAACGTCGGGCCGAAGTTAAAAATCATTTTCAAATAAGTTTAACTAATAAGTATATCGCGTTTTAAACCGTTAAAGTGTTTTATTTAAATACGTTTAACCGTTAGGCTACAGAGGCGGTCAAGGGAAGTCAAGCTAAGCTTAAATGCCTATTTTATTTAAAACAAATCGGAATATCATTTTAATTAATACTAGTTACAAACGGTTTGGTAAAAAAAAACACATTATTTTCAAAGAATTAATTTAAAAAATCTATGAATATTTTCTATAGAAGCGAGCCCGAGTATTATCAGAAAGCTATGTAAAAATCAGAAACATTTACAGTAGATCATGTAGGCTGGAACAAAACCTCGACGAGAAGCCATATTACATTTTTCTACATATAAAAATAATTTATGTTAAAGGAACTCGAATCTACGACCATTGTGCTATTGCTCTATCAAAATGTGTTTCTGAGATCATTGAATTTTCTTAGTCATTGTAAAAATGCCTTAAACGGAAGAACATAATTTAAGGTGGAATTTAAATAAAACACTTTAATGGTTTAAAACGTGATATATACTTCCCCGTGACAATGGCTGCTACAAAGCA